TTTCCAGAAGAAAAAAAATGTATCAGACATACTGGGAAAATCTCATTGCTAGGTAAAACATAATTAGGGAAATATTTAAATAAGAAAAAAAAAATCAAAGGGGGGACTAATAATTTTGTCTTCAAATGTGTGTATATATTTATTTATTTTTTTCTCTGTAGATTTTAATTTTTAGGACAAACTGCATGTTAAAATATATTTTAAGTGGAACCTTTATCTTCTTAATGTAAGAATTAAATACAATAAATTCACAAAATAAAAAACAAGTTCACAAACTAACCATATGTGAAGTTAAACAGCCATATTTGTGAGTAGATTTTTTCCACTATTCATGAGGGCCCCTGATTTTAAAATGAAGTAATAAGGTTAAATTCCTAACGGCTATAGACAGATTTTACAACATATAATAGAACAATTATTAAATGAACTATATGATTAATTTAGGCAATTCTTGGCTTTGGTCAAGGCCCTATAATTTCCCGCGGCTCTAAGCGGGTGCTTACCTTGCTTATTAGTTAAGTCCGCCCCTAATTACTGTACAGGGATGTTTTACACTTGTCTTATAATGCTGACTGCTATAATGACTGCTAATTTTAGGGGTTAAAATTGGTAAAAGTCTCTAAAATGACACTGAAGAATTGATTGATAAGTTTGTCAATATATACATCGTAAAAAATGCAGTGTTGTATTAACCAAATGCTGGGTCAAAAAAACATCAAGTTGAGTTAAAAATTTAAATTAAAATGAGTTTTAAAAAGAAACCCAACATTAGGTTAACACAACGCAACCTTTTTTTTATTGTGTAAGCTTGTGAATAATACTATTCAGTTGAAAGTAAATTATGGTTAAATTGATCATTTTACTATTCATAAGATTTAAATGATCTTTTTAATGTTCAATTATGTTATAAAGAACAACTTATCGTTTAAAAAATAGTTTTATTTAATTTTTGTGTGTGTTTTTACAGAAATTTTATGCTTTGTTTGATTTGGAGTGAGAGGAATAAAGTTTATGGCAGTTGCTGGCTGTTAGTTTTCTGATTATTGGCTCAAAGCAGCAGGGAATATTGAAGAAAGATGTATATGCGTACATTTGTTTATCCATTCTCAGTTGTACTGGCAGCCAGTGAAGCGCACACACAAGGATGAGTATATTACTGTCACAAATACACAAGCAGTTTGTTTGTAACAAGCTGTGTCTTGCACTGCCAGATGTCTAGACGTCATCCACAGATTGGCATTGTGCTAATTTGTGCAGGCAAGCACATGTCAGTTTGACTATTGTCGGCCATGATAGTGTCTCCACTGATGAACAGATTAGATATCTGATAATCTGATATAGAAAGATCAGCGCAAGCATACAAATATAGACTTGTTTGTGTACTTAGGTTGTGGCTGAGTTGATGTAATAATGTGCATGGTTTTGTGTATGTACTTGTTTTATTTCAGACTCATAGGGGCTTGTGACAGTAAAGATGCTTTTAAACAATAAATAAACGTTTCCTCTGTGGGTTGGGTTTAGGTGTAGGGTTGGGGGTAGAAAATACACAATTTGTATAGTAGAAGCATCATAATTACGTCTGTAAGAGTCCTACCCTATGATGTAGGAGTGAGAATGTGTGTGTGAGACAGAAGCAATAATCATATTTTACCAACCAATCACTAAACCTTTAGGATGGCAACATGTTTTTAAGTCCTGATATGTGTAGGATTCTTTTCCTATTTTTCTTTTCATCAAAATGATTCCTAATATTTAACAAGCGTTATGCTTTTGGAATTTTGTGTTTGCTACCTTAAACATCACTGAAGTACACAGTAATGTAAAAATACACAGTAAAAAATAAAATTATTTGAGAAAAAGTCATGACAACAAATGTTTTTATGTTACTTTGACTTATTTTATAAAGTAATTTTGTTTTAGTTATCCACAATGTAACTTTATTTTAGTCAGTTTGATGAAAGTGAGAAGACTAGAAAGGTTCATAAACAAAAAATATTTTGGTAACACTTTCAGAACTATTTCCCACTATTCTGATATTATTAAGATCTGTTTAGTACTTATAAAGTAGTCTATGATCTTATTCTGCATCCCTAATCCTACCTAATATACCTAACCTATTCATTGTGTTGCTGCTACCAACAATTCAATAAAAACTCAGCTAGGAGCCCTAAACGACAATCTGCACAATCACGCCAAGAATCTCGGAGTTATCTTTGATCCACTCTTGCAGTTTGACAAACATGTAAATGCGGTTGTGAATAGCAGTTTCTTCCAGCTTAGATTGGTGGCAAAAGTTAAACACTTTCTTTCTAAAAAAGATTTAGAAATCGTAACCCATGCTTTTAATTTCTGTTCCGCAACAACTGAATCGATTCACAGGTGTGAAAGCAACCCTCAGCGTTCAAAAAGTTTTGGTTTAATGTAAGATTCCAGGTCCTCCATGTGGTGAGCCACAGCAAGATCACAGCTCCACCATGTGGTCATTCTTTTTTTATGAAAATAGACCACTCTTATCAACACATTATAAAGAAGGATTGCATATTTTTGTACAATTAATCTTTTTCAGCCCCACTGAATGCAAATAAACATTTACAGTTAAAAATTACATATAAATGTGAAAGGAAAAGCTTTTGCTTCTTTCTACTAAACTTTCAGACAACACAGATTAAATTGTCGGTCCGAGTCCAAAAAGAACTGAGCTGGAGTCTTTTATGTTGGAGTGTGGTCGAGTCTACAATGTGAATTACATTTGAAAAATCACAAATCTAATATTAACTATTACAAATGTTGTCCAATTAAAACTCAAAATGGAGCCATTCTATAATATTTTAACTCTTCAGACTAGTGGCATAACAAGCCGTTTAATGCTTAATTGGCATTTTTAAAGGAACATTTTATTAATATTGCTGAAATAGAATTTAAATGATATACAATGTTGCCTGAAAAGTTAACAGTTTTGTTATTCTACCTAAAAAAATAACTACAAATCAGAAAACACTAAAGGGAAATAGTTACATAGTATATTTTTACATAGTAAAAATGTATGTTTACAAGCACTGTATTTCTGTCACATCATCAAGGAACATGCACTTTTTGGGGAAAAATGCAGTGAAATGTCAAAACATAATTATGCAGCACACAGAGTAAAAATGATGGGTTTCACAGTTTCTTTATGCTGTTCTAACACATTAAATTAACTCGTTGTTTGTACAGATTTAAGTGGAGAGAACATAAATCAATTACACTGTTCCAAAGAAACCCTAAGCATTGTGTTTAAATTCATTTAAAGTAAGTTTGAACAAGCAGCATACATTTGGTGTAGGTGACAGCAGATATTTATAAACATGTTGATGCACACATCGAGTCAATCATTAAGTTGATTATTCAGACACATGATTCACACTGTTCCTCAGAGAAGCACAACTCTTCAGTTTTCATTACAAAACAGTCAACAATGTTGTGTCTAAAATGTAAGTTATGCAAACAATAGCCCTTAGAGTTGGTTAAGTCTTATTTAAACCTACAGTCAAGCTAACTATTGTAACTGACTGTGTCCATCGCAGTAAGACCACAGCAAGCATGTCTTATGGCTGCTCAGTTCATCAGATTGATGAACTGTAAAAATTCATTTATCATTCAAGCTAGTCACTTTCTTGCATCCTGCAGTTGAAAGAGACTTCCAAACAGTCAATGAGTGTACAAAACACTGCACAAAATTAAATGTGTAAAGAACTGCCATTTTAATAATCTACCATCATGTAATCTGAGTGTCCAATTTCTTCACTATTTGCTTTCCCCCTCTCCGCCTTGCTCATTCACTGACAACATCTGCTACAAAAAATTCTTTCATCAAACTATGAGGCATATCATACCAACGTCACAAACAGAAAGAAAAATCAGCAGATGGCAGCAGAGGTGAAATTATGTTTCTGTTCCCTCTAAATCAGGGGCCTCAAACTCAAATTGGCGCAGGGCCATTTCAGTGACTGACAATTCATACGAGGGCCAATTTAACCACTGATAATGCAAATCCGTATGTTTATCATGTCACACATCAGCTGCTGAAATATGTCTGGTTGTTGTGTGTATGGAAGAGCGTTAGACACACACTCAGTCATTGTTTCACAGAGTATATGCAGTCAAAACTCTAGCTTTTTGTTTCTTGTTGTACAGTTAGTCAGAATTATTAGCCCCCTTTGAACTTTTTTCTCTGTTTTAAAAAATATTTCCCAAATGATGTTTAACAGAGCAAGGAAATTTTCACAGTATGTCTGATAATAATTTTCTGGAGAAAGTCTTATTTGTTTTATTCCGGCTAGAATAAAAAACAGTTTTTAAATATATAAAAAAAAAATTAAGGTCAAAATTATTAGCCCCTTTAAGCTATATTTTTATTTAATAACTATACAATAACAATAACTTGCCTAATTATCCTACCCTGCCTAGTTAACCTGATTAACCTAGTTAAGCCTTTAAGCTGTATAGAAGTGTCTTAAAAAATATCTAGTTAAATATCATTTACTGTCATGGCAAAAATAAAATAAATCAGTTATTAGAGATGAGTTATTAAAACTATTATGTTTAGAAATGTGCTGAAAAAAATTCCCTCTCCGTTAAACAGAAATTGGGGAAAAAATAAACAGGGGGGCTAATAACTCTGACTTTAACTGTACACATTGAAGGGGTAGTTTAAATTACTATGAAAATACTACAAATTATAGTCATAATAATTGTTATTCTGTCCAAACCAATTGCATTGTCCAATAGCGTAAGGACAGCAGAATGCAGTTTGGGTGACTTAAATGACTTTACTGGCAATTGTTCTTCTCAATATCTACTACAACAAAGAGGGGAAAAGTACCTAGTAGCAGTACAATTTTACTAATGTACATGTTTTTATGCAAATATTAGCAAAATTATCATATTTGTTACACCACCACCATATCATATGCCATGAAGAAAAGTCTGTACAACAAAATACAATTGGTATAAAACCAATAATAATCAAACAAACCTTTACTGTTTACAATAGAGCTTTAGAAAAGAATACAGCACTTACGGACACATATTTTAACATTTAAATCAGCCACATAATTAAAATGCATGCGTATTGCTTTCGACCGTACTATCTGAATGCAGTACTATAATTGTCGAGTAGGTAGTGGGTCAAAACAAAACATTAAAAACATATGTTTTGGCACGCCAAATCTCATATTTTTGACATCAGTTGGGGGCCTGCGGGCTGGCAGTTTGAGACCTAGAAAAGCATGGAGGATAACTGCATAAATATAAATAATGACAAAAACTAAAATGGTCATTTTTGTTGTATTTACAAAACTTTACAAAAAAAAGGGAAAAAAAAAAATCCCAAAATTGACTCAGGCCAGGGATTTAAATAAAACTAAAATGCACCTTTTAATAACTTCACATACTTAAAGCTTTTTAAATATTTCAACTTTTAGCAAAGTTTAAAAACAACTCCCAGACATAAAAAATCTGAGGATTCTTGTTTTCTCATTATAGCTTTTCAAGATGCAAACATGTTTTGTTTCTCAGCCATAGTCCAAATGGCAAATTTTTCACTTTAGCAGAATAAATTATTACAAACCAGCTAACCAGTTTCTGAATCCACTTCAACTCCAGCAAGTCAAGCCATCCTGATAAGACTGAGAGAAGACTAAACCATCTTCAAGAACATTACCTGAAAGTTTACCCAGGCATTTTAATGTCAGAGGGGAAACAGTTATACACACATAAGGCACAAATACTAATCTATTCAACATAGACTGATTTGTTAAGCATTTGTGATTCACTAAATGCATTTTAATTACATGCTGCAGATTTCCCATGTCCACAAATGTCCACCAGCATTTCATACGCAAACCTACGTGTGAGCTCAGGTGGGTTGTGGCAAACCCCAGCTGGGTATGGATGAAGAAGGAATCTCCCTTCTCAGCTCTAGGATCTTCTGACTGCGCTGAGCCTCAGTGTCTATGGTGTCCTGCTCCTCAAGCGACTGCCGGATCAGGGACTTGAGCAAGGGCAGTCCATGACCAGTCATGGCAGACACTGGCACGATGTGAGTGAAATGCATTAGGCTTTTAGGGATGACGTCTTCAGAAAACAGATGAATTGATTCTAAAAAAGTAAAGCACCACTTACAAGTTAGCAACCAAGAAAAAAGGCTTGTACACTACCATCAAAAGCTCCTTAAAAATCAATGCAAATGGAACGATCTTGTGAAACATATTTCAGCTAAATTTACTCATGGTACAAAATAGAGACTGGTAAAATAGCAAACAAATACAAATCTCTGACCCGGTCAACCTCCTACAAAACATACATTTGTGTATAGCAGCTATTTCTACACTGCTAATCAAACCTACATGAAAAGTAATTGAATCCAGTTGATCGCTAAAAGCATCCATCATTTTACAGCATTTTTCGGAGGTATATACTTACAATAACTCAAAACAAAGGCTATGTTTAAATGCAATCTGTGACCTACCTCCCTGGTTCTCCAATTGAGCTTCTAGCTCTTGGAAATGACTTTGAGCCTCTGGGAGATCCATTTTATTTATGACCAAGATAGCAGGCTTGCTTAACAGCTCCTCCTTGTACAACTCCAGCTCCTGTTTAACAAAGAAGGCCATGAGGAAGTATACAGCATAATCTTGTATGCAAAAAAAAAAAAAAAAAAAAAGCATTACAGTCAAGTTAGACAAGTTTGTGTGTGTGTATGCATTTATATTAACAGAAGTGCTTTGAATCTGTATTTTTTAAAGTTTTTTCTAATAAGCCTACACTACCTGACAAAAGTCTTGTCATTGATCCCAGTTGTAAGAACAACAAATAATATTTGACTTGTAGTTGATCATTTGGAAAAGTGGCAGAAGGTAGATTTTTTATTTTTAATGAGATATTTGTTGAACTGCATACCAATTATCACAAATACTGCAGAAGACTTAATGGAACCTGCATGGACCCAAGATTCTCATAGAAACCAGTCAAGTGTGGTAAGGAAAAATCGTGGTTTGGCATTACATTCAGTATGGGGGACGTGCAAGACATCTGCAAAATGGATGGCAACATCAACAGCCTGAGGTATCAAGACATTTGTGCTGCCCATAACATAGAAAACTACAGGAGAGGGCAAATTCTTCAGCAGGACAGTGCTCCTCCTCATACTTCAGCCTCCACATCAAATTTCCTGAAAGCAAAAATGGTCAAGGTGCTCCAGGATTGGCCAGCCCAGTCACCAAACATGAACCTTATTGAGCATGTCTGAAGTAAAATGAAGGAGGAGGCATAGAAGATGAAGCCAAAGAATCTTGATGAATTCTGGGAGTTGTGCAAGAACGTTTTCTTTGCCATTCCAAATGACTAAGTAATTTGAGTCATTGCAGAGATGTATGGCTGCAGTTCTCAAAGCTCATGGGAGTGAAACACAATTTTAATTATTTCTACACTGAACCATGACTTAATATTTTATACTGTACATTATTTCTGTTAAGTGACAAGACTGTTGTCTCAACAAAGTCAGACATTACAGTCCTAAAATAATTTAAAAATCAAAGCCTGATCATATTTTATTTTGGTAAAATAAGCATAATCTAGAGGCCTTTGCCTTTCATATAAGCCACTTTTGATACTAAATAGTCTACTAGAAGTCAAATTTTTTTTTTGCTGGTCCTAAAACTTGGACAGGCGATAAGACTTTTGTCAGGTAGTGTATATACATACAAATATTTAATTGACGAAAAAACGCTGTATTATGCACAATAATAGTATTACTTTATGATAATATCTTCATTTGTTAGGTTTATAGGCAAGTTTGATTAGACAATGATTGGACAACGGTGGTTTGTTCTGTAGCCAATTGAAACTTATTTCTTAAGGAGGCTGATAATACTGACTTAATTTAAGAAATAAACGTCTTCAAAAGACAAATATATTAGGAAATACTGTGAGATTGTACTAGTTCTAATAAAAAAAATCAATTTCTACAATTGTTTTTTTTACTTTTAAAAAAGCTGTTAAGCAACAAAGTAAATAAAAAACATGCATTTATTGTAAATAATAGTATTACTGTAAAAAAAATATTACAATTTTGAACAAAATTGAATTTATTTCACCTTGGATAAAAGCAGCACGGTTTCAAACGCAGACCTAAATGGCGTTTTACTAGCAAGCTGAAACCCGCAGACGTCAACCTGAAACATCAGAACATGATTAACCATATGTCTTTGATAGTACATAGTATTCAAGTGCTCAAAATAACATAATGGATGCAGTACCACAAACATGAGCTGTTTAGTTCTCTCTACATGCTTGAGAAATTTGTGTCCCATGCCTTTATTCACATGAGCACCTTCAATGAGTCCTGGTAAATCTGCTACTGAAACCTGAAAAACAAAATCCAGTAACTTACTCTGACTTCAGTCTAATAAAAATGCGTGTATTAAATGACAAACCATAAATATCTGTTCATCAAAACAAAACTATGTGGAAATTTTTTGTGTTTATTTTTTTAGACTACATTATGAGATGACAAGTATATATTGTGTTCTTCAAGTTGTTTCCTTTCCCAGTACTGGGTTGCAGCTGGAAGAGCATCCGCGGTGTAAAACATGCTGGATAAGTTGGCGGTTCATTCTGCTGTGGCAACCCCTGATAAATAAAGAGACTAAACTGAAGGAAAATGAATGAATGAATGAATGAATGAAGTTGTTTCCTATATTAAAGGATTTTAGATTTACTAACAGCTTGCATCAGATTAAAATATTAAAAACTGAAAAGATCCACTATTAGGAATCACTAAGATCTAGGGATGCAAGTTATTGTGATAAATCTGATATTGCAATATATATTTTTGCTACAAAATATATTGCGATATGAATATAATTGGATTTAAATAGCACTATTCAGGAAGATTTCATGAATTTGGATTGCCTGGGGTGATCAAGTCTTTATATGCAGAAATCAAAAAATATATATATATATAATTAATTAGAAGCATATATAAATACTAAAGAGCAAAAATTAAAGTGAAATGAACAGTGCTTTATAGTTTTATGGGGAGTCTTACCATATTCAAATCATTATGTTATGTCATCATAATATTTAATAATAGCTTTCTCTTTTAATCTTTAATAAATTATCTAATCCTGCAATGTGACTATTGTGGATACACACATTGCGATATCTATGCTCAAACAATATATTGTTCAGCCCTACTAAGAACATAAAATCTATAAAATTTTGAACAGGTTAATGACCTTACTGCATGTGCGTTTGTGAGAGTTTCCCTTTCAGACGCAAGTACTGAAATAAACCATTCATTTGATTTTCCATTTATTGTAATGTGATATTTCCCAGAGATGGGTTGCGGCTGGAAGGGCATCTGCTGCGTAAAAACGTGATGGATAAGTTGGCGGTTCATTCCGCTGTGCCGACCCTAAAATAATAAAGGGACTAAGCCGAAAAGAAAATGAATGTAATTTGATACAGGTAATTTACTGGTTTGCAGCATTATTTAAAACCTAAAGAAGAAAGTCTTAAACCATATTGTGCCGCCTTGTTAAAGATTATCTTTAAATTTAGATTTTCTTTAATTAAAATATAAAACAAAGTCTTATTGATTTTGCTACTTTTTATCCCAATATCCCAAATATTTTGAAGAATGTTCAAATCCAGAATTAAGCAATTTTAGCTTAGTGACAGAGACCATGTCCATTGTCCTCATGCTAATAACATTACGCACAAAACCGATTTTCTATTTTGGTTTTATAGAAAACAGGGAAACATCAAAGACCCCAATACGTTGCGTTACATTAAACTGCACAGAGCGGCATTATAACAAATGTCATATAGCACTGTTTCTTCCCCATGTAAGCACAACTGGAAGCGGAATAAATCTCTACTGCTTTCATGCCGCATTGCGCTTGTCTCTCACCAGCAACTGGTTCAGTGGTCTCATTTTGCTTCAAATACTGTTAGCTTTACTCTGCTCTACACTACCATGATGATAAGTTATGAATACTTGAGTCCGTGAACATGGTTTCTGCAGGAGTACTGTGGGATGCAATGAAGAAGACAACTCCCATGATTCCACATTCAGTCAAGGGGTCATCAAACTACACTTTTGTTGGTTGTGAATGTGCATCATCTAACAGTGAAAAAGCACAGTATTTAATTTAACTACCCGCACATTATTATTATTATTATTATTATTATCATCATTGGGTTTGTTTAGGTGTGGTCAATTTATTTAGCACCACTCTTGATAATGAGTCTTTGTGTTCATTAATTTCTCAGATCATCCACAGAACTTTCCAGTCTCATTAGTGCTGTCATGGGATTGCATTATTATGCCGATTTACACTGTTTAACAAATCTGGCCCGAAGACTCACATAATGTGGTCTTCTGAACAGGCGTGCCGTTGTCATAACTACATTAAGTCATGACATGACAGCATCCTCCTGTGATTAATAATGCCATTTCAGGGCATTTTGAAGAGCCTGTCATCCTACCTGCTTGTGGTCATCATACATGACCTTTCCAATTTCAGGTTTTATCGTCGTGACTAAAGGAAAATAAGAAAGAAAAGAAAAAACAACAACTGTCAAACTAATAATCATGTGTAAATGTAATATATAGATTATACGCTTATATACACACAATTGATTCATTTTTTATTAACTTTTTCAGATGTATTAACTATCTTAAATTAAATAAAAGAAGTTTCACTTCATTAGTTTAAATAATCTATTGCTGAATTCTGGTACTTACAGGGATAGTTGGCGATCTTTGGTTTAGCATGAGACAAGGCGGTCAGCAAGGAAGATTTGCCTGCATTAGGAAACCTGTCAATATAATGCAATTGTAAATCTATGAAAGGTTTGACATGTCAAATATGCATTAACAAAGAGAGAAAACAACTAAATGTATTATTTTGCTTCATTTTAACTATTTTTTTGGCTTGTAATTTGTTTTTCCTTGTAAAATTTCCCAACATTTGAGGCCAATTCTTCCTATCCCAATGCACATTCCAAGAATAGATTCTCTCACCCAACAAGTCCGAAATCTGCAATGAGTTTGAGGTCCAGCCGGATATTTCTGGTTTGGCCTTTATTAGGCAAGAACCCTGATTGTGGAGAGCCACCGCGACCACCTTTCGCCACCAAAAGCTTGTCTCCTTCACGGTTCAATTCTCCTAAAGCAAAATGACACAAAGTACAATTTCAAATGAAGCAGCAAATGGTGTTTGATAGAAAGTTTAAAAAGTGAGTAAATATATTTGCAGAAAAACAACTAATAAAGTAGTGAAGTGATGTGAGAGATGATTTAGATATTATAAAGATTACCTAGCATTCTCCCATGATCTGATGTAACACTGATTCCTGTGGGTGCAAAGACTTCAACGTCCTCTCCTTTAGCACCTCGCAAAGCTTGAATACTGATAAAAAAAAAACAATTTACAATTTTACTTACTTAAAATTTATATGCTACAAAGCATATAAACAAAACATATCAGGTGTTGAACACTTTCAATAGCACAGCTGAGGTTCCTTGAGCAAGACACCAAACTCCTACTGCTCACCAGCATTCCACTGCTCCAGATGCGTGTTCACAATGTGTGTGCAAACTAAGTTGATTTGGATAAAAGTGTCTGCTAAACGTAAATATTTAATAAAAACACTATGCTATAAAAAATAGGAGGTATTAGTTTTGTCTTTCACAAAATTGGAGAAAAAATACAATTAAACAGAGAACTGATTGATTGTGAATGTGTAATATCCTAAGCTGTTTCCAAAAACAGAACAACATGGATTAACACTGCAATATGCTGGAGCATGTGCATTGTGCATCATTCACCAACACTGGAAAAGCGGGAAAACATGATTCTGCAGGCAACATATGGCAAGAGGAATGCAACTGTTCATATATAGATCTATTAATGGTGTGACATCCTGTCTACTGAGATACTTTCATCTGATCAATTTTGCATCAATTATGTATGCTTTATGTACTCCCATTTATAATGATTCATTGTAAGTTTGCACGTTTTAACAATCTTGAATGATATTTGCTTAGCTATGGCCAAATCATTTAACTAAATGCTTCACACGAGAAGCTGTGTAAAACCACTCACCATATTCACTAAAAATTCTCATAGAATTTAACATTTAGCATATTCCCTAAAATCACAATTTTGCTTATTTTAACCTTACATGGGATAAGACACACGGATCAAATCATTTGTGCACAGCAGGTTCTCCTTGTGCTGTTCGTCTACCTGAGTGCAAACAATTCATTCTTTTGCATATTTTAATTTGAACAGGTGGAAGACAAGATGTTCAAAAACAGGTTTTCAATCTGTTATTCACATAAAGCCATTGAATGACTTTAAACAAGGTAAATACCTATCTATCTATCTATCTATCTATCTATCTATCTATCTATCTATCTATCTATCTATCTATCTATCTATCTATCTATCTATCTATCTATCTATCTATCTATCTATCTATCTACCTTTTTTAGATTCATATTGTTGTGCTGTTTCAGGTTTCAGAATTATAAAAACAACATTCATTGACATTGTCTTATGTTTTCAATAGGCTATTTCATGGCAATAATTTAAGCATTAAGTTACTGAGCTTCCAATATATCAGTAAATCAGATTCTCCAGACAAAGTGAAGAATAGCACCTACAACACGTTTCAAAGTTCTTACTCCAACACAGACAATCAAAAGGAGAGTTCACATAATCTGGTAGATAAAAAATAATATACATCAAAACAAAATCTCCATTTTATGATATCATTAAGAATAAATATATTTTTATAAACTATATAAAGGAGTTAGACAATGAAACTGAAATGCCTGGTTGTAGACTACATTAAGTTATTAGTATGGTGTAGGGCCTCCTTTTGTGGCCAATACAGCATCCATGTCATTAAAATGACATATACAAGTCCTGCACAGAGGCCAGAGGGATTTTGATTCTTCTTGCAGAAAAGTGGCCAGCTCACATCGAAGAAAAGCGTTTCCTGACCCGACCCTCCAAAACTCCCCAAATATATATATATATATATATATATATATATATATATATATATATATATATATATATATATATATATATATATATATATTAGCCCCCTTTTGATTTTAAATATTTCCCAAATGATGTTTACCAGAGCAAGGAAATTTGTCTGATTATATTTATATGTCTGATAATATTTTTCCTCTTGGAGAAAGTCTTATTTGTTTTATTTCGGTTAGAATAAAAGCAGTTTTAAATTTTTTTAAAACCATTTTTGGGACAAAATTATTAGCCCCTTTAAGCTATTTTTTTTTTCAAACCATCATTATAGAATAACTTGCCTAATTACCCTAACCTGCCTAGTTCACCTTATTAACCTAGTTACGCCTTTAAATGTCACTTTAAGCTGTATAGAATTGTCTTGAAAAATATCAATTGAAATATTTTTTACTGTCATAATGGCAAAGACAAAATAAATAAGTTATTAGAAATAGGTTTTTAAAATTATTATTCTTAGAAATGTGCTGAAAAAATTTAACAGAAATAAGAGAAAAAAATAAACAGGGGCGCTAATAATTCAGGGGGGCTAATAATTCTGACTTCAACTGTATATACACACACAGTTGAAGTCAAAATTATTAGCACCCCTTTGAATTTTTTTCTTCTTTTTTAAAATATTTCTCAAATTATGTTTAACAGAGCAAGGAAACTTTCACAGTATGTCTGATAATATTTTTTCTTCTGGAGAAAGTCTTATTTGTTTTATTTCGGCTAATTTAAAAGAAGGTTTTCAATTTCATTATTTTAAGGTCAAAATTATTAACCCCTTGAAGCTAATATTTTTTTCAATTGTCTATAGAACAAACCTTCATTATACAATAGCTTGCCTAATTACCCTAACCCTCCTAGTTAACCTAATTAACCTAGTTAAGCCTTTAAATGTTACCTAAGGCTGTATAGAAGTGTCTTGAAAATATCTAGTAAGATATTATTTACTGTCATCATGACAATGATAAAAGAAATCAGTCATTAGAAATGAGTTATTAAAACTATTATGATTAGGAATGTGTTGAAAAAAAATCTCTGTTAAACAGAAATTGGGGGGAAAAAATAAACAGGGGGTCTAATAATTCAGGAGTGCTGATAATTTTGACTTTAAGTGTGTATATATCTTTATATTCATATTTTTAATTGAAGCTGTACAATATCATATTTGGGCATATACATTAGATTAGTCTGGAGCTTATTTAAAAAAATAACTTGCGATAACGGTCCAAAAATTAGTACACCCAAATTTGTATGTTATAGAAAAATGTTAAATACAAATAAAAAAATAGGAAAAACCTAAAAATAATTTAGTAGAAATTTTATTTTTTTTGCAATATTTTGTTTGAATTTAATTGTATTATTTTTCAATTTCTAAATATGTTTTGTGACAAAAATATTAAATATTATTTTAATAAATCTGCTTTGTTAAATGCTTAGATTCACTGAGAAATAAAAATGTTCTTTTTCAAAATTATATATATATATATATATATATATATATATTTTTTTTTTTTTTAAACAAGAAATTTCTATTGCATTTCTATTGCATATCAGATGCATTTCCATTTCTCTCATCAATCAGAATTAAAGGACTCACCTGCTGTTTGAACCAACACCAGCAATGAACCGCTTGTCAGGGTGCTTGTCTTTAATTTGCTTCAATCTAGTGTCTTTTTTGGCTACCACCCATACATCTCCACCATCCCCTCCATGTCCACCTAAACGGGGCAAACCCATTCCTCCAGTACCACCTCTAACATACAGCCGTACATTATCCACAAAATTGCCATACTGAAATAAAAAAAGACAAAAAATTATGGGTTAATTGTCATACAATTTTGTAGCATTGTCATGAACAGAAAGTTCAAGAGAAAGTACTGACTATTTTTTTATCGTAAAATTACAAATGATTTACTGTGACCTGATCTTTTTATTATGTTCTTGTTGAATAGAAGTTATTTCAATTGCCCAAACTGTGACATTCTCAAAAACTTTAAATATTATATTAACGCATTTATTATTTTTATATAATTTTAATATGATTACATTTTAAAAAATATTAAGCATTACAATATAAAAAAATACAAAAATCTTGAACTGCAAATCAACATATTCAAATAATTTCTAATTAATAATAGTAAACTTTATTATACAATGACTATCCATTGCTCAAGGGCGTTTAACAATAAGAAGCAGCACATGACAAATAGTCATATTCCCTAAATGAGTATAAGTACACACTCCCGCTGTTATTCACTTATAAAAAAGCGAATAACAGTTCATCATGACGCACAATGTCGTATACACACAATGTCATCAATATTGGTGCACTCAGTGCCCTCTGAAGTTAACAGACGTCAACATTACAGAAGAAACGAAAGGAATATGACATGATGGATAACGTAGTTATTCACGTCATTCTGCAACCGCTGGTCTATAACGAAATTGAAATAACTTAAGTAACTTAGGGTTATGTACACATGAAATGCTAATCTAAATATAACTATTTATGAATAAAAAATGCATTAACTATGAATGAAATAATGCTGTTAAAATGGCGTGATTTATTCTAGCATCACCTAAAATTACGTTGCATATCTTATTATTCGTAACAGTCAAATAATTACGCAGTAATTTACTACACACGGTCTGTAAACGATAGATACAGGAGCATGTGAAGGTCGGGCTACCAGCATCTAACGTTACATTAGCTAACGTTAGCATTAAATCCAATTCGACGAGCTGGTCGACGTTACTAACCTTCCGGAAACAAATTCTGCTTGTCCACACCATCCCAAAACAACTCTTGAAAGAAAAGAACGTACTGAAGTGATTGTTTTAAGCTACAGGGTGACTGAAGTTCAGGGCCAAACACGTGTATACTTCCGGAAACATGGCAATGTGCGCTGTGATTGGCTGCAAGGGCTGTCTATCACCCGTGTTTCCGCCTCTGCATCATAGTGAAGGCGTGAGCTCTCTTTATGAGGGACTTCACTTTAGTTTCTCCTATCCTATTTCTGTTTTATTGCTTGACACAAAACATATGATTTCTAATGCAACGTTTAAGAAATCTCCTGGAATAAACAATTAAGCGTAAGTCAAAAATGAAATTACAATCAAGTTACAATTTGAGCCAATTTGTCGCCAAATTGATGATTTTTCGACAAAACACAACAGATATTTGTTCTAATAATTACTATTGAATAAATAAAGAAATTAACGATTTTAAAAGTGTAGTAAGCTTTCTTTTTTAGCTTATTAGCTACAAATTATTACTCATTTATCACCATTTTTCCAACCTTTTAAGTGAAATAATTTGTGGCTGACCAATTGGCAAATAATAGCAGGCTAATCATTTTCTCTGAGTACTTGTGTTCTTTAGATTGTAATTGAATTACGTCCTTCACGTCAGGTGCTTTTCAGTGTAAAGTGGAATGAGCTACAGTCAACAGCATGACGCTGGAAACGTGGGCGCGCACGGCTTTTAAAGTCTCCATAAGTCGTAAAACACTCGCTCAAAGACAATTATTCGCCTCAATGGTATGAAAGAAAACGGGTCTGCAGATCAGTCGCAGGACAGAAAAAACTGAACGACGTATTGTAAGTTAATTATTTAATTTTATTAAAATATTTTGCTGTGGTAGGAGCTTAATTTAAAAGTCGTTTTTGCATGGCATATTGCAAATAAATGCTGAATGCGGCTAGTGTTGAAACATCCTCTGCTTAGTAAGTTTTCAAGTCAAAAACAGATTTACCTGTTGATTCCAAAGGTTCCAATGGAACGTTTGATGGGGGTCCTCGCCGGCCAGTGGTGGCGCCTTCTGTCAGTGTGCTTGCTGCTGCTCGCCAGCGCTTCATCCTACTCCATACCCAGTCTCGAGGCGCTGAACACCGAAGGCATAGGGGGCGGTAAGGCTCCCGGGCACCTTGGCGAGATAAACCGTGAATGCTGGGACGCATCGTCAATAGCGGTTATACAAGGGCGTAAATTGCGCATCGCCGACTCGGTTGCAGGGCTCTGGGACTTTATGACATACTTAAGCGGGTCAAATCAACCAACACAACAAGACATGTTCATGGAGCTCGCGCAGGTGTTTTGGGAAAAGTATGTGGACTGCGTGCTGGCACGCGCGCACGGACTGGGCAGAAGAGCGAGGGCGTCCAGGCAAGAGATCATCAAAGTGTTGACTTACCATTCGGAAGGGATGGACATCTAGTTTAGCGTTTGTCCGAGTTTTTGTCATTCGAGATGTGAAGATTGTAGTTCGTTATTTCTTTGTGAAGCCGTCTTCTCTCAAACTGCAGCGAAATAAGCTTGTCGAAATAAATGTCGCACCAATTGTTGCACCAGTGTCAGATATTAAAACATCTTTTATAGGAACATGTTGTGTATAGGCTACATCTGTTTTTGCAAAATCATCTTAAAGGCATAGGTTACCCAAAAACTAAAGATTCTGTCAGAATTGCTCACCCTTCACTAAAGATATTTTGAAAAATGCTGAAAACCTGTAAGCAATGACTTCCATATTACTTGTTTTATTTAATATGATCAGTGGTTACAGGTTTCTTACATTTTCCCAAAATATCTTATATTGTGTTCAACAGAAGTAACTAATAAATATTTGAAACGACTTAAAATTGGGGAGTAGTGAGTAAATGTTAATTTCTGGGCGAACTATACCTTTAATTTACTATAAATTAATTGTTATTTGTAAAGATTTTTTTTTATTGGCCACTATAATACATGTGTAAAAGTACAGGAACATTCTTTACATACTTTGACCTAATTTATTGTGAGATATAGTATTTATATATAGGCCTAATATTTTCAAAGAACATACAATACATTTGGATGTTGAGTAAATTTGACATACCCAGGGAGCATGACCCTTGAGTTCAGTGAGTCATTAATACAGTGCAGATTCCTGCAGTGCCACAACAACCCCAGACAATAAACACAATCAGTGTTTCAATATAGCAAATCAACATCCAATTATGGTGCAAGCTGCTCAACTCCCCAACCTGGCTACTATGTTAAAATGTAGTATTTTATTACAAAGCTCTAAATGGTGGTAAGCAACAGTGTATCAGCATAGTATATTGTGTTGAACTTGATCAAAATCTCAGATCTGTGATTATTTTACTAGGAGGTTCTCTCAGTTATAATGATTCATTTGAGTGAGTTTGAGCAGAGCAGTTCAATGCATTTAGCTAATTATCACTTACCAATCCATCAGGTTCAGATAGCAGGATTAATCTTTATAACATTCTATAAGGACATGGACACATACAAGATGGTGATGTTTCACAGACCATGTGAAAGTTTAATTTGTTTATTTATACCATCAAGTATGATACATCATGAGCATGAGCTTATTTAAGGCAGAGGTGTTATAGTTAACTAAAATAAAAACAAAAATTTTCTTCCTTCCAATTTTAATGATAATAAAAGACACAAATGTTAAAGAGGGGATATAAAATATCATGATTATGTTTACAATTATTTTTTCTGGAGTGACACAGTAGTTAGCACTGTCTCCGTACAGCAAGAAGGTTGCTGGTTCGAGTCCTAGCTGAGTCAGTTGGTATTTCTGTGTGGAGTTTGCATGTTTTCCCCGTGTTTGCGTGAGTTTCATCCGGATGCTCCGGTTTCCCTGACAGTCCAAAGACGTCCGGTATAGGTAAATTGAATAAGCTATATTGGTCAAAGTATATGTGTGTGAATGAGTGTGTATGGTTGTTTCCTAGTACTTGGTAGCATCTGGAAGGACAACCGCTGTCTAAAACATATGCTGAAATAGTTGGCAGCTCATTCTGCTGTGGAAACCCCTGTTTAATAAATGGACTAAGCCAAAAGAAAATTGATGAATTGATTGAAAAAGTGAATTGATTAATTCTCACTTTATCTTGCCTACTGTATCTTGATAAGCCTGCTAAAATGTAATAAATAAACAGACAGCAATTTATTTCTCCCTTCATTTATTTAATGTTATTTCAAAACGTAAATCTTTTCTGCTTACCAAGACTGCATTTATGCATTCATTCATTTTCTTGTCAGCTTAGTCCCTTTATTAATCCGGGGTCGCCACAGGGGAATGAACCGCCAACTTATCCAGCACATTTTTACGCAGCGGATGCCCTTCCAGCTGCAACCCATTTCTCAGTTGCAACGCCAACTGAGCCCAGGATCGAACCAGCGACCTTCTTGCTGTGAGGCGACAGCACTACCTACTGCGCCACTGCGTCACCCCAGACTTCATTTATTTGATCACAATACAATAACAATAACATTTTTATAGATTACATTTAATATACTCTTGTGCTTCCAAGTATAATTTCATATATCATTTAGTTTTCAATGTAAGCTGATCCTTAGGAAATTATTCTGATTATTATAAAAATCAGTTGTGCTGCTACATATTTCTGTGTAAACTGATACAAAACATTTTTAAAAATACAATTTAATCAAGAACAATTATCAAACTGGTAAAATGATTTCTGAAGAGTCATGTGACACTGAAGACTGGAGTAATGCACTGACAATGGGCTATATGCACACAGACTTTTAATTTCAGCCAGCCAGCCCCAGCGCTTCTGCTGAACCGTCTTTCCATTATAAATTCCCACATTTAAGGTTTATTTTCTTTAAAAAAAACCTATCAAGTGGGTCTCAGACTGGACAAGAAACACTGCAGTAATTTACATTTCCCACACCACATCTTTCAAATATGACTAGCCTGCTGATCCTGACGGCCCTAGCCGAAACAGAGTTTCATCTCGTTGAACAACTAAATGACTGGATGTAATTACATTACAATATCGATGCTGTAAACGCAACCTTGTTAAATTGAAAATAGTAGCATGAAGCTTTCACTGAAAGTTGATCATAGGCTGAAGCACACTAGCTGTGCATTTAGACCATTAACATAGGAAAGTCATGTTAAATGTAAACATTTTCACAATATGGTTTGATTGTATTTTAGCTTAATTTTTAACAATGTATAGTAGTAGTAATACAAAAATGAATAAAAATGCAAATGTTTAAAAAAAAATAAAAAAATGTTTCATTAGTTAATGTATTTACTAAGATGACCAAAAATGAACAATACTTGCATTTATTGATCATACTTTAACATTTACTAAAGTATTATTAAAAGCAAAGCTGTGCTTGTTAACATTAATTAATGTACCATGAGTTAACATAAAGGCAACACAGTGGCGCAGTAGGTAATGCTGTCACCTCACAGCAAGAGGGTTGCTGGTTTGAGCCTTGGCTGGGTCAGATGGCATTTCTGTGTGGAGTTTGCATGTTCTCCCTGCGATCACGTGGGTTTCCTCCAGGTGCTCCGGTTTCCCCCATAGACCAAAGACTTGCGGTACAGGTGAATTGGGTAAGCTAAATTGTACGAGTGTGAATGAGTTTGTACGGATGTTTCCCAGAGATGGGTTGTAGCTGGAAGGGCATCCGCTGCGCAAAAACATGCTGGATAAGTTGGTAGTTCATTCCACTGTGGCGACCCCAGATTGTGTTGTTCATGGTATTAAATAGATAAACTAGTAAAACTATATTATAAACTGTTACCCAAACTAGAATATCACAGAAACACAAACACTGGCTTTATGTGGTACCAGTTAAACATATAAAATAGACCAATACAATGAAATATCCAACACTCACAAAAAAATAAATAAATAAATAAAATAAAAAAGGAAGAAAAGAAAAATCCAAAAGGTACACTTATTTTTGGTGCTTATAATGGCAACTTTTAAGGTACCAATATGGACCCATAAGTTGCAAACCTTTTTTTTGTTAAGTTACTGCCCCAGTGACATCTTTTGTCCCTTTACATCTGAAAGTGTATAATGGCCTACACATAATAGATTAAAGGCTTTTTAATTGAATATTATTGTTTATGTTTATGTTTCCTTCCTTTATGTTTCCTTTATGTTTCCTTATAAAGAAAGACAAACCGACAACCAAATAAGTGTGAAGACAAAATGTGTGTGTGTGTGTAGTGTAGTGTATAGAATGGGCAATGCCAATCCTAGAAGAGCATTGGTGTTCCTGAAGGGAAACTCATTTGAGGTTTACATGCTGGACTTCTGTAAAACAGGTTAGGAAACAGTGCGCGTGTACTACCTACGCCATCCAGTGGTTGTCAATGACTTATAAGAAAATGTTCATGCGAGACTAATTGTTAGTTATTTAATGATTCAAACGTGCCTTTAAATGTTGACAGAATTTAGAAAGAGCTTCACCAAGTGCAAATACACAAGTAGCCTAGAGCAAGATGAAGTTGACTAATTATTTTTTAAAAGTCTACTTTACATATGGTCGATATATAATTAACACATTTACTTGTGTTACAGTTGCAGAAAAATTGGATACTAAACAAAATATAAAAGACGTGTTTGCTACTATTATAAAAACGAATAAACTAATATGCCTTCTTATATAGGTGTGTGTTAAAGAGGAGATTTTGCCCGAACCGAGTAATGATCGATTGAGTTTCCTTCCGTTTAACGGGAAATAGTGCGTGTAGTTTTTTCTGTGATTCCATGAGCGCACGGCGGACTCCGCGGATCTGGGCTCGCACTATATGCCTGCCGGTGCGGCACGAGGCGCAGATGATGTTGGATGGAGACTGACGCCTCGCAGCTTCTCGGTGCTACGTCGGTTTAATTTCAGTTCTGTATCACTGGTGGTACGCTTTGGTTAACCGGCGCCATCCCAGAAGAAAAAAAAAAAAAAACAGTTGGCATCATCTTTAGAAAATCACTCGTCCATGTCATCCTGTGACTCGGCTTGGATCCTCCCACTAGGGATACGGACTATTTATACCGCGTGCAGCATCCCGAGCCTTCTAGAGATACGCGAATCTGAAAAAACAGACATTCTTGAAGATTTTTCGTTTGGAGGTAAGAAAATCATTATAGAAATGTATTTATTACCATTCCAAACAGTACTCATATTGGACTGTAGATGTGACCTAAATTATGGCAGATTAAATCATACATAATTCTCACAATTTAATGCGTTATCACAAAACCTTTTTTGTTTCACAAGCATTCTTAAAGTCAGGGCTTTTAATGCTTTTACCAGAGGACTGGAAAAACTGCCAATCCAGTGTCATTAATAACTACCACAGAAAGATGTATGCTGTTTATTCTTGTTTATAAATATGCATAGGCCATAAAGACATAATCAGAAGCTATAACCTATTTGTTTAAATGATGTGCACAGTATGCGTATGGTATTTCACTCCGTTACGTGCAATATAAACTGAACTAACACCAAATTGGCTTAAACGTTATTGCCTGCCCTGGTTGCGTTTTTTCTACTACTGTAGATCTATAATTTTGGAGGCGTAATCCTTATGGGCAACGTGCATACACACGTGCTTTCACAGACACGTGTGTGTAGGCTATGTGTACATACTGACATACCATCCAGTCTGGGCTTCAGACTCACTGATAGTCCTGTCTAGACAACACGCAGACATAATACGGCTTTCCCTCTTTCCCAATGAATGTACTTGCACTGTTTTTATTAGATAGCCATAAATCGTGGTTTTATTTATGTCTGATGTTTTGATTCCCAACCCAGGAAGCATTTTTAATTATTTTTTTAAAGATGTCTAATTGATGGCTAATAGACATCTAAACATATAGGGCTCTATTTTGACGATCCATGCGCAAAGTGCAAAGCGCAAAGCGCAAAAGCAATAAGGGTACGTCAGAATCCACTTTTGCTAATTTAAGGATGGAAAAATCCATTTTGCGCCGTGGTCTAAAAGGGTTGAGCGTATTTTCTTAATGAGTTATAGGTGTGTTTTGAGAATAAACCAATCAGAGTCTCATCTCCCATTCCCTTTAAGAGTCAGTTGCGTAGCCCCAAACCGCATTTGCTATTTACATGACGGACTTTGTCAGTGGAAAAACTGAACACTTAACTAGCGAGAAAACAGTTAAACAGAGCATCTACAGCGTAAGAATGAGAGATAAGGCCTTCTCTTGTTGTACGCACACACATCAATTAGCCTATTAATAAATAATTTTGTTTCTTAAGTGCGAAGATTTGTTTCAAAACTATTTTTAAATTCAGTTCTAATTTCCAGCAAACTAATAAATGAATAATAATAACAAAGTGTGGTCAAAAAACTGAGTTATATCCAAATACACATGCTGTGCCCCATATGGTCTAAAACCTGACAGGTGGGCACATCTAAGCTTGTTTTTAATACAACAAATATACATATGCATATAATAAATACCACTGCTAATAATAACATTATACAAAAACATTAGACAAAAATAGTCAATACAACTCTTGCGCCAAGCTGAAACTAGCAAACAACTATTGCGACTCGCCTTGCGCCGGGTGTAAAATAAGGACCATAGTCGTCTTGGCTAAAACAAGGCTAAAATTAGGTTTTCAGTGAAATCTACTACACATCTAAGAATAGGCCCAAACTAGACTACAGTCATCATATAAACGGAAATGAATGAATGACTACACACAAAGTCTGTCTAATTTATTTGTTTAGCCTTGTTTTAGCCAAGCTGTCTACATTTAGATGTCTATTGGACATCTATTAAACACAAAATTGTTTGTTGCCAACAAATGATGTTAGGTTTTTTAAAGGGGTTTTGAAATGTCCATTAGATTGTGTTTAATGTTATTGATGAAGAAATTGAGAGTTTACGGAGCAACAAAAACTCTATTAATTTTTATTTTTTTATTAACATTTAAAATTAGTTAAATTAATTACTTTTTTGCATGAGGTACAATGTACAAGTCAGTCATTATAGCTCAAAATACTACAAAATATCACAGGCACATCTGTAGGATACATTTGTTTTTCTGGATGACTGGTCAAAATTTTGCCTTAGACAGTGGTCATCATTCAGAAATATTTGAGTCCTGTGATTGACCATTCAAAATATTGTAGACATTATGTGGACTGAGTCTTTTTTGAAAACAGACAAATGAGTGTGGAAAACAAGTGGTAGGTCAGCCCATGTGAGTACCCCTTCTGAATGTGATCAGGAGACTGTTAAAATGGGGCAATGAGGTGGAAATGCCAGTTTCAACCCCTGCCAATGGACCCCTCCGCCCCTAACACACCCCTGTCCCGCCATCCTCACCCCCGATTATGCCTGGAATCCTGCGCACTCACTCTGAAAACAGTAAACAATCGTGGTCAAAGAAAAACAGGTTGTGATGGGTTGCTGCGATGTGCCGACTGTCAGCATGCCGACCCCTCTTTTTTCTTTCGAAAAACATAAACACGGGCTGCATGGATTATGAGCCAAACTGAGGCGTAATCAGGGGGTGATTTACACCTGTGAAGTTGAGACAATGAGTGCACTTAGATAACAGTGCAACACGCCACAAACAGATTATGATTAGCTTTTGTCAGAAAGTAGTGGCAGCGCTAATGCTAGTATTACCTCAGCTGGGTTGAGTTTCTGAGCAGTGTCTTTTTTTGCATGTAGTTTGTGACATGTTATTAAAATTTTGCGTTATACGACAAGTGAAGAAAAAGGGCAGAATATTCGACACAAAGTAAAACAAACGAGCAAAAAAATTTATGTATGCTCTATATTTGCGCACTATACACTATAGATGATGTATTAAAATGATTTACAGGCTATTAAAACTTGGTACCATGTATTTGTTATGCATTTATATTTTAGATAATAAGTGTAAATAAAATATGCAAAACAAATGCCATATACTCTACAATATTAATGTAACATGCTAAGATGTTGTAGGACAGAATCAAGTTATTGTGATTGCCACATTTCTTTTGTATTTATCAGTGCCAGCTCTAATTCTGGCTACCACTATGCCCCTGTTGGAGGAAAGTTCCTTGTCGAGAGACTGTACCCGAACTGTTCCAGTCGTTATCATTGGTGAGTCATAAGAAGGAAAGATCATATTCTACTGAGAAATGGGTATTCATAATATCATTAAATCTTAATCGCTATTAATTAGTGTGAATATGAGTTAAATAGATCTACAAACAAAAAGAATCTTCAAAAGAACATTCCAGACTCACAAGCCTCTCTCCTCACAGGTAATGGTCCTTCTGGTATATGCCTGTCATACCTGCTTAATGGATATACTCCTTATTTGGATCCCAAGGCTGTGCACCCAAACCACATCCTCTTTCGTAAACTACAGGAAGCCAAACAGCTACCCATCACTGAACAGGTAAAATGATGACAAAAACATCAGCAACTATAATTTTGGTCTTTGAATACTGTATACAATCCAAAACTGTGGAACAAACCAGGTGCCCGTGTGTTTGTTAGGACTTGGAATATCTTTGTGAAGGTTTAGAGGGACGTTCAGGGAACCCTGTAGCGGTGCTCTTCGATACACTTCTTCATCCAAATGCAGATCTAGGTTTCGAGTTCCCCTCTGTTTTGCAGTGGAGACTTGAAAAGAAACATCACATTCCTCATCTGGTCCTGGGCAAAGCTACACCTGGTGGTGCTTGGCATGTAAGTAAACTATTTGGGTATATTGCTTCTAAATTACAATTGCCTGAGCTGAAACAAACTTCCTTACTTTTCTGGTTAGCTTTGAGAGATATTTAAATGTGTTGCTTAAACCCTACGGCATTTGAAATAAGTCTTACCCCAATAGTCTTACTTTAACAGGTATCCAAGGCAACTTACATAATGGGTGTTGAGACTAAAAATAGCTATTTTTGTCTTAATGTCTTTCTTGACAAAATAATCTCCGTTTGGTCTTCAAGGCAATGGAAGGTTCAATGTTGACCATTAGCCTCGGCATTTGGATGGAGTTACCGGGAGTCAACTACAGAGACATAACCTCCGGCAAAAGAAGGTATGTGCTATGCATTACAACTTCATACATGATGAAGGCATTGGTACAGGGTGGTCAAGTCTCTTACCTGGAGGACCATACCTGTAAAGTTTAGTTTCTTACTCTAATTAAACGAACCCAAACCAAGAGGCTTTAGGGTTTTTAGGATTATTAGAAACTCTGATCCAGGTTTGTCGAAACAGGTTGGGGCTATACTATGCAGGAACATTGGTCTCCAGGAGGTGGACAGCACACAATAGTATTTATCAAGAAGATATTCTGAGTTTGTTTACTGAGATTGATGGATTCCATTGTGTGTTTGGGATTCCTTCACAGGGCAGCATCCAATGATCGAGCAACACCAGAGGAGATCTCCTCCTACTACAAAAATTATGTCAAACTCATGGGTCTCCAGAAAAACTTTGTTGACAATACCTACGTCACCTCTGTTCAAAAACTTCACCGCAGTCTTGAAAACAGGAATGGGAATGAAAAAGACAATGAAGTGAAAAATGGGTTTGATAATTGCAATAAGAACAGCACAGAGAACAAGAATGGAGTGGTAAATGGGTTTAGTAAGAAGTTACAAAATGGAACTGAGAAAAGCACTAAAAATGGTGAGATTGAGGAGGGGGATGAAGATGAAAGAGGCAAAGATGAAGAAAGAGAGAAAATTGGGTTGTCCCAGGGGCTTTCACAGGGACTCTGGGAGGTCAGGGGTTACCAAAAGCTCCAAGGGGACACTCATGTCCCTTTTAGCTTATTTGCAGAGAATGTTGTTTTAGCAACAGGGGCATCTGACTCTCCTGCCCGACTAGGAGTTGAAGGAGAGGATCTCCCTTACGTGTTTCACAGCGTGCGTGACCTTGGGGTTGCTGTCAGCGGTCATGGCAAACTGGGCTCTTCTTCAGACCCTGTTTTGATTGTGGGAGCAGGGCTTAGTGCAGCTGATGCAGTACTGTGTGCCCTGAACCATAGGGTCCCTGTGTTACATGCATTTCGCAAGCGTGTTGACGACCCAGGTCTTATTTTCAAACAGTTGCCAAAGACACTTTATCCTGAATATCACAGGGTCTACAACATGATGTGTTCCCAGGGTTACAAAGCATCACCTATTGCCAGTCCCACAGCTCCTTGTTCTTGTTTGCACCCCAGCTACACCAGCTTTCCTGAGCACTGTGTGCTTTCCTTTCAGCCTGACATGCACTGTGTAATGAGGGGATCCAGTGGTGTTCTTAAAGTCTTCAAGGTCTCTATGGTACTAGTTCTGATCGGGACCTATCCTAACTTGTTTTTCTTGAAGGAGCAAGGGCAGTACCTTGGCTTGGATCCTAGTAGGCCGATTTCCTGCAGACAGAATCCTGTCGACATAAACCCTTACACCTTTGAGTGCAATGCTGAACCTGGACTCTTTGCTATGGGACCCCTTATTGGTGACAACTTTGTGCGGTTCTTGAAGGGTGGTGCTCTTGGCATTGCTAGCTGTTTACTAAGCAGACTAAAACAGAGGATGAAGAAAAACAGGAAATTGATTGCAGAGGAAGGAGGATGTGGTGGATGGGGAAGAGAAGTAAGTGGGGATGGAGGAGGAGGGTTTGTGTAAGTCTCTAAGGCCGGGCATATGCTGAGTTCCATGCGATTTGGGCAAGGTACTAACTCACCCTTTACAGAAAGAATGCATGCAATGTAAAGCCAAAGGTCTGTATTCATGTGCTCACACTATTCTGTCCAATTGTTTAGCAGCATAGTGCATAGGAAGTCAGCACAAACTTCACCAAAGCATTTTTTGTGCTGCAAAACCAGAGCATCAGTTGTGAGAACTTCTCAAACTGTCAAAGCATTTAAAAAACATAAAACAAAATGCTTAGCGATTGGCTATGCAGCCAGATTTTAAAACTTTCGTTTACAACAACAGGAAAAAAAAATGCTTGTAGATCAAAAACAATTTGGTGGACATGCAACCTGGTTTGCCCTCTTGGCAAACCAGAGTATGTTTTATTTACGACTCATTATGGCCCTTTACACTGAGTGGTACAGTACAGTACAGCACGAGTCACCTTTATCAGGCTTGCATTTGTCTTTGAAGGGTTCCAATGGTACGACAGAAAGTTTCAGTCGACAACATTCTCACTCAAGGAAATATGGGTCGTTCACATATCGTATAAGAAGCATTTCTCACAAAACAGATGCTTTATACACATAAATTCTTGTGTATGAATGTTTATTACTAACTGTTCTATGAACATGCTTTGATTTTAACTACAGGTCAATGAGCGTGAAATAGCTTATTGCAACATCCGCATTGTATAAAATTAATAAATGCTAAATATATGAAAACATACAGACCCTTACACTCTCCGATACGTTACCAATTACAAAAAAAAAAAAAAAAAACTACACAGCATAGATTTAGTCATGATTTGGGTTCAAAAACAACACGCAACATATAGCCCGCAGTCAGTGTAAACCTCTCATCTGCATCTTTATTCTTCACCAGCACGTCACCTCTATCAGAAAGTAAATTCGTCATTTTGAGTTCATAATAGTCCACAAGGTGATGATAATAGCTAAACATGGCAGTGTGATCATCTTTTAAGTTGCTGAAAGAATTCTTTGCTCTTTTGTTTTTTCGCATGTCAGTCTTACGTTTGTCCGTTTCTGAAAGAATTGGATATTAGAAGCACTTCAATAATCATGCGCACGTTATTATTATTATTATTAAGTTCGCTATTTCAAATATAGACGCACGGCAAGTGCAAGCGAGAAAGTGAAACCACTCGCGCTCTAGACAGCATTGTGAAAAACAACGAGGCACAGGGTAGATTCTGCTCTTCTTCTTGGCTTTGTGGCTGTTAATCAAGACAACAAAAAGGTTTGTTTGAGCTCGGGTCGACCAAGGCTCATTATTATATGTATATATTATTACGGTGTAATGTCTCAGCTGTGTTTTTAAAATAGCAGTTCCTTCGTTTTCATTCTCCTGGCGTGTTGCATGAGTGAGTGACGTATCTCTGTAAACCAATAGCGTTCAGTTGCACATCTTGCTTTGCCTTTTGGTACCCTTTTGTTGTGCTAGATACTCTTTGCAAAGGGTTCCCAAAAAGTGGTATAATAAAGTTCGCTTTTAGGTACCTTTTGAAACACCCATACAAGCGTACCAAACCAAACCGTACTACACCATTGAGTGGAATAGGGCCATAAGAGGAAGGAGTCTGAAGCTCTGTTAGAATGAAAGAAATTTTAAAATACTATACTATACTATACTATACTATATATATATATATATATATATATATATATATATATATATATATATATATATATATATATATATTCTAATCAGAACCATTTCTCCCTCACGAGGGCAGACTAAAATTTCTAACATTTCAGAAAATCTGATTGCCTTATCAGAAAAGCAAAAAAGGTTTATCGCACAGTGCATGAACACAGCACATGAAACGACGCATGACAAAGCTGAAATTCGCTCCGATTCTAAGATAATTTAGAATTCAGTGTATGCAGTGTATGCCCAGCCATAGAGAAGCTGTTTCTTGACAGGAATTGTATTGGAACACATCTCATTTTTATATGTATGCAGTGAAAGCTAAATTAAATGTAAATGTTTTCACCACTTAAAAGAGACTAGATGAAGCTACTCTCTTTCCAGTGGTGTCTTATGTTGATTGTTATACAAATAGGGGTTTTTGCTGGTCAGAAATGATGTGCTAACGTGTCAATTTAAATTTCAGACAGAGTATGTTCTTCGTATTGTTGCAAATGCTGTCAGTTGCCTTGTTATTTGTAATTATGTATCCGCTCTTGCATCACATCACAGACAGGATATCTCCCAGTCATGATTGCAGTGCCTAAAGGGACATTCACACTGACAGCAGTTTGTAGGGGTTAAGTAACCACACATAATTCAGAGCTGGCATCACAAGAAACAGACTGTTGAGAATGAAAAGTGTCAAGGTTGAGCAAAGCGAAGAGAAGCTGCTACTATCAATAGGAGTGCAGATAGTAAGAGTGCCTACAGCCCAGACACAAAAAAATCTTTAGTGAATTAATCTTGTCAGTGTGAAGTCAAGGATGCTTGCACTAAGCTGTAAAAGAAAGCAATACCTAAAGAGCGATGATGTAGTCAAAAGGTTTGATTCTTAAAGATTGTTGCAGACCGCACAAACATTTCTGCTGTGAAATACCAATGAACGCACAATTCATGTATATTAATATGCACACAGTTAATAACAAGCTAATGCATTTCCTTGTCTAAAGATTGACCGTACACAAACATGGCCTTATCCTGAAAAAAAGAAATGTTCTATTCTGTCTATTTGGATGTATCTATTTGGAATTATAATATAGAACACATAGCACTTTAAACAGAAAATTAATATAGTTTATACCAGCGCTTCACTGGTAAATAAACTTGCATAAAAGGCTTCTATAACTACATATTTGAGTGATCAAAGAGTGAATGTGTAGTGCCACTACAGCAAAAGAGCCATGAGCTCCTGATCTGCACAAGTCTGAACTTCAGACAAAAAAAAAGGCCAAATTGCAATTCCTAGACAATGTGTATCTTTCCCATCAGAAAACATCCAAACGAGCCTTACTCTGTAACCCAAAACAAGTGCCAAACCTTGCAACAATACATTTATATTATTATTTATAGTAACTGCAGTGCTTGTCACCCACTAAGGTCATTTTTAAGTAAAACTGATAAATATGGAGGTTAGAACTGATAGAATTAAGTTGAATCTAATGTGAAAGGTTTTAGAGCTTTGGACTCATGGCTAGGGCCAGACAGAATCTGCAGATTATTATTATTATTATTTTTGCTATTTTTGCTGAGAATTTTGTTAAAACTCTGCAGATTTATGCTGAATGATTTTGGGAGTATCATATATAAAAACTAATGTATGAAATAAAAAAAAAACAATGCATTTCTCACTTTTATTTAGTGTTTACAATACAAACACAATTATGTCCACTTATTTGGTAAACAAAGCAAGTCTCCGACACTGTAAAACCCAATAAGTTAAGGTAACTCAAACCATCTGAGGAAACTGATTGCAACAAACCATTTAAGTTCAAAAACTAATCCTAATGAGTACTGTAAACTTAATTCACTTGAGTAAACAGCAATTTAAGCACTGTAAAACCCAATAAATAAATAGAACTCAAACAAATGAAGTACTGTAAAACCCAATAAGTTAGGCAACTCAAACCATTTAAGGAAACTGATTGTTAAAAACCACGAGTTAAAAAAAAAAACTTTTCTATAGAAGTACTGTGAACTTTCTCCATTTAAGTTGAAGTAATAAGGTATCTGATTACCTCCAACCTTGAGTTCAAAACTCTTCAGCTGAGTAGAATTAACTTTCAGTCAATTTTGAGTAACTATACTCATTTGATAAAGTTGACTGTTGGGTTTTACAGTGTATATAATATAACTACTAAAAAGACAGAAAATATTACTTTACAAACTGTATGGTAAAGAAATGATATGAACATTTTAATATTACTATTATTATTTCACAATAATATTAGTGAAATTAATTTAAAAACTGAATATAAATTTAAAGCATATACACTGACTAAACCATGGGCTAAAAACCTGCAGAAATCTACAGATCTACAGATTTCTGCATGCGCAGATTCTGTGTGGGCCTACTTATGCATGAAGGGTTTTATAGAAATTAATAGCGAAATCTTTTACTTCATACTCATCTGTTGTGCCAAATAAATGTTTTATTCCTTAGAAGTAATGACTTATATACCTTCTCAACTAGCATTGTTAAAGTTAAGTCTCAGCATGCAAGTTTAGACTGCTGAGGGTATCTTTGTGTGGAGTGACAGTTTAGACAGTAGATATCATCTAAAGACTTGAAGGTACACTTGAAGGAACCAAAACAACAAATCTGAGCAAATGAGAAAGTTCTTAAATACAAGACTGACTGTTTGAAGCTGCTTCGCACGGTGATGTGAAGTTGGTCTGGATGTGAATTAAGACTGCTCAGTTTTGTAAAACTTCAACTTTTAATATATATATATATATATATATACATATGTTTTGTACACAGTATTTTTTATTAGAGAAATAAATCTCATAAAAACGGACATGTGTTTTTCTTTGCAGTCTTGCATCACACAGACATTAGTACTTTAATGATCTATCGTTTCTTTGCAGGCCTAGGGTTGTACCTGTGAGAAAAAGAGAAAAAAGCAAAATGGATTCAACACAATTGAAAAGCATTTCTACAGACCCAACAATCATTCCCACAAAGGCTTTTAAAATTCCTACCCTACGGTGACAATTAGTAAACAGTGATTGAATAACCGAGTCAACTGACACAAACTGGTGTGCTGTAAAAATCAGACATGGTTTAAAAGTCATCAAACCAGACATCCTCCTCCATAAAACATGTCTGGGACTATTCATTAGCCCGGGGGAGGGAGCTGGAGAAGATGTTGGAAAAACAGAGGTGCTGTTTTCTTTTCATTCTTTTTATTTTCTGTGTGATGTTCCCACTCCATGCATGACTGGCTGAGCAGATTCAGAGATCAAACAGTTGTGTTGGACAAACCACACGGCCGTGGCTGTGTGTATATTTGAGGGCGCGAGTGTGTGTTGTTTTGCTTAGCAGGAGAAATGGCACCACTTGAAAGTCCCCAGTTAGACAGGTTCAGTCTCCAGGCAACTATTCCGTGCCTGAAGAGGCCTAACCCTTCTTTCTCAAAGGAGTCTAAGACACAGGAGTATAATGATGATAATGATGTTACGGTTGTATGTGATATAACCTACGCCATTGCCCACAAGACAAAGTTACAATTATTGAAGCTAAAAAAATGTGCTGGTGATTTGTATTTAGTAAGTCTGACATGCCATTATTAGTTCATAAATATTACTGTTATAAATAATTAATAACAAAAGTACACAATCTTGATTCTTGAAGCCTGATTTATACATCTGAGTCATGTGAACACAGATGGTCTTTGGACGGTCGCATACCCTTCGCCGTTTATCTGAATGAGCAAGTTAAAAATACTTGTACAGCAAGTTAGCATTACATTTATTTCTGGTGTGAATAAAACATCTGTGAATAAGCTAGACAGGCACTTCACTTTCAGCTAATATTTCTGAAACATTTCTAACATTAAGCTAACATTTCTAAAAACATGCAAACTGCCAAATTGACAGCACCAACAAAAACGGCTTTGGATTGAGCTATAAACTATCTGTGCATTTACACTGAAAGTGGCGAGAGTGTCAAAGTAGCCAAAAGTCATTCATTTTCAATGGGAGCCGGTGGAAATAAGCGGCAAAGAGTGGCATGGCGCGTCTTTGCCAGTGTGGGTGTCGAGGAGAGTTGAAATAACATCACATTTATGGTAATGAGCTATGATGCAGTTCAGCCGCAAACAATCAGAATGTTATAGCCACCGCTTGAGAGGATCCCAGAGAACACAGTCCTGTGAACTTTGGTTCCCAAGAGTTTGATTATTGCGGTCACCGGATTTCCAATTATCTATGATGTTTTCTTAAAGAGACATAGACTAAAAAAAGTTACTGGCGAGTGACTGATTTCATATATATTTTTTCTTTAAAAAAAGCAGTAATCTTTGTTGTTCTCCTATAAACACTACACATATATGATAAAATATTATTCTAAATATGAAGTACATTTTAGACAAGAAAGTTCTTGGGATTTAGGGTTCGCAAAAAAGCAATCCTAAATTAAAATGTTATATTTAAAAAAAGACTTGGCCATGACCCACTGCCATGTGCAAGGGTGTAGATTTGCCTTTGACATTGGTGGAGACATACATCTCAGACATTATCCCGATTATTGTTTCATACAATCATAGAGGCCAAAATCGAAATCAAATATCGATTAATTCCACAGACTTGGTTAATAGTATTACGGTGAAGTTGAAGCAAACTTTTTGCACATGTAGGTTACTTAGGGCTGACGGAGCATTATATTATTTTGAAGTCGATTAAATTGTTGGTAGAGACATTTCAGTAATTGGTGGATAATGATGGCGACACGTCCCCTCCGTCCATGCCAATTCTACACCCTTGGCCATGTGCATGACTGTGTTGTTCATGAAACTATATCAACACATCAGTTCACTCAAAATCACTCAGGAAAGGCAAATAAGTCAAGCTTAACAAAACACTAAATACAAAACACAAATATCAATGGAACTCAGTGGGAACTCTGTGTTGTACAGTAATGATGGTTGACAGATAAATGTTAAAAACATAACAGGTTATTCTCTTAGCATTTCTTTTTCGCAGTTTTATCTTAGTATTTCTTTGTATATCCTGATTTCAACTACTCTGGTCAAATCCTGAAGAGTCTTATCTGTTGTACTAGTAGTTTTAAGATTGCACAGTAGTCCATGAGACTGGTCAAGGTCAAGATTTTTCTTAAATCAACTTAGATTTGATAAATAAACTAAAACCCAAACTAAATCACACACCCCTAAACCTGAACATACTCTGATACACTTTATTTTTCCTGTGTGTTTTTTAAATGCTAGGGCTTTTCACTGCTATAAACACTGCTTCATTGCTTTTTTTTAAGGAATGAAACAGAAAAAAAGGCAAAAGGTAATGGAGTAATACTGAATTGATTTTCGTTTTTTGGCCGTACTGTCCCTTTAAACCTTCACTGTATTTTTTTGGTCTTAATCACTGTGTGTTTAAACAGCAGGAGCTTGTTAGAAATATCGACGGGTCTTCGCAGCCCAGCGTGACCTCAACTGTGAACAATGACTTAAAAGCAGCTGGGAAATCATTGACGTCATACTTTCCAAGTGTGCTGAAAATGAAGGATCTGCTAAAAGGAGAAAAAAATCCATTGGAGAACTCATGCGTGATGCGGTGACACTGGTGGATCAGACCCAGTGGCTCATCAATTACCAAATCACACAGTTGATGAGTTCATGAATTCAGTTCATAAAAAAATGTACAAGACTATAAAAAATAATAAATTGTGAACTTAAAGAAAGAAACTTTCTGTTCCTGACTGAAGATTTTCAGTCAGATGACTGTTACGTCAAAGTAGACCACTACATATCTGAGAGAGGATTCGAAATGGGGCACAATACTGGGAACAGACGTCGCCCTGTCCTGCCCGCTTCAGTGCGTACTAGTATCCCGTCGCTTAAACCGGTCTCAGCCTGTCCAAGGCAGACTAAGCTCTCAGTGTGCCAATCATAAATGCTATTTGTGAGCTCTGATTTTCTGGGGTCGGAGGTCAGTGTGGTGTTAGTTTAGGCAGGTGGCGAGTGTCTGGACGAGGATGAGAATTGTACAGGGATCAAACAAGATCCGTCTGTGTTTAAATTAGCTTTAAAAGTGCTGACGTCACTAGACGCCCCACTAGATTCGGCCCAGTCAGATCCATGCTCTTTATCCATACTTTTCTGCCCTACTGCCTGCATAGACTGCATACCTGAACAAATCGTCTCCCAAAGTCTCCTCTCGTTCGTTCAGCTTCTCCTCCTAAAAGAGAAAGAGAGTGTGAGACTACTCCAGTCATGTATGTCTACAAACCCATGGCTTGTGAGTAAAAGCAAGACAGTACTGTATAAATCAATTCAGAGAAGCAGAATTGTGCAGAATAATTCAATTTTTAAAAACATTTGTCAAGACAATAGCTTTTGCTTCAGAAAAAAATAATTAAGAGATTAGTTCATGACTATATAAGGTATAAATTTAGAGCAGCAAAGTTACTGTAAATATTGCTATTCAGATATTTAGCTTTTTAAAATCACATTTACAGTTAATTTTACTTCTCAGCAGAATAATAAAGAATACTTTTGGCAGAAACTGTGGTATTTTGGTGGTGAAACAAAAAGTCGATGTCTCCTGCATTTTGAGAGTCAAAAAACATTCAGAATACAGCTAAACAAAATGAACAACACTGAGTGTGTTCAACCACCACCTATAGTGTGAGCCCTGCTACATAATAATGTATATCAAACTTTTGATATTTGCAAAAAAGTAAACCTTTCGAATTGCGATTGCACACATACGAGTTAATAACATTGCATGAGATGGATGGAATGAAAACTGGTTTATTTTCCTCTGTTTAAAGTGATTTGATGTAATTTTGTGCACAAAGTAAATTTGCAATTTTAAATGGAAACTACTACTGCATATGTGTCAAACTCAGTTCCTAGAGGGCCACAGCTCTGCACAGTTTAGTTTTGTTTACCTAATTCACCTATACTGCATGTCTTTGGACTGTGAGGGAAACCGGAGCACTCAGTGGAAACCCATGCCAGCACAGGGAGAATATGCAAAGTCCACACAGAAATGCCAACTAGTCCAGCCGGCACTCGAACCAGTGACCTTTTTGGTGTGAGGCGACACTGCATAATCACTGAGCCACTGTGCCGCCCCAATATATAAATATATCGGGAAATTTGCTGATGTACCGTCAGTAAACATGGGAATTATTTTTATCAAGCATAAATCCCTGCACTCAGAGTTTAGTGAGGAGACCAAAATGTTTTTTTTTCTTCTCTCATGTTCAGCTTATGAAAAAATATCCCCAACAACATGGATTTTCTGAGGATGAGTAAATTAACAGCTAATTTTCATATGTGGATGGACTATCTCTTTACCGTTCAACAATCTACAGGATACAGTAAATGAAAAAGATCCCACAAATACAATGGTGCTTAGAGGAATTTTACACCTACAAACTTTATATTTCAAACCTACAAATGAAATTAAACGCAATATATAAATAGTTCATCATTTAAATATTTGCAGTTAGTACAATATTTTAGATGCTCTTGAGCCAATTAACAATATATTAACTTGATCAAAATATACATTCAAAAAATGTGTATTGCAATAACAAAGCAATTCATTAAAAAATAAATGATTTCCATTTTGAAAAATCAGTGTCATGACAAAGTATACCCATGTAGAAGCCCCCTATATAAAAAAGCATTAAATGTGGCTGCAGATAAGTGTACAGCTGTGCATGAGGGGGGTGTTGAAAAAAGACTTAAGTGATCCCCGTTACCGTGCCAAAGTAAACCACGATGAGCAGATTACTCGAAATTACTCTATAATCTGAAGTGAAATGTTTTGAAAACCTCCATGCTGTCCTGTAATGACATAAAAGCTAAAAGGCCTTTTATCGATAATGACAGTGCAATTTTAGCATTACTACTGTATATAACAACTGTATTTTCTACTATTTGTTTGAATTTGTTGTCATTTTGTTTTAATTTGAAATCTAGTTCCTGTTTGCATAATGTTTTTTGGTTTATTTGTTTATTTATTTACTTGCTACTTTAATGTTAAAATGATAGTCACCCAAAGCTGAAAACTCTGTCATCATTTACTTGTCTTTCTTGTCTCAAACCTGCTTGAAAAGATGTTAGTTTGAAAAATGCTGAAAACAATTAACCCGCTTCCATTGTATTTTATATCCTACTATGGAATTCAATGGTTTTACTGGTGTCTGATATCCTATAAAATATCTTTGTGAACTACTTGAGGGTGATTAAATATTGTGTAAACTTTAATTTTTAGGTGAACTAACTCTTTAGGTTTTTGTTGTTGCTAATTCAATTAACAATAATTTTCAGCCTTACAAATTTAGTTTGAATTATCTCTAAATAGTATTGAAACCCCTGCTGATTGGTTAATGGTCAAACAAATAGGGGATGCATCATTATTAGAAATATTACAAATTAACATTAAGTCAGCAGTAACTTGACATATATTATACTCTAAATGCAAAAATAGGAAAAATTAATGAATATAGAATAATTTATATCATAATAACACTTTTTCAATGTTTTTCTGTGTGTTCTTCTCTTACCTCTGCTGCCTGTCTCAGCCATTCCTCTAGTTCAGAGTGCTTACTGCGATTATGAGCCACCAGATCCGAGCCTCCAATTATCTTAGGCAGCCCATCAAATCCAGGGACATTTTTCTACATGCGTAAACACACACGCACGCACGCATGCACGCACACACGCACGCACGCACGCACGCACGCACGCACGCACGCACGCACGCACGCACACACACACACACACCAAACATTATACTTTTAAAAATGTCTCTAATGCAGATAAACAAGGCATGACGATACTTGGTCACAATATTACAGATGTGTGATAATGAGACGTTTTGTCATACCTTGCGAAATCTTTTGACGTTCTTGTCATTTGGATTGTGTGTCTGTAATGGGCCTGGTCTTGATCTGGAAGAGTTGTTCACTGTTAGAGACATAAACTGAACCTGCAGTAGCTTCCTGGGCAGATCGGGGTCATTCTTAGGTCCGGAATTGGAGGTTGAGGCCTGAAAATCAGCAGAGATTTTATTACACAACTCATAACTGTGTCTTGCTTTCTACAAAACCTGAAATATGCTGCTCCAGGTCTATTTTGCTGGATTTTCCAGACATCATTGTTGCAAACTGATATTGTTTTGCTTGTATCTCTTTGAATAAGAAACATTAGGAATAGGAACAAACTGCACCGGGTGAGCTACTAAGCAAGTTTACTACTTAAGAAAAGCTGTATTAACATGTGGAATATTTGATACAAAAGTAAACCATAAGAATCTGGACTGTTTTCTCCTTAATGGAAAATTAGGACAGCTTAAAACATGTTTCGGCAGTTATTTTTAAAATTGTTACACACAGTTGAAGTCAAAATTATTACATTATAAATCAAACCCATTTTCAAAAGTAAAACTATTTTTGCATTTTTTTTTTTTTTGCTTTGCCATCACATATTTTAAACCAACTCTTTTGTAACATATCAAAATTCTTCCCTGTCAGGTATATGGTTTAACCAGAAATACATTTTTACATTTATAATTCCATTAACAATTTGACTATTGTTTTTTAAATTTCATAAAATTAGCTATTGAATAAACAGAAATCAAATAACAGTAAAATGACTGAAACAGTTAAATTAACTGATTCATAACCTTTTGAGGCTGCATTTGAAGGAACCATCAATTCTTTTCTAAATGAGACAGCCGTCGTTGTGCCGCAATGACACAGCACCCTTCAAATGCATCCTTCGGAGGATGCAGCCTCGGAAGTGAGTTTTAAAGGAACCCTCCATTTTTATTTGGAAATAAATTGTACACGTCACCTTAAGACTGAGGAAATATAAATTTATATCATCTAATTTTAAATGAACAATAATCTACGTATAACTGAAAAGTTATATTCTTTGGTTTTTAATTATATCATTTCATTGACATGCCAGCTAGGAGGGTCATTTAACCTTTGCCTTGCTGACTACAGGCTAAGCCAAAGTGATGCAATTATCAGTTTCAGGCCTGAAAAAGCAGTTTACCCTGCCGACCACAACTCTTAATTTGCATACTTTGTTTAGCCATATCCTCTCCTCCTAAGAACACAATATAGACATGAAATCTTTGTCTTAATTGAGACTTGTGTGAGACTTGTGACAGACTTGTGAAAGAACTTGCAGACTGCGGACCTCTAGTAGGCTCTTGCAGACACATGGACATCTTAAAGACGCTGTATGACTGCAGATTAACCAACACGTCTCAATAAAGGAATTCTGCTTGTTTCGAGTATCCTGGACTGGGTTCTTCTCTTCTTTCCACTCATTTATTTTTTTTACAACAACTTGGTGCCGTGACCCGGATAGAGACTGAAATTATCAAATTCTCAACAATTTGCCACAAAAGACTGAAATCCACCTGGAATTCAACTTGAACCTTCAAGATCAAGAAAACTTCTTCAGACGGAATCTTCAGCTCAACGCCAATTTGAAGTCACTCAGCGGACGTCACAAATTCTCAACTATTTGCTGACTACAACCCTGATGAACATTGAAGCTACCTGAATACAAAGATCAGATCACTCCAGACTAAATCTTTTCAGCTCAACCTCGATTTGGTGAGTTTCACTCTATCAAAAGAACCATACAGACCAGTCTATACACATGGTTATTCTCTGCTCCATTAGAGAAAAGTTAACAAACAGCTGCAGGGTTTGTTTAACAAAAAGCTATCCTCTATTTCAATAGAGAAGTAACAGTTTATCCTCTGTTCAGACAGAGAAGTAAAGCCTTACGTGCTATTTTATTTTAAAAAGTTATCCTCTCTTCAGAAAAGTTAGGCCTTATGCTCTATTTTCTTTTCTTTTATTTTGTTTAACCTCTGTTCAACCAGAGGAGTTTAGCTATACAAGCTAATTGATGTTATCTCTTGTTCAGGCAGGAAGTTTTAGCAACATGTGCTAATATTGTTACCCTCTGTTTTGCCAGAGAAGAAATTACAACACTTTCATCTGAAAAGTTTTAGTATTTTTACTTTGTGATAATAAGCTCACAAAATGTTCAGACAGAATACAAGACTGATCACTACAACTGAAAAAGGTAGTTTAACAACTCCTTTATTGTCAGATCAGGATTTCAAATCGCTGCTACGACAGCACATAGACTCAATTACAGAGTCAGTCAGACTAAATTTGACAAAGAAATTTAGCATTGACCCGGATAATGTTTTGACATTGGATGAATGCAAGAAAGTGCTTGATGCATGCATTCGCAAAAACAATGTAAAAGGCATTATCTGCTGCTACAGAGAATTCAGTTTATCTCGAGCTAAACAACAAGCTCAAGCTAAATCAGAATTAGAAAAACAGTTCCAAGAGCTTCATGCCAAGATAACCTCATTAACAAAACAACTGAACCTAAAGAAATCAAATACTGACATTGAAGAAGTTAGTCAGCCTGATAATAAACATCCTGACTTACAAATTGTCTCTGAAACAGACATTTCCATCCAGTCAGATAGCGATTTACCTATAGGTTCAGTAGAGGTTTGTGGTGCCATAAGATCTAAGAGAACTAAGAGTTCACACAATAACACTTCTGTTGTTCAAATTCAAACAGTTTCCAGAACACTAGGACCTAAAGAAATAGATAGATTGTCTCAAAGCTTACCATCAGCGCGCACACATTTTTCAGAGTTTAGCAGAGCACTAATCAGCAAAATGTGTCTTTATGACATGACATTAACAGAAGTCACCCAGCTAATGTCTCAAATTCTCACTGAATCTGAATTCAACAGTTTTGAGCATACTGTGACCTCTAAATTACAACATGCCAGTAAGGATGATTTGAGAGAGGGTGTTTTGAAAGCTCTGAAGAACATTGTTGGCCCAAAGATTGACTGGTCAAAAGTGACTTGTTGTGTGCAAACGAAAGACGAATCTGTGAATGAATTCACTGAGAGATTTTGTCAATCTGCCATAACTTACAGTGGATTAGCTGATAATTCGGACAGTGTGCTAAATGATAAGGGACCCCTAGTCCGCATCTGGTCAGATGGCCTTGCAACTGAATACAGACAAGCTTTGCCATTTCTTAATATCACCTGGTCTTCCACCACTCTCTGAAATAATCTGAACAGTTTAGCTTTGTGGGAAAGAGACTCTCATATCAAAGACAGAGTCAGACTTGAAGCAGCCGCCACTAAGGTCAACACAGAAAAGACATCAAATCACAAATGTCTTAGGAAAAATATCTGTTGTCATTACTGTGGTAAAAAAGACCACAACTCTTAATTTGCATTAAGAGTTACCTCAAATCACTTAATCTGAGAATATAACTGAAAACAAACAGGAAGTGCATATTCTGATTTCAATTACAGATTAGAAAGGCAAAAATTTTTTTTTTTCTTAATGACATACATGGATAAATTGTTCACCACAAAACTAGCAATGTGAGCTAATAAAATCATATGGCTAGTTTTGATTTCTTGGGGACTTAAAATTTAACATCCTGATGTGACGAACATGTTATCACAATATTGTCGTTACTTGTTTTATATCAGTGAATTCAAAAAGGTATTACAACCAGATTAAATATAATCTAGCATATGTGTTTTACAGCACAGCATTTGTTGCATAGGTTAAAAAAATCTGAATAAAAAAAAATCTATGTGCTAACAAGACAGGTCACCATTTTCAAATATTGCAATGCCAACAGAAAATGCACACACACTTGGGTGTTTACTTTTACATCACTTAGGCACTTCCTGAGTTAAAAGTGAGGGATAATGCATTAAGACCTTTCAAGATAATTACCAGTGTTTGTGACACCTGTGTAACTGAGTTTTTTATGGATTAAAAGTAACCGGCTTGCATGGAAAATAAAGTAAAATTTTAAGTTTTAATGCATCTTGCAAATATTTCAGCTCGCAACTGTCATAAAGCTTTGTTTAAATTTACCTTTATTTGCTGTTATAAGCATGTCTTGTTATCATACCAATGTTACAGGATACATTGGAGGAAAACAGTGTAAACATGGAGATCATGACGCATCTGAAACTGTGAACAGATATGTTTCTAATGTGTAGGTAAAAACGGCATCTGCTTTAAAACCTCTCACCTGCATTTCCTGTTTGAGAACAGCCTCAGAGGTCTGGGAAATGCCATTTTGGGGCCTTGAATTCTGAAAAACAAAAACACTGAACAAGCCGTTCTGCAGATAAAAAAACAGACAAGATATGTTTGAATCAAATAATGGCTGCCTTCATACCACAACAAAGGACACTTCCTCCTTTTTGACCTCTTCAAGCTCGGGTGTTTTGTTTTTTGAGGGCCCCTTGTTTGCAGAACTATGTGCTTCCAGATCTGGAGGTGACCTCTTTGACTGTGTTTGTGTGTCCTGATTTGTTACAGCTGGTCCTGCTCTGTCCAACTGCATGCTCTGAATATTGCTGGAACTGCTTTGCTGATTCTTCTCCCCTTTCCTGCCTTTAGACTCAGTGACCTCTTGCTGATTTGATAATTGTTCGCTATTGATTTTGCTAGTCAGTCCTGACTCAAGACGTTGTTTTTTATTAGCTGCAGTCTGCGGAGGCTCATCCATCTCGTCGGACATTAAGAATTCAAGCTCTTCAAGTGACATTTCTAAATCATCAGCAGCTGTTGGTTCTTCTGCGCCTAATAGGGTGTCCTGCTCAGGTTCCTTTCTTTTCTTGCTGCTAGAGTTTTGACCAGTTCCACAAGCCTGACCTAGACTGGTCTCCTCTGATGAGGTTTTGTGAGATCTATTGACAGAAAAACTTTGCTGGATGTCATCTTCATTATCTTTGATGTCTTTCTTGAAGAATTTGGGCTCTGGCTGGACAGAACTGGCACTGCTTTCACGCGGCCTACCAAGAAAACAACAACAACAACAACAAAAAGAGTTTAAATGAAAATAATGTATCACAAGTGGTCATTTTTGACCATAGACTGTAAAAGATATGGAGGTAGTATCCGTGACATCACCTAAAGGTTTTTGAATAACGCAAAAGAAGCTACACACAGGGGGGGTCAATCGTCGCCATTTTGTTCACGCGTCACTGAACCGACTGTGGGATACCAAACAAGGGCAAAGAGGCGGAGCTACAGACGCATGCTAGCATTTTGCTTAGACTGGCTTTTCTTTGGGAGAAATGCTTAATACTTCATTACCTGTGACTCGTTTGTGTTCTGACCACATATGCTTGGTTGTATACTATAGCAATAAAGTGTTTAGTCTTTTAAAAAAACACAGTTAAAACACTTTGTGCCACTATACATTGTACCTTTATTATCCCCAAATTGTTCAAATATAGTCTGTGTTAGTAAATGCAAGGCAATTTATGAAATCCAGGCATAACACTGTATGACAACGTTTCAGATGACCATTTTATAGCCTACAGCTAATCCATCTGTCAGATTCTGGAGTGCATTACAGGTCTAAAGAAAATTTTAAATGTTAAATTATCCTAAAAATACAAATACATTTATAGAGATGGTATACAAGTATATAATTTCACACACCTGAGAAATGGAGGCAACTTAAACGGTTTGTGAGCACAATTAATTGTTATTAGCATACTATTGTATCTGATAATTTCAGGAAATAACTCCAAAAGGCAACTGACTGTGTAAAGGAACATTAAATAAAACAAAAATACTATGTATATGCAGAATTCAGGAGCTAATCCGCTGGAATCCGCTGAGGTGATGAGACAGTAAGCAGTGAGACCAAGTGAGATTAAGGCCACGCCCTTAATTATACAGACTTAATAAAACTTAATATAAATGAAACAAATGAGTTGTAACAAAAAAAAATTCACCCCTTCACAGTTGTCATGAAGGGTAATATTAGCTATATGCACCATCTTTTGTACCAGGCTGTAAACATGTTTTTATCAGCTGTAAAACTAGGCAGTTTACCATTGCATTCAGAAATAATCTGGATTTCCTGGAGTCAGCCCCCAAAGGCAAGTCGATGAATTGCTGTTTTAGTTACTTTAGTAACTAATTTTTTGACAAACATTGTTACTTGATCACCAAATTTGTCTATCAAAGTAATAAATTACATTATAAAATATCTTAAAATAACTAGAACTAGACTTGCCTTTTCTTGCTGGAAGGCTGGAAGAAGCTGGTGAGGGCTGTCTGTTTCTGGGGAGAATGTTTTAATGTGGTGTTGCCACTGGAAGGCGCTTTCTGTTTTACAGGACCTTCAACTCTTCCCCTGGCTGAGACAACAGACCCTTTCTTCATCTTCTGTTCAGATTCAACCACACTGAAGCTCTCAGAGGACATCACTGTTTCTTGGACGATGCGGGTAGAGGAAGGTTCCTGACCAAGGGATAAGGGTTTATTGGTTGTTGAGGCTTTCTGTGTGGGATTGGTTTTCTCTGGGGTCTCTCCAACTGCACTGATCCCACTTGTAACCATCCTGAAATGTGTTAAATAAATAAATATTTATAACCCAAAAAAGAAGCATTAATCAATCAGAATTTTGGCTAAAATGTTTGTTTTCTGAAATCCAAACTGTATTTTTTACTATATACACAGATAAGTCAAAACATTATGCTGTTGGTCCTTCGCATGGAGCCAGAACAGTAAGCCACAGGAGAGGGTACTCAACAGAACCCCTACATGTCAGATCATTCAAGTTCTGTTGACTGAGATCTGAAACCACTATGGATACAAGATGTCAGTCTAGCACATCCCAAAGATACTTGACTGGATTGAGATATAGAGAAAACTTTATGGCCAAGGCAACTTCAGGCAACTCTTCATCATATTCTTCAAAGCAGCCCTGAACAATATGAGCAGTGTGGCCGCAGGGATCATGATTCTTCTACCCTCAGAGAGTGTACCAGATCTGCAACAATGTTTTTGCAACCACATCAATGGTTTTATGCCGCAGTCAAAGTGAACTTTTTGCTCCACAGACTTCCATTCATAAGCATGCAAATGCAAAAGACCATTTCAAACAGAAGTTTTGCATGTTGCTGCATTCAAAAGTTCAAGCCTGGTGACCTCTGACCTGCAAAATCACATCACGTGATTGCGTGAAACCAGTAGAAGATCAAAACATAACCTCTCTGCACAGAAATTTAAATATGGAGAAATCGCTCACTTTATCATTGTCTAATCTTGTTTTATCCTACCCAGTTTTGCAGTGCTGTACGATAATTTCACAAGCTCAAAATTTATTGTGACCACAGCTATAGAACAGAAAGCTACACCAAGCATCAGATTCCTCTGCTTTAGTGGCATCCACAGCAGAACTTCCTTTAGTTCACATCAAACAAGACATACATTTGTGTCTTGCTTGGCCAGACCCCAATCTGTAGTTTGTAGTCTGGTCTCCAACCTTAGACATTCATTCATTCATTTTCTATTCGACTTAGTCCCTTTATTAATCTCGGGTCGCCACTGCAGAATTAACCACCAACTTATCCAGCATATGTTTTATGCAGTGGATCCTCTTCCAGCTGCAACCTATCACTGGGAAACACTCGTGCACTCTAATTCACACACATACACTATGAACAATTTAGCTTACCCAATTTAGTGTTTCGTAATGTTGCTAGACGACCATTACTGTTTTCTCAGAGGATGACAAGCTAAAAAACATTGCTGTCGCTCTGATACAAGTTTTATTTATGGAAAAAAGTACAAAGTACTGCAGTGTTGGTGTGTTCTGTGTTTGTCTGAGAAAACTGATCTAACTGAAATTTGAATATTCCTTACAAGCTGATCGATCTATGCTTGTCACGTGACTTGCAGTGCTTTTGCGGCCCGGGGTTTTATTTGTGCGAGCGCATCATGCCGCTTGTTCACGCAAACCGCACATCTCCATTTGAAACAACAATCTTGTGCAAACTATAGACCTTTTTTTTGGCTGCTGCATGGAGGGCGCCATAGCGACTACTGGTAGAATGGTTAGAAGTTATGTTTATCAATGTTTACAACAGGTCATTTGTGCTCCGAAAGTGGGCTTCAATAACGTTTTTAAAGGATTACAGAGTGTTTTTGTGACACACAACTTAGAAAGGTGTCTGTTAAAGCCGTTATAATGTGTTAGATGTGGTTCAAGTGAGAGAAAAAAAAGATCTCCTAGTTCACATGTCTGCCGTCAGAAATACAGTGTGTGTGTGTGTGTGCGCTTCCCTGGCCTGTCAGCTGTTAGGTCAGCGGCTCTTCAACACACACACACAAACACAAACACAAACACACACACACACACACACACGCACGCACGCACGCACGCACGCACGCACGCACGCACGCACGCAATACTTCACAGCATTATAGAGCAAACCAGATTACTGACATGAAACTTAACAGTTATGCAAGTCATGCAAATTGCAAAAATGACCAATAAAAGTCTGTTATTGATACTCTGCTGGTTGATTTGCTGTTCATTCTTATCAGGAGCTGTTTATGTTTCATTTAGTGTGTTGTTTTTACCACGGTTTGTGTTTTTCTGTCATTTTGAAATGACACTAGCCTATATTTTCAAATAGATTAAAACTATCCTTTCAAAGATGTCCAAATGTGACTGTTTATACGCATCAAATGCCAACCGGAAGTTCTTAAGCCTCCTTTGCACTGCACACGACAAGCGACAAGCGACAAGCGACAGACCAGAAGTCATTCACTTCCAATGGAGAGTAGTCTGGGAGTTGTGTGGAGCTTCGATCATCTCCGTATGCAGAAAAATCGGATCCGAGTTGAGATGCGGATCCGTTGAAACATTTGAACTCCTACGACTAGACCGTATGGGACTGGCCGACCGGATGTGATGTATTCCAGTGTTGTCCAAGCAGGTCCTTGTGCGCAAGATGAGAAATAGGAGTTTATTTGGTTATTTTTTTCAATCAGAGAATGTCTATATTAAAATAAACAACATTTCTTTTCATAAATGTAAGTAATAAAGTAATAAAAATATGTATTTTTATGTTGTCTCCACATTCCCTCCAATATTTTTAGCGATCTATGAGTTTCTAGTATTCATTCATTCATTCATTCATTCATTCATTCATTCATTCATTCATTCATTCATTCATTCATTCAACCATGGTCAACGCACAGAAAATAAAGACTCTTGCTTTTGCTCTCCTTTTTTTCGGACACTGTGAGAACAGCTTCTCTCCCATGGAGCATGTAAGAACTGAAAATTCTGTGTGACTGCCACAAGGGGGCGTATTCCGACAGTCGTGTCCAAATGTGCAGTGGAAAGGCGGCTTTAGCATTCTCCTTGCGCATACACGCTAACCATAATGGGGATTTTTGTGTTCTAAGAAAAAGGTCTAAAGAAATACGCGATATACGAACGGCCGTTAAAAGGCCGCCATTATTTGTTATCTCTATCAGTTTATCTTCTTCTTGCACAGACATGCTGGATTCACCTGGTTTGTTGACAAACGGGTTGCAGATCCATTCCTCGGCAGTTCCTTCACTTGGCCTTTACCCCTTGGCAAAGAAATTTTTAAAAGACATCTGTTTCTTACTCATTTTGCTGCTTTTGGGTTTAATTAGGTGCTAAAGTGACCGAGATGTAAGCGAGAGAATACGGTCATTTTTCAAAATAAAAGGCTTTTCAAAATAAAGGATTGTTCAGACTCAAATAATATTAAAAGTGAAATAATGATTTCCTGTGCAGCCCGGTACCAACTAATCCACGGACCTATGGTTGAGGACCACTGAGCTAGGGGACAAAATGAACCAAGGCAACATGATCATTCTCCTAATTGACCACTGCTAAAGCCTGGTTTATACTTCTGCGTCAAATGATCGGCATGACCCACAGCGCATGCAACGCGCGTAGCTGTGCATTCATATTTCTGCACGCTGTTTCTGTTGCTCTGCAATAACACCTTCGAAATGCTAGAGGGCAGTGAAGTGTTTATGTTCCTCTGTGTCGAGTTTCTTCACTGGTGTTTTGTTTGTTCTAAACGCTTCCTTAATGCACAAGTGGTTCAAACTCACTCATTTTGAGGCCGGAACCAGCGGACGTGCAACAACTTTAACCATAAGGTAAACACAAAACAAAACTTTCCATCCGGAGCTCCTTCACGGGACTCGACACTTGTAAACAATCGCTCCATCAGACACTCGTCAGCGCTTCCAAGCCGACCAATCACAGAGCTTGCGATGCATGTCATTGCGACGTGTAGTTACATTTTTTGAGAGGTGTATGTCAGTGACGCTGACGACCATGGCGAGGGCTATGTGTCCACACGTCGGCCGTGTCATAGCATACGTGTGCGCTTGACGCAGAAGTATAAATCAGTCTTTAGAAATGTTTCAAATATAACGCGACACCCCACAAAGCTCGCTGAGGCCCCCTTGTGGGCTGGGACCCCCCTGTTGGGAACCGCTGCCTTAAGGCTGATTCATACTTCTGCGTTAAGCACACGCATATGCTACGCCACAGCCTACACGTCGACGCATAGCCCCTCACCGTGGCCGTCAGCAACTTTGACGTGCACCTCTCAAAAAAAAAAACTAGCTTATGTTTGATGTTAATAATAAACTATTATGTATTATATGCCAATATAGAGTCTGTTTGTTTTATACTCTCATTTGATTAGTTGTGAAATGAGAACTAAAGCACATATTATTATTTATTTATATTTTTATTATCACACACATGTATATAAAATGATGTCTAATAAAACTAAATTCTAAATTCTAGTCGAAATAAAACAAATAAGACTTTCTTCAGAAGAAAAAATATTATCGGACCTACTGTGAAAATTTATTTGCTCTGTTAAGAGAAAAACATTTTAAGGGGGGGCTAATAATTCTGACTTTAACTGTATATATAAACTTTATTTGTTTTGTTTTTGGGCTACCAGTGGCCATGTTTATATTACTACTGAATGAAATTACAAAATATGACTTATTCACCAATGTGACTGTTTCTGTTTCTTTATTTTCTCCCAACAATGCAATTTAGTGAGATGTGATTACATAATGAACAGATACAGTTGAAGTCAGAATTATTAGAATTATTTTTTTCTTTTTTAAATATTTCCCAAATGATGTTAAACAGAGCAAAGAAATTTTCACAGTATGTCTGGTAATATTTTTTTCTTCCAGAAAAAGTCTTATTTGTTTTCTTTCGGCTGGAATAAAAGCGGTTTTTAAATTTTTAAAAACCATTTTAGGGTCAATATTAGTAGCCACTTTAAGCACTTTAAGCAGAACAAACCATCATTATACAATAACTTGTCTAATTACCCTAACCTGCCTAGTTAATCTAATTAACTTAGTTAACATTTACATTTAGTCATTTAGCAGACGCTTTTATCCAAATCGACATACAAATGAGGACAAGGAAGCAATTTACACAACTATAAGAGCAACAATGAGTAAGTGCTGTAGGCAAGTTTCAGGTGTGTAAAGCCTAAGAAGAAAAGCATTAGTAATGTGATTTTTTTTTTTTTTGAGTACAGTTAGTGGTATATCCAGAGAGGCAATTGCAGATTAGGAAGTGAAGTGGAGACTAAATAGTTGAGTTTTTAGTCGTTTCTTGAAGACAGCAAGTGATTCTGCCGTTCTGATGCAGTTAGGGAGTTCATTCCACCAACTGGGCAGATTGAATGCGAGAGTTCGGGACATAAATCTGCAGAAGTGAGAGCAGATAAGAAGGAGCAAAGCCAGAAGTCGCTTTGAAAGCAAATATCAGAGCTTTGAATTTGATGCGAGCAGCAACTGGTAGCCAGTGCAAACGGATGAGTAGCGGAGTGACATGTGCTCTTTTCGGTTCATTAAAGACCACTCGTGCTGCTGCGTTCTGGAGCAGCTGAAGAGGTTTGATAGAGTTAGCTGTAAGCTAACTCTATCAAATATATACACTATATACAAAATAAAAAGGACAGCTACTATTCATACACTGTTAACATTAGCCTTTAAATGTCCCTTTAAGCTCTATGGAAGTGTCTTGAAAATTATCCAGTAAAATAATATTTACTGTCATAATGGCAAATATAAAAAAAAAAAATCAGTTATTAAAAACTATTATGTTTAGAGATGTGCTGAAAAAATCTTCTCTCTGTTAAACAGAAATTGGAAAAAAAACAAAAAAACAAACGGGAGGCTAATAATTCTGACTTCAACTATATGTCATTAATTAAAAGTAGTAAAGTCCATTTGAAAAAATAACAACAGAGTAAAATGTAGCCTGTCCAGTTTACTAAAGAGGTGTTGTATATTATTAAGAGTACATACGCTACCTGCTTTGGTCCTGTGAGATTTCAGTGTTGACGACATAGGCTGTGATATTCTGGGAAGGAGCCGCGAGCGCAGTCTCATCCACAGCCGTGCTCTGAGAAAGTGTTGCTGAGGCAAAGACTGGATTCGTTTTCACTGATTCTTTAAATGAGATATTGAGAAATTGTTACTGATGTGTCAGGTTTCTGCATAAATCAATCCTTTTAGCCAAACTAATATCTGCTTCTCAGATGTAAGCACTATATACACAATAAAAGGACAGCTACTATTCATACACTGTTAACATTTTAACATTATAAAGTCAAGGGCTATTTTGGGGTTTCCGCTTGGATTTTGACTACCCAAATTTAAAAGCATCCTAAATCCACATGCAGAGGTGTAAATTCCAAAACTTGGTATCCTTGTAAAGAAAACCCTTTGAATTTAAATGAAACACTGTTGAAAGTGATTAAACCAATTGTATATGTTTTCTGTGTTATAATAAACCCCTTTAAAGAAGAGGCACTTTTTTTTTTTTTTGCAAACTCAAGTTTGAAAGTGTACCTTTTAGGTTCTGTGTGGTCTAGGTTGTTCTATTATAATCTATGCAAAAGTTATTCTATTAAAACTTACGAGAGACCAGAATCACTTATGGGGTATTGGGGAAGTACAGGCCTTCAAAATTTAAAGAATGCGGAAGTAAATGACATCAAAAACCAGAGTTTAGGAGGTTAAAACCACTACTACTAATATTGAGTAATGTTCTAGAGCAGTCTGTCTGCACCAGCCATATTTGTAACTGTTTGCAAACCAACCTGATTGCAAAGAAGAGCAGGGATTGCAGTATGTCTGATTACTGACATGAATGGCAGCCAATCCAACCTCAGATTCAGTGATAAAGCGCAAACCTTTTCTGTGTGAGCAAAACAAAACATTAGAGAGAAAATTAATACATTCTGATACATAATAAAAATAATGAAATAATATGACGTAATGAAAATACATTATGAATCTTACTTGGCACTAAAAAAAAACTACGTATAAATAAAAAAAAACTAATGAAAAAATTTAAATTAAATTAAAATTATTCTAATTAAACATATTATTATTCATTTATTATTTTATCATGGAATAGTTTTTTACATTCTTACATAGATGCAATAAAATCTTATATTGAATCTATAAATCAATACATTTTTATTTTTTTAGAACAGAATAACTTATTTGTATTAACTGAGGAGGAATTCTTCTTCTGGCACAAAACAAAAACTGGACTAGAACACATGCATGTGGGTCACAGATGTCCCTTTTTGTTTAAAAAATGATTTTATATAAAAAGCAAGCATAAATGTCAAATATTTGTGAATCAGATTACATTTACATTAAATTATATTTATGTAAAAAAACAACAACAACATGCCTATATTAACCTTTGCTTATAAAAATATTTAAAATAAAAATCATACTAAATTATACAATATTTTATTTAATTAAAAACCTGCTGGCAAACAGGTAAAACCTAGCAATGTTCCCAGCCAAACAAATTAAGATTTAAAACGACAGAAATTTAGTAGTTTGGGGCTGCACAGTAGTCTTTAATTTCTTCAAATTAAAAGAGTCTTGTTCAGTTAATTATTATTTCTATTATTTTTTATGACTTCAACTGTATAAATAAAAAGATTTTTTTCCCACCTTCATTTTAAAAATTATCTCTGTCTACATAAAAATGCAAAAATGCACTGTCAAGGGCATGCCGAATCAGTAATAAATGCTCTATACAGCAGTGTTGGCCAATCAGAGAAAACTTAACAGAATGCACACTGATATCATGAGGCAAAAATTCCACACTGTTACAGCAGTTCTTTACTCTAGCTGGAAAGTTTTGGTTGCAGTCAGCTGATACGGTGTTTTCATGTGGACGAATGTTCAAACTGCTAAGATAAAACTGCGGGTTTGATAGTACCCATGTGTTCTTGTGGACAAGGCCTTTAACACCTTTGACCTAAAAATTTTAGATCAGTGTGGCGCAATTTACCCCTTTATTACATGCATTACACACATAAAAAGCAGCGGCTTTATCATCGTTCTCAATATACTAAAATAATTAGTATATATATGGTCTACCCTTATATGAGGCAACATAGACTGGGCAAAGCACAAACACACCTGTGCAGAATTTGGCCCACAGAATCCAACCACTTCTTGGAGGCTGGAGAAATCACAGGCTGTGAGTTTCCTGAGATCATGTCGAGCACACATGTGCTGCTGGACTCCAGGAGTGAGACAGGCAGAGCGCCCTCGTCCAGCAGCTGACTCACACCACCACCACAACTCACTGCCACACTCAAACGCTTCATCTGAAAACATGCACCAAACAACTGTAAAACACTCGTCCTCATTCAGCCGAGAGATTACATTGATGTTTTTACAAATTTGTATTCAACCTAATTACATCAGTGTCCTGCATCAATATTAAACTGCAAGTTTAATCTCAATGATGAAAAGTCGATTTAATAGACAGTTGGCTAATAAAAGCTGTTCAGTTTGTCTCACTCAGACTTCCTGTTTCTACAGGAAATAAATATAATTTGCCCTTAACCAAAAATGACCGGTTCATGATTTTTCACAGAATTTTTGTTTTTTTAGAGAATGCCTTATTTATATAAAATTGGCTGAAATAAAAAAGGTAAAAACGGCTAACTTGTAAACTTTTTTCGTTTGGCTACAGACATTTTTTTTGTCCAATGCAGAGCTCGACAATAAGAATTGCCCAGGGGGGTCTTGTCACTAAAGTTTAATTTGGCTGTGACTGTTCGTCAATTTCATGCAAAAAAGTGTGTTTTCATACCTAGACATTTGTTTTGGAACCGGTCTCGTTTGCCCTGTAACCGCGGTTTGTTTGGCATGTGTGAATACCTCCATGTCAAATCGATCGGTCCAAGATCACCTGAATGAGGTGGTCTCGACTCGATGGAAACGAACACTGGAGTGGATCAATTGTAATGAGAAAGCAATAGGATCCAACGAGCCAGGCTACATCACAGTGTATTATGGATATGTAATAGGCATATATACAGCTATGTGAAAAGAGAATGATGAGTAGGGCAGGTTGTCATTCCTAACGGCAAATGTGCATATTTTTGTCAAATCCAAAAGTGAAAGCGAGCTGAAATATTAGAGTGCTGTTTTTTCATTAGGAAAATTGACAGAAATTACCATCTGATAATTTTTCCATATTTTAATCTGATAATATTTTGAATCAGGTCTATTGTTTTGTTCATTTCTGCACTGAAACCTCGAAAGAAAGATCAGCATTGATCTGCCACATGATCTGACTGCTGAGTGTCTCGATTCATCCATTACGTCTTTCTATAATTTAAGCCTTTAATGCATAATTCCAGCCAACATTTTATTTAAATAGATTGATTAATTAAATAGATAGATAAAAAAAAAAAAAAAAACTGTCTGTGGATGTCAAAACTAAAGTGCACATTTACACTATATATATATATACATACATCTGCTGAAATTGCTCACACACACACACACACACACACACACACACACACACACACACACACACACACACACACACACACACACACACACACACACACACACACACACACACACAGATATATATATATATGTATGAATATATATATATATATATATATATATATATATGTATGAATATATATATATATATATATATATATATATATATATATATATATATATATATATATACACACATATACATATATATATATATGTCTGTGTGTGTGTGTGTGTGAGCAAATTCAGCAGACCACTAACCACAGAGTTAAGGGATCAGAAAATATCAATCTGTAAACTTTTTTCGATTTTAAATGAGGAAAATAAACATGCGTTATGGATGTGACAGTTTGCAAAAAAATGTGCAAGTTTACAGTATAAAACATACTTTGTAAAAATTCTGTCAATTAAACTGCACAGCCCTAAAGAAACGATGCTAATCAAACAGATAGGAGTCGGCCCACTATAGAACAAAAATGATTGATTTTATTTATTTTTTGACATTTTTGCATTTATGAGGAAAAAGTCTCTTCATGGATGTGCCACTTTTCCAGTATGGATGTGACAGCTGTGAAATTGCCACTTGTGTGATTTTGGTGAATTAAATATAATAGTTTGAAACACTGACAGATACATTTATTAGTATTCTTAAAGAACTGTAAAGTAGTTGCTTACACAAAAAAAAATGTAGAAATAGTTTCTCTATTTTAGTCAAAACTTTTTTTCGTGGCAAGGTTGACATTTGCATGGAATTGCTCATATACATGTTTAGCTTATGACACACTATATAAAATATGTGGCTAAGAAATAGATATTAACTTCTTTTTTTTTTTTTTTTTGGTGGGGCCAGTGAAAATGTTGGCAGGGCAAGTAAAAATCTGAACCACGAGCCCAAACGGGCCTGTAGAAAAAATCCTTAGCACTGAAGACTGCAATTGGCTTGCAAATTAACCGAATTAACTTAATTAAGCCTTTAAATTGTACTTTAAGCTAAATACTAGTATCTTGCAATTGATACAGTAAAATATTACATTTTTAAAAATGTGTTATTAAAACTGTTACGATTACAATCAGATGTTAAGATCTTTTGTCTCTATGTTATACATACCCTAAAGAATAAAACATTTACAGAAGGGCTAATAACTTTATGTTGTCAATAAACCAATAACAGTTTGAAGCATGTTTTTTTGCTCACATACATGCAGTGGTGTACATTTGTACCATAAAAAGCACACAGCTAAGAATAAAACAAAAACATAACAAATAAATATAAAATTTGAATAAACATGATAATAAGATATCAGTCACAATATTGCTCAAAACACTAAGAAACTACGTTTTTTCTGGGTCTGCAGTGGCTATTTTTTTGTTCTAAGAAATGAAAATGAACATGTGACCCCAATGCACAGCTGTAGTTTCTATCAGCAGGTATTCAGTCGCAAACGAACCTGCTGGTTACAGAGAATAACCCAGCTGTTCAACTGCATATGCTCTGCTTTTTCTTGAAGTTAATCAGCTCTGTTTTACACCTCCTGATTAATGCAGAACAGCAGGGAGGAACTCCTATGCGACATCCAACCTTTTCACTTGTATATTACAACTTGAATGAATTATGACATGATACATTTCTAACTTTTACTTCTTAAAAAGAAGATTAAAAGAGTCTTATGTCATGAGTCACGTCCAGTCAGGTCAAAGAAGTTGTCGGGAACAAATCTGCTGAAAGTCAGTGATTTAAGTTTATAATTTAAAAAAAAATTAAATATATTTTTGTGACAAAAACACATCAATCCACTTCATAAGACGTGTTAAAACCAGTGTGTAAAGTAAAGTTAGTTTTATTGGTAACACTTTACAATAAGGTTCATTAGTTAATGCGTTTACTAACATGAACTAATCATGAACAACACATGTACAGCATTTATTAATCATAATTGAAAATTTACTAATGCATTATTAACATCGAAGTCCATGCTTGTTAACATTAGTTAAGGCACCATAAGTTAACATGAACAATGAACTACTGTATTTTCATTAACTAACGTTTACTAACATGAACAAATACAGTAGTAAATGTATTGTTCATTGTTTGTTTATGTTAGTAAATGAATTAATTAACATTAACTAATGAACCTTATTGTAAAGTGTGACCATTTTATTTATGCATTAAAAAGTAAAGTTTTATTATGGAAGCTTAAAAAAATGGCAACAAGAAGAGTGACCCATTCCTTTAAAGGGCACCCATTTTAGCCCCTTTTAAGATTTAATATAAGTCTTTTGTCCAGAATGTGTCTGTAAAGTTTCAGCTCAAAACCTCCATCAGATTATTTATTATACCTTTCAGAACATTTATACCTTTATACCTTTCAGAACACAATGTAGCTGTTTTTGTTGCCTGTGCCTTTAATGCTGGTTTTCACCACACACTGTTTCAATGTGATTGTGAAAGCGTGCCTCAATCTCCGTCATGGCTAAGTCAGATAAACAGTCAGAGTGAAAGACATGAAGGAAGCACACAATGTTGATAGAAAGTTCACACCCACAGACACACAGACACACACAGCATGCGTTTAACTTTGCACTGTTTTTGCACAGCAAATGTGACAGGATACAGGTTAATCTCCACTGCTGCATGGGTATCCGCTATGCTAATGTACAAAATATATCTGATTTAACGTCCACAAACTGGGATGGAAGCGTCTTCTTTTATAATTGTAATGACATGTGGCTGTAGTGATAAAAACGGTAAAAATCGCTGTACTTCATTACAAACATGCACGTTTTAAAAATGTTTTAAACTTGTAAAACTTATTCTTGATCACAATCAATGATGATTGATGATCACAGAGAGATCTTTTAGTCCCAGTTGCTTTGCGCACGTTCTGTCTTGTTGATATGATTATACACGCTACTACGAAGACATGTTAATACCTGGCTGTCAATCAATTCGGTGGGCGGGGAAACCGCACTCCTACGTCACGCTGCAGTGGGTCTCAAAATGGGAGGGATTTGTCCCCTATTTTAACATCAGGAAATTTAAAAAAAGAGACATTGTGTTTCTATCACTTCAGTATCACTGTGGACACATTATACTTGCACAGAGCTCTGTCCAAACAGTTTCTTAAAGGTGATTTTCATCATAGGTGCCCTTTAATGTGGCAATGTTGGTATTGGAGATGGTATCAAATTTCAATATATTTAAAAGGTATCTGTCACGAGAATCTAAAAAAAGACAATTAAATAGCAATTATGTTCTGCAAAACAAAAATTTTAATCTTACTATTAAAGAAACATTTCTTAATATCAAATGTAAAAAAGAAAAAAAAAACGTTAGAAATGTCAGTAAACTATTTTGATAAATACCTGTATAAGTGTTTGCTAAGTATATAGAGGTTGTCCTAATGTGAAGAGTTTCAAAGTTACAGTGATGACACCATTTTTGATATTAGTGGTTAAAAAAAATCTTCTTGCCTGTTTAGAGCTCAAAAACAGGAATGTTTTCCCCTTGAAGAGGCTCTTTCTCTCAGGTCGTGCACTCAGATCCACATCATCTCTAGCCAGGCTGGGCTCATCAATTTGAGGCCTAAATCTGATCAACACAAACCACAGCAATACCTATTAATGTATATTTGTCTATATGCTCTCTTAATGTCAAGTTTATATATAATGCAAAATATGAGTTGATTAATGATGGTTAAAAAAGACAAAATGTATTTCAAATCACCAATAATTTTTTTATAAATAGCTTGAGGTTTAAGTAAATGCACACTTAAAACTTTGGGTAAAATTTCTTACTTCAACTAAGTTCTTTTTTTGCGAGATTGATTAAAATAATCAATTTTATGATTAAATACTGAAATTATGATTAAAACAACAAATATCATGATTTTCTGTTTGAACTTTACAGTTCTTTTGCTCAGTTATGCCATTTTAAATGCAAAGGTGACATTGTTCAAGATGTCTTAGTCATGACAACTTTATCAATTTATCAAGACAACATAATGTCATAAATCTGTCATAAACATGACTGTCATGAAGCTATTATAATTGTGTCATGAATTTAATAACAGACATTTATATTTCTGTCAACTACAGTGGTACAAATTGGATTTTATGACATTTTAATAAAAATTATTTGACAGGCAGGGTATTGACACCTTTGCTGAGAAATTTTAATGACAAATTCATTTTGTTGAAAACAGGTGATCAGAAAATTATTCATGACAATTATAAATCCTTATGGCAATCATGTTTATGACAGATTTATGACCAGTCATGTTGTCTCAGTAATGTTGTCATGAAAGGTTGCCACTGAGATGTCATGACAGTCTTAAGAACACCAGTCAAGTACCATATTTAACATTTTTTGTATACTTATTGAACAACTAATATAACGACTGCTCTGATTTAAGGACTTCATTTGTGCAAGGGCAAATCAACACTTTTTAAGACCTGATAACGTCAATTCGAAATAGTGTCATCATAAGCTCACTTTTTAGATTAAACAAAATGTTTCTTTTCCTTTGTATAACTAGCACTTCTTGTATATATTGCTTCTTGTTGAATTGGTGAATTCCTCGTCTTTAGACAAAATCATCTGCTAAATGACTAAATGTAAAAGTCTTTACATGTACCTCTCAGCTTTAGGCAGTGGCAGTTTCTGCTGCACAGCTTTGCTAAGCGCACTGAAGAACGCAGGTTTTACTATGGGTCGACAGCACAGCAACGCACAGATCGTCTGAAAGAGAGGCACATTGATTCAGCTGATGTTTAACTGTACTGTCACTGGCAGTTAATCAGGGAACTAAATGAATTCAGAATAAAAGATGTTTTATAAATTTTTTTTACCTTTATGGTGACTTTTACAGTGGGCATGACTAGATGTGTGCAGTCAGAGGTCCAGGAACTGACAAGTCGTCCTCCAACAGAGCGAATATCTTGAGACAGGGTGACTTTCCCTTCATTATCCACACACGAGGAGCAAACCACAATACACTCTTTCTCCAGACTGCCAGAAAGAATACAGTGATTATTCTTAATGACCTTATACAATATGCATTCATTTGTTCAAAATGGAATAAACCAATACAATATTAATAAAAAAAAAATTCAAAGGAACATGGTAGGGCTGAAGAATTAATTAAACATTCGGTTTCGGCTTTTAATGATTATGAAAAAACATTAATCGAGATAAAACGATTATTGCACCATATAGCGACCCCTTTCTAGTTGTACACATTTGTTGCTCTGCAAAGCTCAGTTTCACATGAAAATGACTAAAAGAATGTACTGTAATGTAACATCTGCAGCACAGAATGTGCACCATTCATCCATGTACATTTGAATCATTTATGTTTTTAAAAGCGCGAATAAGACCGCATGCTGTGGCGCACACACACAGCATGCAGTCAACATTCGGTGTCATTCGCACACTGTGCGCTCAACCTCAAAGACAAGCAGAGAACACACATCTAAAGTCATCTTAATGGGAGCGTTTTAATGGTCAAAGAGGTGTCACAACACAGTGTTTAGTAATTATTGAAATTAATCCTCATTTATGTAATAAACAAACGAGTTGAGAATCAAGTGACAGCACGTGATATTCCTGCTGCCGCCGGTTTTTATCATTATTTATCAAACAACAAAAGGAGAAAATCCCTCACTGCTCCTGACTGAAGGACTTTTGTAGCTAAAGTGTTTTCTAACAGTGAAGATGCTTAAAGCACAGTTTGTTTGGCATTTTTAGTCTATTGTATTTATTACCCTTTCCTTTGCAGGGAGAAAAATAACTGTATATATGCAGTTGAAGTTAGAATGATTAGCCCTCCTTTTCCCCTATTTCTATTTAATGGAAAGATTTTTTTCAGCCCATTTTGTAAACATAATAGTTTTAATAATTAATTTCTAATAACTGATTTCTTTTATCTTTGCTATGATGACAGCACATAATATTTTTCAAAATACAAGCATTCAGATTCAAAGTACGATTCAAGGGCTTTATTAGGGTAATTAGGCAAGTCATAGTTATTCTAGCCAAAATAAAACAAATAAGCCTTTCTCCAGAAGAAATTTTTTTATAGGAAATACTGTAAAAAATTGCTTGGGAAATATTTATAAACAAAATAAAAAAATTGACAGCAGAGCTAATAATTTTGACTTCAACTGATAATCGTTCTGAACAATCGTGATTACAATTATGACCAAAATATGATTTTTCCCACAATCGAGGAGCCCTAGAACATGGTCTGGTTTTGGCTGGGACAAATATTCACACAAAATATTACTTATTATTAGACATTACAGAATAATTATACATTTTCCCATATTCCCTTTTATACTCTTTCTGGATTGTTTTAAGGCTTGAACAAATTCTAATAATAAATAAGCTACCTAATAATTACAAAAAAATGAAATATAGTTATTGAGTTTATATCATATTGCAACTCTTATAGTCCTACTGAGGTGGGATATGGGTGAGGTTAGAGACAGGTTTGGTGATATGGGTAGCTTTAAAGGTGGGTCAAGGTTTATATGAGGAGTCAACAGTTATAAATGTGATTACAGAAATGTATTATAAATGTAATTACATGCAGATAAATGTTCAAATATAAGTGCAGAGTAAAAACATAATAATTGTAATAAATGCAAAAACACAGTACTTAAAAGACACTTAATATAAAGTGGGACCAAAAAAATCTCTAGAACAATAATTTAATTATTAAGAAAAAATTTAATTAAATTAAATCCTATAAAAACATTTCTCTGAAATTTCTCGTATAAAAACGTCTCTAGGATTTGCTGGAATTTTGCTCCATTTGGTTATTGTTTTGATTTTCTCTTCTTTACAATGTACACAATGTTTTCTGATATGTTATATACAAAATATGTTGTAAATGTGTATGGCAAAAAAATCTAAATAGTTATTATTATTTTTAAGCCTTAAAGAATTTGTATAAATCTTACCTAAAACATAAAGCATGCATGCATTTATGTATCTAGTTAGTTAGTTCTGCAAGCAGATTTTTAAATCTTAATATCATGTGTAAACAGGACCTCAAACTGATCTGGTTCTAAAAAATAACTGCAGTACATTTTTGGCCTGCATGAACCTTTTGAAGCATAAAAGCTCCAGTAGGGATTCATTGTAGTACATGGAAAAGACTCACCAGAACATAACTCAAAGGTTCTCCATTAGTAGAATACAGAATTACTGTCACAGGCATTTGAAACACCATGATTGGCACAACACCTCACCTCAATCAAGAATTGGTACACACAAACCTGAATTTGCTCTGGAAGACTCCAAATGTGATTTTGTATCCCGTCTGCAAGGTCTTTGTGGAGCCAGACTCAAGCTTCTCACCATTGACAAAAGTTCCATATTTAGAGCTGTCCTTCAGAGTGACTGCCTGACAACACAATCAAAACAACAAAATATTTGCTCAGCAAAATGAACCAGAAACCACTTTGAACAAAAAAAAAAAAAAAAAAAAAAAAAAAATCCAAACTATGGTAGAAATGGAGACAGGGCCATCTAGGGCATGACTTCTGCAAGCACGCATTTACATAATATTTTAAGAGACTTTGGAACATAAACACACATCAGCTTCTTTCCCATAAAGGAGTAAAAATGTACAACACTGACTGCACCTATAAAGATCAATAAAAATGCAAATTCACTTTCTCACAGAAGGTGGCACTAACAGAAAAAGCCCGGTTAGTTTGGGGAATTTTTTTTTTGGCCTGTGTCACCTCTGAAATTTAGATATTAGCTGAAAATTACTATATGCTTTGTGTGCATATCAGACTGTATGCTGATAGTCAATAATTGACTATGTCATGATAATGAAGACGTACAATATTGATATCCTAGGCAATTCATAATACAGTGAATACGTATTTATTATTCAAACTTTTTGAGTGCTTTTTACAAATATTCACAATATGTATGCAGTGATATTTATAACACTGTGTAACAACATGTAAAATACAACCCATTCAGTTGTGTAAAAAGTGCCGACCCATTTATCAGAGCAATTAATTAATTCAGAAATTAAATAAAATCAGCTTTTTGCCTCTAATAGCTGCTTATGATAATAAATGTCAATCTTTTCCAGTCTGTGTGATATTGTGATACAGAAATTTATTTTTCTACACTTGTAAGTTTTTCGCTTAATAAAACAATGCTGTCAGGGTGATGTGTTTTCTGTAAAATATGGTAATCAACATCAGATTAATCAGTTTAACATTTAAACCTATTTTGAAAAAGGTTCATTTTACATGGCTCACTTAACAAGTATCACAGAGTTAGAGTTTAACCATTTAGCTGATTTCTTGTTCTGGCTGGATCACTTTTACCTTTTTACCATTAGCCTTAGGCTAATATTGCTAGGAAGTGTTCTCTCATTCTGGCTTAAAAGTCTAGAAACTCTGCTGCTGTATCATGGCTGCACCAGGCAGAGTGATTTTACATAGCGCATGAGAACAGGCTATTTTAGAGGGTGTCTTAAAACAATGAAGACATGAGATTATTACGCCAGAATGAGAGTATAGTTCCTATTAATATTTGCCTAGAAAACTGTAATTTTATTACAGAATGTAAATTTTAACTCCTTTTTTTAATTTCTTGAATGAAATGCTAATGGTCAAATCCGATTCAATTCATTCTGCTAAGCTAAAAATGACCTCGCCAAAACAAGAAATCGGCTGAATGGATGAAAAAAAGGTCAACTGTTTAACAGTCATCTGTTTCACTCTAGGACACTTACGCCCCATTCATCGTCAACTCTTCCCATTCACTTTGAATGGGTGATGTCAAGCGTTGCCAAACTGAATTGTGGGTCCATCTGCACTGCTTCAGCGGCATTTCTCGTTGCAGAAGGTAGGGATTTCTCAACTTTTCAAGTGCCAACTAAAGCGCCAGCCAATCAGATCGCTTTACGCAAACATTTCAGCTCAGACAGCAGCCGATTGAGGACTAATTTCATTGGCTGATGCTGAATGAACTTCAAACATGTCCTCGGTCAAGCATTGACTCTGAAGCCCCATGTGAATCCAAGGTTAAAACGAGCCTTTTTCAAAAAAGGTGGAGTGCTCCTTTAACTCTTTGTTTCTTAACCACATTCCTGGAGGACAACCAACACTATATGTTTTAGATATATCCTTAGTTTAAATTCTAAAAAAGAGATTTTGGACGCAACCATTGAAATGTGCAGAGCTGGTGGTCCTCCAGGAACATGGTTGAGAAACACTGCTTTAAATAAATTGTACTAAAATCAACCTTACCTAATTCTCAAATTCAACTTCATCAGTGAATGTATAAGCTCACCTTCGCATGAACTGTACACCACCAAACAATAAGTGCACAAGACTGTAAAATACCTTTAAAAGCTTAAGCCATTATTAACTATAACAACAAAAGAGGCAGAGTACATAATCTGCATCTACACAGAAGAAACGTCAGAGCCATTTGCAACAATGTGAGTGTACTTTATTGTCTTAATAATTACTTGAAATACATAATTAAATATATAATTTATTGCATCCTGGCTTCACAGTAAGTGTGACTAAGGGAAATAATGACGCACGCGATTACTGCTCGGCAGAGTAATTAGCAAAACAAAAAAGACAATTAGTAAATTAAGATTTGATTACTTGCTCTCTGTAGTGTTGCCTTAAAGAAGGTCTTATTAAGCAGCTACGCAAGAAATTTATGAAAGCCAAGGGGAAAAGAAAGCTCAGAGGATCTATGTATGCGGAAAGAAAGTTGCAACATTATTTTGTTACAATCTAAAAGTCGAAGGGATGTTTAAATAAATGTAATGTATGACTCATTCCAGAATTGCGGGTACATTTCAGGCATTTTCCATTCATTTTACTTGAACTGGAATGATAATATTATATATTTATAGTAAACTGAATGCATTATTGGTGACATGGTGGCGCATATGGTAGTGCTGTCGCCTCACAGCAAGAAGGTCGCTGGTTTGAGACTCAGCTGGGTCAGTTAGCATTTCTGTGTGGAGTTTGCATGTTCTCCCTGCGTGGGTTTCCTCCGGTTCTCCGATTTCCCCCACAGTCCAAAGACATGCGTTACATGTGAATTGGGTAGGCTAAATTGTCTGTAGTGTATGAGCGTGAATGAGTGTGTATGGATGTTTCCCAGAGATGGGTTGCCAAAAAAACATATGCTGGATAAGTTGGCGGTTCATTCCTCTGTGGTGGCCTTAGATTAATAAAGGGACTAAGCCGAAAAAAATGGATGAATGAATGCATTATTAATGTAAAATAATTACTTAAATGTGATTGGAAAAATATGATTCTATTACTTTTTTTTGTTTAATTTATTGTTAAACTTTAAACCACTCACAGAGTAGACAATAACACAGACCATAACACAGAGCCTAAATATTTTCCACCATTTTGTGCTTTAGTTCAAGTTGCTAACCTCAAACCATACACTGCAACAAAAAAAAAAGCTTTTCTCACTTAGATTTTTTGTCTTGCTTCTAGCTAAATAATCTGCCAATGGAATAAGCAAAATAATCTTATCACAAATCGAAAAATAAGATTATTTTCTTACCCCATTGGCAGATTATTTAGCTTGATTTAAGGAAAAACTCAATTCATTTTGGCATAGTATTGCTTAAAACAAGAAAATATGCTTTGCTTGTCTAGAAAATGCTTCTTGATTTAAGAATTTATAGATATTTGGACTAGAAACAAGACAAAAAATCTAATTAAAACTGAATTTGAGATCTCATTCACTTAAAAAAAAAAACAATGATGGGTTAGTAAAAAAATCACAATTAGGGCTGCATGATATTAGAAAAATCAAACATTGTAATATTTTCTTAGTTTGCGATATATTTTGTGATAGACAATTTGAACATCTCTATTTTTGAAAGAATTTATTATTTTGGATAGACTAAGATGATTCTGTAGGTGTGTACATCTGCTTAAAATATAATAAACAAATTAAAAGCATAGATAAATACAATAATAAAAAATAAACAGTGTTTAATCATTTTCTGACTCACAGCATTCAGGTGCAGTAATTGAAGACTAAAAATAATAATTTAATAATACTAGTAATTAAATATAATAATAATAATAATAATAATAATAATAATAGTAATAAATAATTTAATTAAATCCATCATTATTAATGTTATTAAAGGTACAATGTCTTAAGCCTGAATGCTTTGAAATTCTCATATAGTAACAGAAGAATAATGACATGCCTCAAAGCCTTCTAGAGCAGGGGTTCCCAAACTTTTCAGCACGCGACCCCTAAAATAACAATGCCAGTGACTCGCGACCCCCAATATCCTCTGAGGTGGTTATAAATACAGAAAACGTGCATGCAATGGCGCACACACACACACCAATAGACCAAAGTCTATTCTTCGTTAAATTTTTTTATGTATGTCAGTGCTGTAAATGGGCCAGAAAGTTTAACCTGGTGTCATAAAATCAATCTGCTGCATCTGACGCTATTGCTGTCTTTAATATAATGTATTTACCCCAGGGGTCACAATCCAATAGAACAAGTAAATAAGCTACTATATTAACTATAAACGACTGTTTTTTTCTCTTCAGTTGGTTATGGATAAAATATGGTCATTCTTATGGCCTAATAATAATAAGTAGATTTTTGGAAATCACCAGGCGACCCCCCTTCATTGTTCTGCGACCCCTCAAGGGGTCCCGACCCCCACTTTGAGAACCACTGTTCTAGAGGACGTGAAATCGCCTTTTCTATCATTGCTTTAAGGATCGTCAAGTAACAGAGGTGAACAGAAGCTAGGGACAAACACAAAATGATTGCATGATTTCCTGAATGGACACTGGACACTCCAGTCCAGTGTAGCAATAGTTCTTAAAGAAATCTCTGTCAGACATATTTAGAACAAGATTAATCTGATGGCATATTAAAAGATTCGATGGACCACAGTGCAGCCTCAAAAAAACAATTAATTGTATTTTTTAATATGTATTTATACTTTGCTACTGTACGTTAAATCACTAGGCCTTACCCATTTTTGCACACAGAAATGTATTTATTTATTTTTTATTCTAAAGGTTTATTAAAATTTTCATAATTATCTTTGACGTTAAATGATCCATGGACAATTATTTCATCCATATTTTTAAATTTTAGTTAAAAAACAAAAGTTACCATTCACTGGAATTTAAAGGGAAATTTAACCACTATGGTTCCAAACCATTATGAGTTTCTTTCTTCTGTTGAGCACAAAATGAGGTATTTTGAAGAAAGCTAAAAATTGGTAACCATTGGTAACCAAGTCCATGGTTTATAGGTTTTTACAAGTGCTTTGTGTGAGTGTTCAAAAGTAAAAATAAACTCTTGAAGAAAGAAAACTGAAATAATGAATAAATAAGGACAGAATTTTCTCAGTTTTGGTTGAGCTATGCCTTTAATTTCCTCGTCTATAAAATCACATTTAATTTACATCTACATAAAGTACATTTTATTTGTGGACATCAAAATGAGACGCACTGTCTTTAATTGCACTAGAAATGACAGGAAGAGATATATAGAAATAGATATGGAAAACTATATTACTACAGTAGTTACTAATAGTAGTTATTAGTTACTATAGGGCTTTAAAACTATCACTTCCAATGAGAGTCTCTTACCTGCTCAGTGACAGTGAGGACAGCATGAACACGGCTGATGGACTGATCATTGGTCAGCAGGATCTCACAATTCTTACGGCCAACCACATACTCCTGTCCAGCCAGCAGAATGACACTTTCCCCTTCAGAAACAAACACAGAGCATTCAGTAGTGAATTAAAATATCCCAAACAAATAATCAACAGAAAGTTGAAAAGTCTTCTCTCCTTGCAGAACAACAATATCTTGAAATCCCCATTATCCAATCTCATTTGTGATCAAAGCACCAAAAAATAATACACATATACCTGTACATCTAAATTCTGAGGTACACTGTAAAAAAATGCTGTGTCCCACCCAATGTTTTCATGTTATCCCAACACAAATCGATCAAGTTAACTTAATTGTTTTACAAATTTAAGTGGATTGAACATAAAACAATTAAGTTGTCCTAAAAAAATGCAAGAATTGTGTTGATTTAGCTTGTTTTAAATAAGTCTGAACAAGCAGAAAAAAATAAATTTTTGAGTATATAAGCATGACAATGTCAATTTTCCTTAATTCTGTAATTGACATTTGCTTTTATCATAATATCATGGGTTACAAAAAATGTTACATACACTAATAAATTGTTTTTTTTTTTTTTTTACTTGTTCAAACTACTTAATTAAAATGAGCTGGAACAAGACATTTTTTGAGATTTCATTGGAACATGAACTTAATTGTTTTATGTTTAATCCACATAAATTTGTTAAAAGTGTTAACTTAATCAATTTGTATTGGGACAACATGAATGAATTGTGTGAAACCCCTGCATTTTTACAGTGTAGTAACAGGAGGAACTGTACATGTATTCTGTATTGCTTTATTGTTCATATAAGCTTCAACAACAACAAATTAAAACACCATTAGCACCATGAAGGAAATAATGCACCCAAAAATGACAAATCCCTCACCATGTACCTCACATTCAAATGATTTTAAACTTTAATGATTTTTTATTTTGTTGAACACAAATTAAGATATTCTCTAGAATGATGTAAAAATACAGATATTAACATCCATAGAAGAAACAAAAACCTTACATAAAGTAAGTGGCTGATTTTTTTCAGCATTCTTCAAAATATCTGCCTTTGTGTTCAACAGAAGAAAAAAATCAAACAGATTTACAACAAGTGGAAGTCAATGGTGACACATTTTCTTTTTTGTGAACTATACCTTTAAATAAAACAGTTCTAACACTTTTTTGCTTTAATGAGTTAGTTAACATTAACTAAGAAAGCAGCATAACCAAAGATTTTTATCATTTGTATTTTTTAACTAACCAATGCTAACCACAAATAATGTCTTATTGTAAAGCATTTTCTATTGTAAAACATTTTTAATCAATATCATGGGTACTTCATGGGCCAGATTAACTTGTAAAATCGTTTGTGTATTAAAAAAAACAGGATATGTATTGCTACAAGCATTTGATCCTGTGATTATTTATTTAAAGCATTTTGAAGTGCCCACATGCATGTTGATTTTCACAACATACTGTATTCATGAATATTGGCACATCTAGTGGTACATATTACAGATTGAGGTTTTATATTCACATATTCAGACTTTATCCTTAATAATATAATTTCAGAAAAGTATTATTTGCCAATTCTAAATAGAGAAATCATATTAGCAGCCTATGACTATCAAAGTACAACACTGTTCACTGTCAATTAAATAGTCAGCTAATGTTGTTTTGAAGTCATACTTGCATGCAATGAGAGATCAAATGTTCGTCGTGATAAACAATATAGGGTAGTGTGGTAAACAATATAGCCTGGTAAACAATATAGAGACCGTGTTACAAGTCACTGTTCAAAAATGAACAAACGTGCGAATATAAAACCAACTTTACCTCAAGATTACAGTCTGTATCGGTCTAATATAAATCATGACCAAAAACATGTAAACGTGAGTAGTGACATTTGGGAGAAAAGTGTCAAATCTAGAGCTCCTTTAAGACACTCATACACAATAAAAGACAACCTATGTTACATGTCTTAGAAAATTAGCAGTGAGTGAACTAGTCTCTGACTGCTCTATCCTAACCAGATTGACCTTCAGGAAGGTCAGAAACTGAGGTAAAGTTGGTTTATATTCACACATTCGGATTTTCACCCTAATAATATAATTTCAGAACTCTAAATAGATAAATTATATCAGCAGCCAATTTTTATCAATGCATAACATTGTTTAGTCAAATAAATTGTGCTAATGTTGTTTTGAAGTCATATTTACATGTGATTTCAGTGCAAACATTCAAAATACCATGGTAAACATGTCACAAGTTGTCACTGAACGAATGACTGAATATAAAACAAACTTAACCTCAATTAGTCAGAGAGGTTGCTTCAGTGGCAAAGAGTTTAATACACTTGTTAAAATTGAAGAAGTAAATTTGGTTTTATAACATAAAATGTAATGACATCAATAAAACATTTCGCTAAAATTATGTGCCTATCTGTGAAGTTAAATGCTGTATAAACATTGTTTACGTTAGCTAAATAATATAACGCATCGTCAGACAAATTTGATAAAGTGTTGTTTAAATTTTTAGTAGTCGTTCCGTGAACAGGAAGACATGTTATTGCTCGTATAGTTTACGATTAAACTGGATGATAAAGAAGTAGTAAAGTCAGTCCACTAAAACGCGGAATACACGACTCGATTTACACAGAGAAGATTACCTCCAGATTCGGTTGGCTGCAGTTTCCACATTTCAATACTTGTGTTTACTATGAAATATGGAAGTGACTTGTCTTATCCTAAGATACCGACGAACTGGCGCGCCACTTTTACATCTTCATATGCGACGTAATAAACTTCCGTATAAAAATAAAAGTCCTAAGGCAGAAATAAAAGTCACAAAGCGCTATCGATCTACCTGTGAGTATGTGTCTGTATGATCATCAACAACAACAACAAATATATTTCCAAATGTAAAATGTCATAGAGAAGACCTGCAAGTATCTATGCCTTGTTTATTTAAAAAGTTTCATTTGAATAAGTAAACTTTAATAAAATACTCATACTAAATTATCATAAATATTCGATAATTGAATATCTGAATTACTCGAATAATGTAGCTATTCCAAAGAAAATAAATTTCTGCACATTATTTTAATGTAAACAACATAGCCTATACTTCAGATGCATTGGTCTTTAATTCATTAATTATAATATTGCAGAAATGAAGTAAAAGCGAGTGTAAAGCACGTCCTGAAAGGTGAATTAAATGTTTTTTTGATCGCCACCTGGTGGACAAACAATAGGATGTGTGAGCAAACTAAATAATAAATAAATTTAATACAATAAATTGTGTTTATACAACAGTTCAATGTGTATACAAAAAAAGAAAATAACACATGGAGAGTCTAAAAATCCATTTGAATGAGGAACAACTTTCTTCCACCATTTATTCACATCTGGCAAAATAGCAGAAACCATTGCTCACTAACGTCACTTTAGAGATTTGAATTCTCTAGCGTAATATCTAAAGTGATGACAAAATTGATTATTTTGCAGACATTTTAAGATCATAAGACCGAACAGCATCTTCAGTCTTATGAGATTTCCCAGTATTTCTCTGCTGCAATTGGGATATTACAATAATAATTAACCCTCAAAAAGCCAAAGCAAAGCAAACATCAACAGATTACAATGGTATAAATACAGCACTACAACATACAAAATTAGAATTAGAATTTTACTTATCAGTTTTATAATGATTTGATCAGCTGTAGTTTGACATTACTCTGGGTTTTACTCCTCTAAGGGCTTACTATGCGGTAGTGACGCGTGGATAATCCGCGGGTCTGGCAGGTTCGTTAATAAAAAATACATTATGATTAATTGCGGGTGGGTTGTGGGTGGATGTCAGGACATGGCAGCATTAAAAAAGCAGAGAGTGGGCTTTGCAGAATGAGAAGTTGAGACGCCCAAAATAATGGATGAAATGTTCAAAGTTTCAGTTAAGAGGAGTCATCAGGGGAAAATCTGCTATCATTCTGGGAGAAACAAGATCGCTTATTTACACGACTGCAGCGCCTTGCCAGGAGAATCTTTTCCATTCCTACAACAAACGGTGAAAGCAAATGCTTATTCAGTGCAGCTAGCCAAGCTTTGGAGGCGAGGCGGAATCGCCCGAATTTGGGCACAGTAGATGCTTTTCTGTTTTTGCACAGTGCAAAGAAAAAGGCGAAGTAAACACAACACAGCTGCCCATTAGGCTGAAGTGGCACCCTTTGTGTTATCTTGTTCCTGTGTCTGTAAAAGCTCAAACGTCTTATTTTTACTTTCTGCATTTAAAAATGAAGAAAATCTTGTCCAAAGACAAACTTTTGTTTTCCGAATAAATATTTATTTAAAAACATTTACGATTAACGTAGTGTATTATTTTACTATCAGAGATGCGGAGATTAGCTCACCGAATCTGCTGTTAATATCCACGGAGATCATCATCATACCTAAAACAAAGAATTAGAATTATTAAAGTGATATATATATATATATATATCAGGTGAAGCCGCGGATTCGGGTGTCATTTCAGCGGATCCCCGCATCACTACTATGTGGTCTCTGTCACCATCTTGTGGCAGAACATCAAACATCTTTGCTCAGCTCAATGACAGGCTAATGCAAGCCGATGTGCTGTATCTGTGAAATTATACATATTTAAAATAGGCACTGTCCTTATAAATGAACTGCATAGTTGCAATCTAAACAATTAAATTCTCACCCAAAAAGCCTCAAAAGTACATAATGTTGTCCAACAGCAGCAATATTTGTGAAACTGTAGTGAGTTTATTGATCTGCTGTCACTCAGTGTGGGCGGAGTAATACATAAGAGTGATGAGACTGTACGAGTGCTGAATATCACATGGCTATCAGCCAATCAAATTCCAGAACCGACAGAACCACACACACACTCACTCACTCACACACACACACCCACACACACATATATATATATATACACCCGTGTCATTATTAGACTTGTGTGTGTGTGTGTGTGTGTGTTTGTTTATGTGTTTTGTGAATTGTAAGTAAAGCAGTTTACTAAGTTACATTTTACATTTGTCTTTTTGTCATTAAATTTCTGAAATAGTAACTAATAGTATCATGAGGTACTTCATAATGTATAAAAGTGATTCGGCAAACACATAAACAATTAAATAAAAATATTTTTTGGAAACACAAACAGCTTAATAGTCATTTTCTGGAGGCAAATAATACAATGAAAAAGTGGAGACTGCATAATACAACACAAGAAGGTGAAAAGTGAGAAATGATTTTAGTTCTTTTCAAATCATTTTGAAGTGTATACATTTTATTCACGTTTTTTTTCTCCATATTTTACATTACTTGCATTTAAAGTTCATAAAGTAGAGCCATTTTTAAATGTTCTTTTTAGGCATCATAATCCCAGAATAACAGTATTTCTTTATCAGTCAGTTTCATTAGTAGCCCATTAAATCCTTTAAATTATTCAAATATTTCACTAGGCCATAACATGTCAGTGTATGCATTGTAAGAGGTAGAATATCAAGCTCTTGTTCAGACTTGGTTTCAGTGCTTCAAAAAGATGCAGAATGTGTGTGAGCATAACGGTCCGTGCATCAATGATATTTACATATGCAGCAACTGTATTAAAAGAATTTAGCAACATTGCTACCAATTCAAAGCCAATAACTAGCATTTCAAAGCACTTCCAAACAAATGACAACTGCAGTGATTCCTTCAGATGTTCATGCATTTCCAGAACACAACAGAAGTCCATGGCTGTCTTTCCAGCGTGTTGAGCAGAACCCTCCAGAACATTGTTCACATTCTTGAACGTTGCAGTTTGATAGTTCGTTCAGATTTGCAGGTAACTTCCAACCAATACAAGGTCCCAGTTTCCTTTAACATTTCAAGGTCTACATACAGTAACTGTACAAGTGTTTATTGCCAGAGAATCGACTTTATTACAAAATCCCAAATTCCCTCACACGTGTCTTTGCATTAGTGACATCTAGCTTTGTCACAAGCATGTTTGTGTAGCTGTGTGTGTGTGTGTGTGTGTGTGTTCGTGTTTGTGCAAAAAGAGAAAACAAGCCTTCTTAATGCATGCAGAGGCATTCTGTAGGAAAGTATTATTACACAGACTGGGAAGTTGGACTCCATCATAAGAGACAGACAGACACAAAAAAATCTAATTTTCAATCGAATTAGTCATTTTAGAAAAATCATGCACTTCTAGGAAAAAAGCCAATGAATCCAAATACGTCACTGCGGTATAAACCTCAGCATTTTTGTAAATTTGAGGTTAAAAAACATCAATATTATATATGCAAGATGATGTTTGGGTTATTAAACTGTTCTGCGCAGTGTAGTCAGTTAGTGAAAGAGTTTAGTGGTAAAGGAGTTAGAACCACAACTGACTGTGTGGTCATGCATTTTGCATGTGGAAGTTGTGTAATTACCATGTAATTAAAATAGCACAATTGTCACCCTCCAATATTAGATATTGTGTTCTCTATTTTTATTTATTTATTTTATTTTAGGATTACAAAATGCTAAACAACTGTTACATTCACAAGATGACCTGTAAAATGTTTTTTACTGGCCAAATGAAAGGTGATGTGGAGTTGTATTGTTATAGTATTGTTGTATTGCAATGATCAAACATGGATTGCAGCACAATGCTTTAGTTTTTAGTTAAGAATTTTAGCTAACAATTAGTCTGTCTGAACCTGAAGAACTGAACCTGAATATTGAGTGTGTTGGGGGGGTTCTTTTTGCACATCATTCCCTTATTGAAAACTAATGGTAAAAGGGGCGTGGTTTAGAATAGTTTGGCTGAAGGCACCAAACTGATGTCAAAAGAGAAGGACAGCCAATCCAAATGCAAGAGCAAATGCTCAGTCTTTTCAGAAGATTCAGAAGAAGAGTTTAAACAAACATTTTTTTTTTTCAGTAGATTAACTTGCATGGATTAATTGTTTACCTAAAGCAGGACAACTCATTCCTGGAGGGCCGATGTCCTTCATATTTTAGTTCCAACTCCAATTAAACACACCTGAACAAGCTAATCAAGCTCTTTCTAGGTAAACTAGAAACTTCCAAAGAGGTGTGTGGAAGGAAGTTGGAGGTAAACTATGCAGGACACCAGCCTTGCACATGTACCATGTGAATACATTAACTGCCAGTGTGCTAGGCTAGCAAATGTACACATTAACTGTTGGTGCATCAGTGACTATTGCTATGTACACTCACCGGCCACTTCATTAGGTACACCTTACTACTACCCGGGTTGGACCCCGTTTTCATTCAGAACTGCCTTAAACATTCATGGCATAGATTCAAGAAGGTATTGGAATAATTCCTTAGAGATTTTGGTCCATATTGACATGATTGCTTAATGCAGTTGCTGTAGATTTGTCAGCAGCACATACATGATGCGAATCTCCCATTCCACCACGTCCAAAATGTGCTCTATTGGATTGAGTTCTGGTGACCGTGGAGGCCATTTGAGTACAGTAAACTCATTGTCATGTTCAAGAAACCAGTCTGAGATGATTCGCGCTTTATGGCATGGTGCGTTATTCTGCTGGAAGAAGCCATCAAGAGAATGGGTACACTGTGGTCATTAAGAGATCGACATGGTCAGCAACAATACTCAGGTAGGCTGTAGTGTTGACACAATGCTCAACTGGTACTAATAAGCCTAAAGTGTGCCAAGAAAAAATCCCCCATACCACTACAGCACCACCACCAGCTTGAACCACTGATACAAGACAGGATGGATCCATGCTTTCATGTTGTTGATGCCAAATCCTGACCCTACCATACGAATGTCAAAGCAGAAATTAGGACTTATCAGACTCATTAGAAATTTGCGTTAACGAGCGGTTGGACAGATGTACCTAATAAAGTGGCCAGTGAGTGTAAGTGTCTAAGTGTAAGTGTCTAATAAAATAAACACTGTGTCACTGTTTCCTGGTTAACTTCGATGTACAGTAGATGCTTGTGTTGATCCTGATATAAATTATCTTGTTACAATTTCCCTTTTGTTTACATTTTTCTGCACTATTCTACTTCACAAATCACTGCCTCTGGAATGGAAATCTTATTAACTCCATCAAAATGGGAAGAAAAGTTGAGTAAGTTCTCTTTAAGTGTGTGTTGGAACCAGATTTCTTAATCATTTAGGATTGAAAAACTCCTGTAATGTGAGCCCAACATTAGATAATAAGATGAAAAAGCCCCTCCTCCACTCAGTGTTCAAGACATGCTTACGGCTTTGCTTGTTTGTATTTTCATAAGTGCTTTGTAATGAGCTGTGAAGATAAGCAGCAGTGTCAGAGGTGCTGCATTCTTTCCAAATCTACGTAAACAGTGAGTGAGAAAAAGAAGCCCTAAATTAAAAGAAAAGAAAAAAACAGAAGGATCTTGTCTGGTACAGACAGCAGTGGGTCTGAAATGTTATTGTTATGCAATGTGGAGTCTTTTTACTATGGCAAGAACAGCTAAAAACTTTTTAGATTTCGAAAAGCACATCTGCTTTTGCTTTCTGCAAGATGAATTCCTCATCTCAAATCTATTTCCCACCTGTTATCTTTTCTTCAGGGATTTATTCCAGATTCACTCGCCCTGTTTCAGAGGGCAGATTCTGAATAAAAAGCTCCTGATGACCCGTGTGGTGGGTGAAGCCGGCGCAGTGAGACCACAGATGTGGAGCTTAGGTCTCCGCAGCTGCGCAGGTGGATTCCTCTGGCTCTTGCAGGGTCATCGTCATGGCGACGGGCATTATGGCGACTGTCACTATGAGAGTGGTGATGTCCACGGCAGTGGTGGTGGACGTGCTGCTGCTGCCCCCTATTGGCTCCCATAGAGTTACGAAGCACCTACATTGAAGCACAGACATGTAGTGGGTTATTTTTTGTAAGACTACACTAAATTCCAGCTGAACTTAAAAGTTTTTATTTTTTAGATCTGCCAATGTTTCACCTGTTCTAAAGGCAGACTGCTCTCTCCTCCAGTCCTCCTTTTAGGCCCCTGAGTACAGTTTGCAGTATGGTCAGAAGCAGGGGCTAAGTTACGTTTAGATCTCTGCAGGAAACGCTGCACTAAAACTCGAGTGACCTGTGAGGAAAATCGAAAAAACAAATAATAAAATCAGTCAGTGCATTACAAATCTGAACTGAACTGAAATGTGTTTTTGGTAGAATCGCCCTCGACTAAAGATTTTGAAAATCGGGTTGATTAGGTCAGTGTTTCTCAACCACGTTCCTGGAAGACAACCAACACTGCATGTTTTGGATGTCCCCTTTGTCTGTCACGCTCATTACAGGTCTTTCAGTCTCTGCTAATAAGCCGATGATCTGAACCTGGCGTGTTTGGTTAAGGATACCTGGAAAATGTGCAGAGCTGGTGTGCCTCCAGGAACGTGGTTGAGAAACACTGGACTAGGTAATTTACATCAAGTCATCTGTCAACTAAATGGATGTTTGTTAATAAACCATAATTTAAATCAAAATAGTAAGCATTTAATTATCTTCATAACCTAATAAGCATCCAAGGGCACACATAAAGATTGTCATAGTACACTGGCAGAAGTAATAATTGTGAATGTGTAAGGGAAAACCCATATGGACATTTTAACATTAACATTTGAATAACTTCTAGACTATTTCACATTTCCGGGTTTCTCAATAGCGAAAGGCGTCATAGTTAGGTAAACTTAGCGCGCAGTGAACGGGACAATACAACAAATACATTTATTAAAATCCTAATTACTGAAATGATGCAAGAAAAACTCCATAATGGTGCTATCAAGATTTTCAGAAAAAGGAAAAAATAGTGTGAGACTGATGACAGCAGCCACAGGAGAGAATAATGTCAAATTTATTCCCTGCCCCATAGACGATGCATTAGAAACACCTCACATTAGCGGTAATTTGTTTTTTGTTTGTAATGACTCAAAGATGATATACTACATACATGTTTGCATTTAAATGTTCAAATGTTTTTTTTTTTTAAAATATATATAAATATATTAAAAACTGTCAAGGATTTAAAATTATGATGACTGCTAAATACATCATAACATTCTTGGGAAAAGAATCCATTGATAAACTAGTTCTTTCTTTGTTTTCAGCTCCTATCAAATCATATCTAAATGTAAAGTGTGGCATACCACAAGGATCAGTTTTAGGTCTAATAGTGTTTATAATTTATAATAATGATATGTGTAAGATATCAGAGTTGTTTTCATTTTATTTGCAGATGATACGAGTATCTTTTGTTCTGGGGATAATTTACCAAAACTTAGGGAGTTGATTAAAACAGAAATGATTAAATTGAATTTATGGTTTGATGTTTGAACAAATTGCCATTAAATATAAGCAAAACAAAGGTTATGCTATTTGGGAAAATAAAAAGTTTTCATAATATAGTTTTACATATTGATAATGAAGTTATAATTATAGTATATGCAATTAAGTTTCTTATTGCTGTATTGGATCATAAAATTAGTTGGAAACGGCAAATAAATAATGTGTTATCAAAATTAGTAAAAACTGTAGCAAAAGTTTATAATGCAAGACTTATCCTGGACAATAAATCATTGTATATATTATATAACACACTTATGTTGCCTTATATGAGTTATTGTGTTGAAATTTGGGGGAATACATATAAATCTAATTTACAATCCATAAGTACAATGCAGAAAAAAGTAATCAGACTGATAGAAGGTGTGGAGTAGTTGGAGCATACAATACCTTTATTTTTTCAATGATAAGGATAAAGATACTCAAGTTCAATGATTTGGTTAAATTTAAAACAACACAATTTATGTTTAAAGCTAGGAATAAATTACTTCCAAAATGTATACAAAAGTTTTTTTGAAGAAAGACAAGGGGGATATAATCTGAGAGAAGAACTAAATTTTAAGAGGTTGAAAACAAGGACAACTTTGAAAAGTTTGTGTATGTCTGTCTGTGGTGTAAAACTATGGAACAGTCTAGATCATACTCTCAAACAATGTCAGGATAATAATCAGTTTAAAAAGTTGTAAAAATACATATTATTAATGTAATATAATGATAAATAGAGGTGACTGAAAAAGGATAAAATGAGAAAGGTATGATGAAACTTTAATTAATGGCTATTTGCAGTACTATGTTTTTTTTTTTTTTTTGGTCTGTTACAAAATGTAAATGTACAAATGGATTCAAGCATCTAATATGTCAAACATTCCAAAAGGATAAAATATGTCTCATGTAAAAAGAAGAGATAAGTAAAAGAAGAAATAAGTTTAAGTAATAGACGAATGATGTACAGTTGAAGTCAGAATTATTAGCCCCCCTGAATTTTTAGACCGCTTGTTTATTTTTCCCTCAATTTCTGTTTAACGGAGAAAAGATTTTTTTCAACACATTTCTAAACATAATAGTTTTAATAACTCATTTCTAATAATGGATTTATTTTATTTTTATCATGATGACAGTAAATAATATTTTACTAGATATTTTAAGACACTTCTATACAGCTTAAAGTGACATTTAAAGGCTTCACTGGGTTAATTAGGTTACTTAGGCAGGTTAGGGTAATCAGGCAAGTTATTGTATAACAGTAGTTTGGTCTGTAGATTATCGAGAAAAAATATAGCTTAAGGGGGCTAATAATTTTGTCCCTAAAATTGTGTTTAAAAATTAAAAGCTGCTTTTATTCTAGCCGAAATAAAACAAATAAGACTTTCTCCAGAAGAAAAAATATTATCAGACATACTGTGAAAATTTACTTGCTCTGTTAAACATCTTTGGGAAAATATTTAAAAAACAAAAAAAACTTCGAAGGGGGCTAATAATTCTGACTTCAACTGTATGTGTTAATGGGGTAGGAAAATAATCAGCTTGTGCTTCATCCCACTCCATTTTCGACCATGTTGAAATGTATTTTTTGTTAATGATATTTTATGTATGATATTTTTGTTCGAAAATAAATAAATCTAATAAAAAATCAAATCAATTCAAGCTTAAGAGATGAAGTCACTTACACTGATTCGTCATCTCCACAGTACAGGATGTGCCTGTAATTTTAATATTAATTACATATTCGAAGATGGTGATGCTGGGGTGCAGAGGGTAGCGCTGCCTCACTGCAAAAAGGTTGCTGGTTCGAGCCTCAGCTGGGTCAGCAGGCATTTATGGGTGGAGTTTGCATGTTCTCCCCGCGTTTGCATGGGTTTCCTCAGACATGCGATACAGATGAATTGGGTAAGCTAAACAGTCCGTAGTGTATGAGTGTGAATGAGAGTGTATGGATGTTTCCTAGGATGTTTTCTATATTGTAAGATGCATTTTGAGGGATCAGGTTTGACTGCCTATGGGCAAGAGACTGTCGTTTCTTCAAAATAATGCAAATTCTAAGTTTTAGGCACATCAGATCTGACTCCCTATGTGTGAAATACAGTATCATGTCTCCAAAGTAATGCATATTGTGAGTTCCAGGCACAGCTGTGTCTTTTGTCTAACAAATAACAAGATTTAGGTTCAAATAATAAGAAAACAAGATTTTCTACTGTTTTTGTTTCTATAATAAGCACTGGCCACTTAATTTGTGTATTTAACTGAATGTCAGCTGCAGTAGTCGAGATTTGAACAACACAGTTCAAGGCCAGTTCTTATTAAAGGATTCTGCTTTGAAAATACCCTAAATTTCTCCTGGTTTGTCTCTTCTTCAATTCACAATAACTGCAAGCAGAGAGATGGTTTATGTAATTTCTGTACAACTTAAAAATGAAAACTTGATAGCCTGATTCACCTCATCACCATATCAAGTGGATTCAAATAAAAATTCTAAGTGATTAATCTAACTGACTAATGCTAAGTAGTTAATAAAAGTTTGGTTGATCAAGCCTCTTCTAGTTCACTAATGGTTAGTCGACTACTAGGGGGAAGCCCTACTGTATTATTGGGCATAAGGGATCTTCAGATGTATGCATCCATGAAATTAAAAGACTAACCTTGAGGTCTCCAAGAGAGCGTGCACAGTCTTTGGGCAAACGCAGCGATGTAGCAGGAACCTGTTTGATGGGCAACCGGCTACTCAAAGCTTTTATGCTACCCTTTCTGGGCAGGGAAGCAGGAAGTGCCAGAGAGGAGCGAGGCAGCAAACCAGCTCCAGACAATACTCCTGAGTGACACAAATAAACCAAAGAATTCAATTATAGAAATAGGGATTCAGGTTAGTTCGTAAATAAATAAATAAATAAATAAATAAATAAATTGTTACAAAATGTTTGATAATTGCATAAGTCAGAATTGTTAACATTTTAATCCATTAACTGTAATTAGTCTCAGCATTTTTTAATCTTTGTTAATGTTAGTTAATAAAACAATGAACCATTTATTAGTTCACTTTAGATCAGGTCCATTAAAGAATACTACAAAGCGAAATACATTTATTGTAATTATTACTATTACTAGTATTAACTATTATAGTTAGCTGATATTAAGAAATGCAACTTTGTTGTGAAGTGTTGTCTTTTTTGATACTGTCTCTTTAAAAATATTGCATGAGAGATGAAATCCCTCGTCTGGGAGGCAGGTTTGTTGTTGAGAGTTTCATCCAGTAGTTTTTATCTGCTCCATTTTTCAACATCAGCCTTTTTGTCATGCCAGCATAACAGCTTTGAAAATATTCAATTGATCAGGGATTTAGTTAAAAACAATGCTAAAAATCAATGGTTATTTGTAACACAAGCTGTGTTCAGAAAGATGCAGTTCTGCTGGTGCTTCACAGCCAAAATAAAAAAAGAACTTCTCACTGCTCTTCTGTTGTTCAGAAATTATAACATTTATCGAACTTCCACCTGACAACTTCACTGTGACTGAGTGAGAAGTTGCTAAACGGGAATAGCAGTTGCTGACACATAAATGTGGGTGGACAGAAATGCAGCTGGTAAATTTTAAGCTCAGAAGCCTGGAGATTTCACAACAACTCCATAAACACTCAATTGAAAGCAACATTTTGAACTTTAAATGAACCTATTTGTCAAGATTTGATGTGGTATCACAGTATCACAGTTTGCTTATGCATCACAGTTTGTATATTGTTACACCCCTAATATAAATAAAAATGAAGAGCACTTTTAATTACTCTTTCCAAACTGATTTTCTTTAAGTGTAAATTTTATCAGCATCTGTATGTGAAAAACAGCTCTTTGGCAAGCATTAGGGTGCACTCAGACTATGCTATCCGAACCGTGCCCAGGCGCGTTTCCTGATTCATTTGAGAAGTGTGAGTGCTCTGAATCAGGCTTAGGTGTGGTTCAGTTGACTGGCTCTTTCCCGGTTGGAAGAGGTGTTCCAGATCACGGTTCACTTGGGATTTGGAGTGGTATGCTTGTAGTGTGAGTGCAAAGCCTGAAACTAAAGATGCGGCGACACTTTTAGGGGACTGTTTCATCTGGATTTATTAATCATTCTTAATTTTCAATGAACGCAAACTGTTGTATTTTATTAAAACGCAAACCCCTCACTGCACGTCAGCAGCATCTTCAAGAAACCTCCCAATACCTGCAGCACGAGGACAATTATGATCATTTATGAGCATCAAAAGTGGTGGATCTGTTCAGCAAAGTGTTTGACTGCATTTCAATGCATCCCAAACGACTAAAAATTATAAAAAAATATAATTAAAACAATCTCCACTGTGATGAGCAAGATCGCTTCTCTTCCTGTTAAACTGAACAGTCACACCATCGATGACGTAAGCGTGCTCAGGTTTGGTTGGTAAAAATGCAGTGTGAGTGCAGGCCAAGGGGAGAGGGGATGGGAGACAATCACGCTTTGGCACGGTTCAAGGCAACTGTACCTAATGTGAGTGTGCCGTTTCTATTAGATTAGACTCAGAACAATTAGCAAAACATAGGTGAAACAGATATAGAGTATCCGCCCTCCTAAAACTCACATAGCCATGTACCTCTTTGTCAGATCAACATTTTGGCTGGACAACTTCATGTTTTGTACATATTTATGTACATTCTGTCAAAGGTCTGATGGTCAAGTTAGCTTACAAGCACTTAATGTTTTTACTCTGATCTTTCCCAGCATTGTATTGCAGCTGGAAGGGCATCCGCTGCGTAAAACATAAGCCAGAGTAGTTGGGGGTTAATTCTGCTGGGGCAAGCCCTCATAAATCAGCTACTAAAACGAATGAATGAATAAATTCTGCTGCTCCTTGACTTGAATTTTGGATGCAAAGATTCTGTACTACTTCAAAAGACACACAATACCACCCCTTTGTCAATGGCAGAAACGAGTTGTGTGATAAATGATCGTGAGGAAAGAGTTAATCATAACACTAAACACTTACCTGTTTCTGATGAGGTCTGCGATCCCCCCTCACTGACTCCTTTACTGCCTCCTGAGAGACTGAAATCCCCTGAGAAAAGAAGATGCAAAAACACAGCTGATGTCACCTTGGCTTGCAGGCTCTTATAAATCCCAGACAATGCATATGGTTATTTCCTACCTGTGTCTGTGGAAGAGCTTAGTCCTGGTTCACTGTGTGACCTAAGAAGAGGTAAGAAGCCATCGCTGTTTTTTCGATCCCGCACAATCTGCTCACGGAAAACAGGCCGTGGAGGGTTTGCCTGTACTGTGAGGTCTGGACGGTCCTGAGCTGGACCTGATGGGGCTGTGGAAGGTGGGTTACTGAATACGGACGAGGAGCCTCGTCGGGAGGGTGTGCAGGGGCGAACTCTGATTTCAGGGATGGAAGAATGCTGAGATACTGTTAAGAACTCTAACTGAGAGCAGCTACTAGCCAACAGGGCTTGACGTCGTAGGACTGGAGACCTGTGGTGGAAACAATGAAGCTAATTTATTTATACTTATTTTATTTATAACCAACAAACACCCACAGACAGCAAACAGACATTAAACCAACGGTTTACCCTATGTTACCACTGTGTCAGCACTGTCTGTTGGCATCTGTCTAAGCTCCTTTTCACCGATTGAACATACTAAATCGACACTTGCCTGGTAATGGAAAATTCATGTCTTTCAACTATGTTGGTTATGATGCAACTATAGGTGGTAACACAGTTGGCTAACAATGCTTTTGGGAAAAAAACACCCCTCAAGGAGCAACTAACAATCAGTTCATGGAGCCTTCTGTTTGTTAAAATTCTAACTATGTGGTTACTCTTGTTTACCAGCAGGCTTTGTTGGCAGGAACCTTTCCAGGCACAGCTCATGCGAAGAACAGGACACCAGAAACCAGGATTACCCTCATAAAACAGGGACATCTGTTCAGCTTAGGCAAATGCAAGCTAAAATGCTCAAATCAGTTTTCGATGGACAATATCAAATTGCCCTACATTTGTTTCTTGTGCGGAAGCCATTTACTTCCATATAACTGTCACAAAAGGGAAGAAAAGAGTATAGCAGCTTCTGTTTCATGCTGACTGTATTGATGCTTACCAATTGTGGCGCTGTTAAAACCAGAACAGAGCAAAGAAAAAGATTCACATTTTCAAAAGCTTGTTGGCAGAAGACCAAAAGACAAACTAATGGAACAGACACTTTCAACAAGTTTATTTATTGGGCTAAAGACAGAAAACTAACTGGGGCAAATTCATCCCAAGCAAAGCTATTGAATTTGACAGAAAAGGGAATCAATCAATATCATGTACTGATTCTTGTAATGGGAGTACATTACCAATGTCTCACTTCCCTTCCCAGATACAACAGTTGCTTTCACAAACTCAGTCAACTTTACGGTTTGTCTCTATCGAAATAACTCTATGCCCCCAAGTATCCCTACAAACTTCTACTTCACCAAAATAGTCACTGGTGCATTTCTTAATCCAAAATTCATTACAGAATAAGAAAATAATCTGAAAGATGCAACAAAATCAACGATCTCATGTAGGAGTGTCAAAATTAATAGATTATATTGTGCATTATAAGCTGTGTCTCTATCGAAATAACTCCCTGTGCTGTTACCAAGTATCACTACAAACATCTACCTCATCAAAATAGATTCTACAACCTGAAAGTTCTGCCACAACCTGGTTTATCATCCTCTGAAAGTCACCAGTGCATTTATTAATCCGAAATTCATAACAGAATAAAAAAAAAATTATCTGAAAGATGTAACAAAACCAATGATCTCTTGTTGGAGTGTCAAAATAATAAATTCGATTGTGCATTGTAATGCAGTAGAGGATAATTTGGTATTGGTTTAGAAACAAACCATAACCGGTTATGATGCAACAGTTTTCTGAAGTACTTTGTTGTGGTAAAATACAATGGCGTGAAAGGCAAGATGCACAACCGAGTAGCATCTTGCGAGACGAGATGCAAGTAAAAGTATCATACTATTTTGGGAAAGGCGCTACGCACAGGGCTTGACTTTAACTTTTTTGATCACCAGCCACTGTTGCTAGTAGTTTTCCAACATTACTAGGCAATCGCCATTTTTACTAGCCACAATTTTATAGTTGGGAAAATATATTTTATACACACAAATATGACTCTGACATGATAAAATTACTTGATTTAGATTTTGTGTTATCTCCTCATTAATTTCACTTTTTGTGTTTCTTGTATGAGCTTGCTCAATAAAAGTATTACAATTATAGTAAAAAACATAAAAAAAAAATTTATATAGTATTACAATTAGTTTTTATTTTACATAATTTTCAGAGTTCAAACTGAAGGATTTATCTCCTGACCACACCAAACATAAACAATTAATTATTTCTTAGCCACAAATTTTAAATGTGCCGAAACAAGCAAAATATAGCTGTATACTAATACTTTTTATTTTACAAAACATATGCACAGTAATCTGTCCTGGCTAAAGGTCATATTTCAACCAGCCAAAGTGGCTAATGGGAGTATCTGTCCTACCTGCCACCGCTGAAATCTACCAGTATTTGGCGGGTGCAAATGTCAAGCCATGGATACGCAAGTTTGAGTAATTACTTTCCTGTCGTGTTTGGGTCAAATCTGACCGATTTACAACTTAAAGCAATCTCAAATATTGTGTTTTACATCTGATTACCTCAAGGCCTTATGATAACCTCTATGCTTTGCACTTGAACATGTAAAAGTGATGATTACCTTTGTCATTGAATTTTGAGTGTTTTAGTCAACCTTGTTACACCTGTGATGTAACGAATGGGTATCCAGACTAAATTCATCCACCAGGCAGAAAACATCCCCATATACTGTACACCACCCAAACTTACTCACTATTTGTATATTTACTGCAGTTATTTTAGGTCTAATTCTATAAATTCATGTTAAAACACTATTCTGAGACATTGTTCACAGCTAAAGAATGTTAAAAAAAATGGGATTTGAATTTTTTTTTTGTGCTAATTTAGGAGCAGTTAAAACTGACCAGTCAATGTTGACCATGAACACTAAAGTAAGGGACGGGAGGTGAACAAGACAGGAGGGATAAAAATGTTTACAAAACACATGTCTTTAGCTGACACTGAAGGTACAGTAGAACCCAAGATCTCTTGTGTCACTGTTAAGGGCACACTGTAAAAACCTACATCTCTTCTACTCACTGAGCAGCAAAAAACTGATCATGTCATTATTACTTATTTGATATTTGATCAAATATAGAAGCATGAGCAGGTAAAATGAAATGTTTAGTTCATATAGCTGACTGCTTGTTTTTAATGTCAAAATTGTATGGATGTAAAGTAAATTTGAATTCTGGGGATGCAGTGCATTTTCAATCCATCATGATATCAAATTGAACTGAAGCAATGACATAACTGTAACCAAACCGAACTGTGAGACCAGTGTAGGCCAGTATCCTTTCAATAGGCCAAATTTACTAACAAGTTTAGCAGCACCTATTTGGTCTATGCAGTCATCAGCTCAATTAAGGGAAAACACATCAGATTTAGTGATCTGATCTAACACGGAAGTTGTTCCCACCTGTAGGTAGAGGTGTTGTATGTGCTCGGGGAGGAGCAGGAGTTGGATCTCTCGCCTCTGAAACAGCGTCGTCCGGTAGCAGCTGCCACCATACCTTCAGGATGTTGTGGGGAAGAGCGGAAGTTGGCACACTCTCCCCCCTCCCCTCCCTCGCTGGCCCCCCGCGATCGGGCCCGAACACCAACGCCAACCTCCATGAGGCAGGAGTCCTCAGACGGGGAGCTGTCATCTGGAATATCCACAATCTCAGACATCAACAGAGAGCCACTGTCCATTGACACTGAGAGAAAGAATATACAAAATATACACATATACACACAGATTCGTACATTCAGCCGTACTCATATAAACTTGACAATACCTGATGTAAGATGTTACATAAAATCTGAACATTAGTGATTACAAGAGACTTATAACACAACCTCATATGTTTGGAATATAAATCCTGCAAAGGATTGTTAGGCTGCATTAATCTTGGTAACCAGAGCCAGAAACTTGGAACTTCCCAAAAAGACATTGCAATTTGAGCAGCATCTATGCTCATTTTCATATGTCTGTTTCTGCTTAGGTCCACATGATCATTAATCCAGCCTTTATACTGAGCAGATGGCTATTGTGAATGAATTTAGAGTGTAAAACTGATTCCTGCAAAGACCCAATTGACAGACAAGTCTCCACATCGATGCCATCAACTAGTTTAAACACCCACCCAAGTAACCAATTTGAACCTGCACCTTTTTCACAAATGATGTCCACTATTTTCAAGCCTCCAACATCCAGATTGCAGCTCTGCCCAGGACATTTGGCCAGGGGAAACTAGTTGCAAACATCAGAGCCTGTTTGGAATAATGCAGCTGCGCATCAGTGTAGTTCCTCTTAAAGGTTGACTTATACTTCTGCGTTGAGTGATCGGCGGAACTCACAGCACAAGCCTTGCGTGTAGCTGTGCATTTATAGTTAAGCGTGCTTTTTGTGTTGCTCTGCAATAACACTTCTGAAATGCTAGCTGGCAGTAGGTTTTTATGTTTCTCTGTGTCGGGTTTCTTCACAGGTATTTTGTTTTTTTGTTTTTGAAACCGGTAAACATGAAACAACTTTAATAATAAGGTAAACACAAAACAAAAGTTTCCATCTGGAGCTCCTTTCACGGGACTCATCAGGCTTGCACAGTAGCTCCCAGCACCGTCCACGCTCATAACTGGTACCAAGATGACCAATCACAGAGCTTGCGTTATGAGTCGTTTCAATTTTTTGTGAGGTGAGTATCAGCATTGGTGTCAGCCATGGCGAGGGCTACTCGACTACACAGAGGCTGCACCGGACCCTACACGTATGCTTGATGGAGAAGTATAAATCAGCCTTAAGTGAATTGTCTTTAGCAGTGACATTTGGATTATACTGATCTGAACTAAACTGAACTTGAACAGCAATGACATTTACACCAAATTAAACTGAATCAGTTTTGCTTAAACTAGAACTACATCGGCATTCTACACTACTTTTCTGTCTGCCGGAATTGCTGGAATGTTCCACAATGTGAAAAATGATGGCTTTTACTTCCTTCTTCATCTATGTTAAGCTGCTTTGAAACAATCTACATTGTAGAACGCATTTTAGGATTAAAGATGAACTAAAGTGAATTGAATATTTGAAATGCACAGTAATACCATACCCCTTGTGATCAGATATCCTAAATTCACATCTTAAATGGCACCTCCTATTTTGAGGTCACTTCTCACAAACGTTACGTGAGATCTGCTTCCTACATGTCTGTCACTGTGCTGTTTATCTGACGAAAATGAAGACACTGACACTGACAGGGACGTGGGAATTGTGGGCGGGAAGAACTAGCATTAAAGGCACAGGTGACAAAAACAGCCACAATGTGTTCAAAGCAGTAATTTTCAATATTCTGAAAGGTATAATTAAAAAATCTGATGGGTGTTTTGAGCTGAAACTTTACAGACAAATTCTGGAGACACAAAAGACTCATCCTAACACTCAAACAGGGAGTAAAATAGGTGCCCTTTAAAGCCAGATGGAAACAGGAAATACTAACCTTCACCACTAAAAGCTGTGGAAGTTCCTCTCTCTCCAGAAAGCTCACCAGCCTGAGTGTCATACACTGTGGCCTACGAACAGTGTTAGTGTTAACATGATGATCACAGTATTACAAATGATGATGATTATAAAACAAAACAAAATCTGATCAGTGTTTATACAACATTTGAAAGGTTTGAAGAGGCTCAATGCTTCTGTTTTTAGGAAATTAACACTTTTATTCAACAAGGTTAATCAAAAGTGACAGCAACCACAACTAATGCTACCCAACATTTGTATTTCACATAACTGCTGCGTAAACTTCCTGTCTATTCATTGAAAAATAATTAAAATTTAGTCATGGTTTCCAGCACTCATTATATTCTATCATTTAAATATGTCTTAATATTAATAATTATCATTATTAATAATATTAATAATCATCATCAATTATCATAATTAATCACAACACATGTACCTGGCTAGGAGCCCTTTGACCCATCACTGCCTCATAAGGAGGAGGGCAGTCGGTTGGATAGAGAGGCACTGGACTCTCCATTGATCCATTATATGTGACACTGCAGAAACACCCAGAAAAATCAGCCATGAAAAACAACAGGAGACATAATATTGAATTCAGCAGGACGCTTTTTGCACAAACCAGAAATCGCCAATTACATTCTAGCTGAGACAGGAACTGTTTTGCTTTAAAACAGCTCCTACTGCATCCTATAACCATACCACTATATTGTCATCAAATAATCTGTCAGAGAATCTTTAGTAAGTAAGGAGCAAATACAAATTTAAAAAGGGTTATCTTTGAAGGTACCTTCTTATTTCCAGGCAATCTGTTATATTGACTCAAACACTGACAACGTATAGAGCAATTACCACTCAATGATCATTAGGACAATGGTATAATTAAGGTGTTTACATGAGTTGCTTTTTGAATATTCCTTTCATGATCCTGTTCTACATGGTATTGTCAGGATTCTGTCACTTCGATCTTGTTAATTCTTTTTTTTGGTGGAATCCAGACACTAGTCCTGTCTTGTCTAACATGTTGTGCTCGGCTCGAGTATTCTTGGGTCAAGCACTCATTTTCTGTCATTGTATTCGTCTTTGTACAAGTGCCGTCTTGTCCTGGTGTTTGTGTCAGTTCTGTCTGCAGCGTGCTCAATGATTCTCAGAGTCTCAGTCTAGTTGGTGCTGGGATGGAACATTCACGTTGCATGTGTGGTTGCATAATGAGTTTTTTATTTATTGTGTACTCATACATTCAGTATTCTGTTGGTGTTGTGTTTAGCACGTAGTTTCATGTTTACATGTGCCGTGTGCTTTAGTGTTGTGTTTCATGTAAACACGGTAACGGAGTTGACTGCATGTTCTAGTCCTGTTTTATGTGAGCACATGGCTTGTGTTGTGTCTGTGAGTCATGTGTTCTCCTGTCTATTTACTAGTCTACTTTTTGTTGAAGTATTATCAATATATCCTGTTACCTGTCTGTTAATTAATTATATCTTCTTTATAGTGTCCTCATGTCCGTTGTCCTGTGCCAGTTTGTCGTTGATTATTGCCTTTTCTGATTTTGTCCAGCCCTGCTCTTCCCTGCCAGCCCAGTCTAGTCTGTTTTTGTCTTGTTTTGTCTTGTTTTGTCTTTTTAGTGTGCCCTTAATTTTTTGCTAATGTTTTCTCCCTCTGGGTTGTTTTTGTTGCTTTTTGTTTTTATAATTAATAAATCCATAATTTATTATTACATTATTTGACATGTTTTAGCACAAAGATTGAGTATTGACATTGCATCACTGCGCTATCCACATTTCCTCCAGAGTATCATGTAATTTCGGGTGTTTCAGTATCAGTATCCTTGCATTTGACAGTTTCACTTACATATAGGAACATATCATTCATGCCACCGTGACAAACTGAGGTATTGGAAGTGAGTACAAAGTAAGGTCTGGTAAAAGTGTGTTGTTTTAATGGAATTTGATACCACATGCCGAATGTGAAAAAAAAACCTGTCTGTGATTCTTTACCGACTCAGTAGGTGCAGAAAATAGTGTCAAACAGCTGTGTGTGTATCTATCCTGTTACAAACCGTGGAGAAACATCCTACATGATGGTAATAGTTTGATTGCAGTGTTTATTTGTTGGTACTGTACTTCAATAATGTAACTAAAATCGGCATACCACACATGTCTTAATTCGATTTCTGTTTAGTTCGATTATAACCTTAATCAGATTAAATTAATCAAAAATCTCTGTTTACATGGTAGACTCTTAATCAGAGTATTGACTTAATCGTATTGAAATCGGATTTTTGGTGTCCATGTAAATGTTACAACATTCTTTCTCCACACCTTGCATCTTAAAAAACTTGCATGACATGGCTGGACCAAGATGAGAACTTCAGAAACTTGTGAACAGTGAAAATCACTGATTACTACACTAGAGAAGACCTTATTTGTCTGCTGGGTTTGTGCAGATTACTCGGAAGCTGCCAAATATGGATTTGGAACTGTATAAATGTTTTATATTGCAAATATCATAGAAAAACTCAATAAATTATATAAAAACTCCTGGAATGCTTTCTTACAAAATCCTAATTTGTGTTCAGCTTAAAGACATATCCCAACATTATGAAAAAAATTCAAACATTTTTGTGTGTGCGTGTGTTTTCACCTCTGTGCATCAGTCTCAGAGCTGCAAGTGTATTCAGGAGGGTAGTAAGGTGGTGGAGGAATGGGTGGAACAAATTCCTCGAAATCCATCATGTTACTGAGAAATGCATCTTGAGGTGTTGTGCATTCTGGGTTGACGGAGCGAGAGCGATGAGGAGCCAGCTACAAAAAAATAAGAATAAAAAATAGAGCGGAATGAGAGAATGGGTGAAGAGTGTATCTATGCACTGTAACATATGAAAGGAAAATACTATTTCAGTGTTTTGTATTTTGTCTCACCAGATGCAGCAGGTCAAGAGAGAAGATATGAATGCTGCAGGTGACCGTGGACAGAGTGCAGATAATGGTGGACAGAATACTCAGGCCACATGCGCTAAACAGCAGATCCTGCACAAATGCACAATAGTTCATATTAATAATAATGAATGATAATAGTTAATAATGTTTGAAGGGCTGGTTCAGTCAAAAATGAAAACTTGCTGTTAATTCTATCTCACCCCCAGGCCATGTAAGTGAATTTTTTCAGAGACCAATGGAATCACCACAACCGCATTAGTGTCAGTAAATGCATATGTGTGTGTACTACAAACATTGTAACTGCATTTGTGTGTGACTCATTGTTTCAGAAAGGCTTGACTTAACTCCACCACAAATACATCAAATAAACTAACTTGGTATTTTTAACTAATGAGCAAGGTTTCTCCTTCATCAATGTTTGTCTCTGTAACTGATGTAATGCAGGAGAAGCAGACATGTGGGAAAGGTGGGCGGGGAAAACCAGCTCATTTGCATTTAAAGGCACAGGCTAAAAAACAGCTATACTGTTCTGAGGCTAAAATTCATGATTTCTGCATTGTATAATAAATAATCTGGTAAGTATTTAGAGCTAAAACTTTACAAACAAAATCTGGAGACAACAAAGACTTATCTTACAACTTGCAAAAGGGGTAAAATATGAGCCCTTTAATGATCTACTTAAGAAAAACTATCCCTCTTTCTTGGATCATGGAATTGGACTTAAAATTTCTGACCTAATAGTAATTTTTAGGTGAACAATCCCTTTAAACTCAAGCATATTCAGACACTTTTCACTTATATATATATCTATTAATATATATCCATTCAAATAAACAACCTATCCCCAAGCCCAAATGTAAAATACAGTAAAAATCCTCTAAATCTGATGAAGCACATCAATGTGAAGGTGGTTTGGTTTGTAGCTGGACATTATTTGAGTTCGCTGACAGGAACAGTGAACAGTTGTTCACTACTGAAACACCACCGAGTCTCGCTAGATCCTCCTGTATGGACGCATGTCCGTTATAAAACCCTTGCAAAACGTTAATTTGGACAACTATACAGATATTTTTAAAGTGTTAAAACAAAGAGAACATGCATACAGTAGTTTGTGAATCAACTTGTGTGACTCTGATACAGTATGAGTTAGACGAGAGGCACGCGTGAGCTGGTTATTATAACTCTAATCATCGTTACCTTTACATTTGCGTGACTGTTTTGTTACATAAATGAGAACATAGTCCCGGATGACGCTCAATGGTTGGAAATTTAATCCACAGTCATTACTACTATAATTTTAATATGACATATTTAATAATAAAATCGGGCAACGCAGTGGCGCATTTGGTAGTGCTGTCACCTCACAGCAAGAAGGTCGCTGGGTCGCTGGTTTGAACCTCAGCTCAGTTGGCGTTTCTGTGTGAAGTTTGCATGTTCTCTCTGATTGCTCCTCCGGAAGCTCCAGTTTCCCCCACAGCGGTATATGCGGTACAGGTGAATTGGGTAGGTTAAATTTTTTGTAGTGTATGTGTGTGTGTGGATGTTTCCCAGAGATAGGTTGCGGCTGGAAGGGCATCCGCTGCCTTAAAACCTCCTGTATAAGTTAGTCGGTTCATTTCGCTGTGGCAACCCTGGATTAATAAAGGGACTAAGCCGACAAGAAAATGAATGAATAATTATAAAATCAAATAATTATAGTATAATATTTAAGTTAATTTTAAGCTATTTCATGCCCTACCTGGCAGGATTGCTGAGGCCCACTGGTTGAGAATCCCTGGTGTCATTCAATCATTCATTTTCTTTTCAGCTTAATCCCTTTATTAATCCGGGGTTACCCCAGCGGAATGAACCGCCAACTTATCCAGCACATTTTTACGCAGCGGATGCCCTTCCAGCCGCAACCCATCTCTGGGAAACATCCACACACACTCAATCACACACATACACTACGGACAATTTAGCCTACCCAATTCACCTGTACCACATGTCTTTGGACTGTGGGGGAAACTGGAGCACCTGAAGAAAACCCACGCAAACGCAGGGAGAACATGCAAACTCCACACAGAAATGCTAACTGACCCAGCCGAAACTCGAACCAGCGACCTTCTTGCTGTGAGGCGACAGCACTACCTACTGTGCCACTGCGTCGCCTATCCCTGATGTATGGTATGAAAAAAGTTAAGATATCCCCATAAAAACAAAAAAACTCTACACACAGTTTGGCATACAAAACATTTGGAACTGTGAAACAAAAACAGGAGTGTGTTTAAAATAAAATAATAAGAATCTTGATTTATTAGACTGTATTGATGATATGATGATATAGTTGAATATATTTCATATACTCAACTAAAAATTCCACGTCGATTTCAATGTTTTGGTTGCACTTGCAAACGTCAGCCCCAGCAGCATAGTGGTCAGTACATCCACATATAGCAGAACTGTGCTGCAAGCATCAAAAAGTTTGAATCCTGACTCGCAGGACTTTCCCAATCCTGTCTCTCTAACTGTGTTTCCTGTCAACATGCATTCCTGTCATAATTAAAAACCAAAACTTCCAAACATAATTTCTACAACAAAAAGAAATGTTAGAGATGGCTGAATATTTTCCCACGTAGGCTCTGCAACATGCTCAAGTAAACAGGGTTTCAAGTAAACTCATTGCGTCGGCCAAACACACAGGTCAAAGCACAAACCTTAAGCTGGTGTCGCACAGCATGGCAGTCTTTATGTTGGTAGAGCACTAGAGTATCATCTTCCTTTAGAGAGCATGACTTAGGCTCACAGCAAAGACACAGACGATTCTCCACCTGGAACAAACACACAGATAATACTTTATGACAAGAAAAAGAACAAGAAGACGAGCACCATTCCCACTTTAAGCCAAATATCAAATTGCCTAACATTTTCCTTATTACCACTGAACTTCTATACAATCAAATGGATGGAAAATAAGCTTCTGTTTGCATCATAAGAAAATGGTTTTACCTTGAATATAACATTGGATGACTTTAATAGCCATTATTAAAACAACAATAGATAATTTACCTCAGAATTTAAAAAAAAATGTTTACGTATCTGCGAAGTGCTTCATGATCCATATTTAAATGCTCAATAGCAGGTTTAAAAATTTACATTTACCTTTTCTGCCATTTACTTTTAAACTCCCATTCTTTAAAATGGTCATTTTGAAGCCAATGCTTGATAGCCTTGATTAAAAGGTCCAGTTTGATGACTGCATTAAGGGATTGCCCTTGTCAAAATGCAGTTGATGAGAGTGAAAGGCATAAAATAGTGCTGAAATTAGCCTACTCATGATATTAAACTAACTCATAACTCATTAACTAACTATTTATCCCAGAGATGGGTTGTGGCTGGGAGGCCATCCGCTAAAACGTGCAGGATAAGTTGGCAGTTCATTCCGCTCTGGCGACCCCGGATTAATAAAGGGACTAAGTCAAAAAGAAAATGAATGAATGAATAACTATAACTTAAAAGGAAAACGATACACATTTTTAATTGGACTAAAAAAATCAGATTTTCAACATCTAAAATAGACTAAAAATCCACAATATTCCAGAAATTTCAGACTTGTGGGAACACAGGGAGAAGAGAAGAGAAGAGAAGAGAAGAGAAGAGAAGAGAAGAGAAGAGAAGAGAAGAGAAGAGAAGAGAAGAGAAGAGAGAGCAGAGTGTACCTTACAGTCAACATAAGATTTGACCATCTGTGCATTCTGACATGAGAGCATGGAGCCAGCCAGACTGAGAATCACACACACTGCAGAGAGCAGCATGAACAGCGACACCTGAACAAATCAAAAAACAGCATCACTGCAGAAACTACGAGGAGCACACACACACACACACACACACACACACACACACACACACACACACACACACACACACACACACACACACTCAATACATCCTGAAAGATGATGAAAGCACATACGACAAGAGTGAAGGGCCTCCTCCATGATATCACACCTACTACTCCTGACGCCACTACCTGTTTGACAGAGAGATAGAAAAAACATTTACTAAATGGATTCAAAACACTTTGATTAAATGCTGCATTAAGCACTTTCACATCACAGTAGTTTTATTGTGTTTTAGTTTGTCATTCCCCATTTGGAGGATTACAGCATATTTATGAAGTAAATAGAAAAAATTGCTGATATTTTATGAACCATTAAATGCTTGCCTTGGGTGAAGCAGGAGATCATTTATTATCTTACCACTCGTGCTACCATGCATGCTTTGAAATTCGACTTCCAACTTCTTTTCATTACACGATCTATTTATTAAAACATTATTACATATAGGTTATGGGGTTGATAGTTGTTTTTGTGCAACAATGTTATTAGCTGATATCTTAAAATAAGTGTAAATCACCTTTCTTAAGCATTTAATAAGAAAAGTGATGCATCACTGATACAATACTGAAGGCATACAACAAAAGAAAACGTAAACAAGTATTATTTAAAAATCTTAATATCGCTCTTTGTTTCACTGCCAAATTTGATTTACTCACAAATATTAAATGATTTAGTCATTAAACTGATCAAATGGAAAAGCTTTTTGACAAAATTTGAATTGAAAGAAAATGTCAATGTTCTGAGATTTTCAGATCAACAATATGAGCTTGATGCGCTATAAATATCTATTGCTTGTAGCTCATTAATGCATTCAACGTTTTAAAAAAGACATTTACAAAAAGGCAGATTTTCTGTACATTTTTAGTCTAATATTTAAAATAAATATGAAATGTATTAATTTTAATATATAATAGTTTACCTCTTTCTAACACATGGCATAGCCTTTATTCATTAAATTAACTATTTTATATCACCTTTAAAGATTAGCCTACATATACAGGAGGGCACAGCTGACATTACTGCTCATATGAATATATCACCAAACAAACAGTTAAAACAAACTTACAAAAAAGCCAGCCCAAAAAGGGCAAGACTGTCTGACCCGGGGTGATGAGGTGAAGGCGAGGCTGGTGAAGCTGAAGGCCAGAACCATTGCCCCGAGCGCAAGGTGACACAAGCCGAGGTACAGCAGCACCCGCGCGCTGGTCCTGCCAGACATTCCTCTGCGGCTCCCAGACAGAGCCCGAGAGCCGGACATCGAGGCCACGCTGCTGGAGTCCGACGGAGAGGGCATGATAGCCAATCAAAGACTAACTCGGTTATTAGACTCAGTTCAAAATATATACAGGCTATCTTGTGAAAGATACTATTTTAAATATGTGGTTAGGATCTGTGCAACATTAAGCCCAGAGCTGTTAAACCTGAACTCGATGCACTTATGTTGTGTCAACATTTATTCTTGGCGTAGTACATCTGCATTTTCCAATATCCCCTGATCCCGCTCGTTCCATCGCCCACCTGCCGTCTCTCTCTCCACATCCCCGCGGCATTGCGGTACCCGGAGCCTCAGCAGGCCGAGCGGCTTCAGCATCCGATACCTCGGCCTTCAGGCTACTCCGCGCGGAGCAGGTCAAAACAAACAATCCCAGTCCAGCTCACATCCAACTGTCTCTTCCACGGGTTTCCACTAGAGAGCCTTTCGGCTCCCACCTGAGCCCGGAAAAGCCGTTTCATGAAGCAAAACAGAAAAAAGGAAACAATCGACAGGAATGGGAAACGAAAACAGACGCGCGGAAGTAGTTTGTGGAGCAGAATTCCTTAAGGTAATAATGTCATGCTGTTTTGGGTAATAATCATAAAGCCAAGGTGTTCCCTGTTGAGGGAGCTTTATCTTAGATCCGGTCTCCTCTTTTTCCTCCCGCAGTCACGAGGCTCCCTTCCCGTCCGTATCCCGGACATGAGCATCACTACGTAATCGCGCCAGACCTGAAGTGTATATTAACGTATGCCTACGGGTGTAATTCCTGACGTCATGTGAACGTTACCCGATGGCATTTACATTTTAAAAAGAAAAAAAGGATAGAGGCATCATAGAGCACGTGTCCATAATAAGCTATTTATTCAATGCGGCACCGAGAGGTAGTTACAGTGTAGGTGCTGATGATGCTGCGCTGGATGGGCGGTTGCATGGCAACCCACTTCGACAGTCTCAACGGTTGGCGACCTTTTTGCGCACGCGCATAAGATATGACTTCGGTGTGTGACACTCATTGACAATAACCGAAAGACGTTCTTATAAGAAATAAAGGCTATTGGCTTTATGATTATTACCCAAAACAGCATGGGTCTGCCACAAAATAATGAATCAAAGACGAAAATGGCCTTTTGTGCATCAATACAAAAACGTTCTGCAGATTTGACACTGATTTACACTAGGATCCACTAAAAAGCTATTTAGTAGTTATACACCTGGCAAATTAGAAACAAGAATACTTTTTTGACTTTAAAAGACTATTTAAGGATCATAATGTTGGTAAAAAAATACTAAATTATCATATATCTTTCTTTATACGGTGTCCCCATCGATACGGGGTCCCCATCCTTTAGAGATTTGATATCAAGCATTTAATAATTTAAAATATAAACAGTTTTGTATAAGACGGTTTATTTTTCAGTTACAATGAAACATTATTTTATCCATATTTTCTTTTTTTTTTTTAAGTTATTTCAAAACCTGTCTATTGACCCTGAGTGCGACATGCCATTCTGCTTTAGCTGTTTTGGTCCTGTCCTACATTGCTTCCTTTTAAGAGGCAAATTTTCCTCTCGTTGACTGCTATTATCACTGTTGATATTCCACCATGTCCAATTATTGGTCTAATTGGGGTTCTCCCAACCGGCCACACTTCACCCTGTCATTTTGTAGAGCCTTTTTAAACCTTCTGGCTAGGTAATTCTTCAGCACATTGTAAACCTGTATTTTCTGTATGTACGATTGCATTAGTGTCATTTATTTATTTATTTTTTTGCTCAAAAAAGTGTATTTGTTTATTGTTACGTTTATGTTGTCCTTTTTGTATTTTTCTGTTATGTGTTTCACAATGTATAAATAAAACATTATAAAAGTTATTTCAATTGACACTTGCATCTTAAATGCTTTTTTATGTAAAGTCACTATAAATTTAATTTGATATGGAGAAAAACAGGATCTTTTTGGACCAAATGCACACACAATGTTTAACATTTTCTAATTTATTCAAAGCAGTTTGTTGTACAAATTCTGGAAAATTATGATGTGAAAAAGATTATAGAAAAGTGAAACAAGTAGATATACAGAAAGTTGTTGCAAAAATCCAGAAACACTGTGAACTTTCAGTAGAACATTATAATTTCCTCATTAATAATCCACCAATTACTTTCTCACACCACTCATCTGACCTCCTTAACTCTTGCATCCATCCTCATTTTTGAAGCTAGTCACCTTTAATAGCAGCGAACATACAAATCATTTATCACAAAGTGCTGATTGGCTGACATACTGGAATGTATTTTTGTTCATTTTTACCTAAAGTTGCCTTTCAGATTTGTTTAACCAATTTGAAAGTTTTTTTTTTTTCTGTTGACATCATCATCTGAAATAATGCTAAATGCTGAAAACATCTTGTGCAAGCAAAACCAACACTGTAGCCTAGTCACTGTTTTTGTTGTGTAGTGCAAAAATATAGACATTAAGAAAAATTGATTTTCCTCCAACTACATGAAAGCTGTACCCTGATTGATTTTTCATATCTTACTCGTGCCATCATTCCTTATAAAACCACTTTCTAATAACCTCTCATGTTCACTTAGTAAATGACCATCTGGCATTAACACTGCAGTGCTCCTGTATGTACTGAAAGTGTGTGCAATGAAGCCTGTCCTCTGGAAAATGGTTCGCCTAAAGAAGAAGACATTTGGAGGAGGACTTTTTCTCTGTGCTGGTAAGTTTGACCTCTCGTCCAGATGGACCCTGTAAAAACAGCAAATCAAAAGCTAATATGAAGTATGAAACCTCTCAGGTGTATGGTGTTCTTGTTAACTTCATTTTTAGGTACGTCTGCTTAAAAACAAACCATTTGAGACTAGTCAAGATAAATCTGCAAGACGTTAATCACATCAGCACAGTGTGTAAATATGTAAAAAACAAAAAAAAAAGTGATTAAATGTATTTCTGGATGCACTTGATGAGTGATCATGGCTCGTCACAGCAAAATTATCCGGCCCTGTCAATCCGGACAAAGTTTTATATAGATACAGTAAAAAGTATTTGCCATCCTCTGGATTATTTTTATTTTACAGTAGCTATAATAAAAGCAGTTTAAAAAAATAAAAAAAATTTTAGATCAATATTATTAGCCCTCTTAAGCAATATTTTTTGATTGTCTACTGAACAAAAAAGTTATACAATAATTTGGCTAACTACCCTAAATTACACTTTAAGCTGAATGCTAGTATCTTAAAATACATTAGAAATCATAATTCATTCATTTTTCTTCGGCTTAGTCCCTTATTTATCAGTGGTCGCCACAACGGAATGAACCGCAAACTATTCCAGCACATTTTACGCAGCGGATACCCTTCCAGCCACAACCCAACACTGGGAAACACCCATACCCTCTAACATTTATACATTGGCCAATTTTGTTTACCCAATTCATTTATAGCACATGTTTGGAATGCAAGGGAAACCAGAGCACCCGGAGTAAACTCACGCGAACACAGGGTTACACATGTATGTTTTCACATACATCTTGAAACAGATCTACTTTAACAACAATTATGTTTTCATTATTTGTCAAAAAAAAAAAGTTAATAAAATATGAACACGTAAAGACTGAATAACATGCCGATTTGTCTAAAAGCTGAGGCTTGGTTCTTTAATTTGATATATAATATAGCTATATAATCACATCAAAAAATATTCAGAAGATCCAGAAATTTAGGGTGAAATCAAAAATGCTGAGAGTGGCTGACAACCTTTTTTTTTTTTTTTTTTTTAAATGATGGTAGGGTAATAGTTAAATGCTCTGCTTATATGCTTATCTATATAAATAAATGAGCTAAAACAACACAATTCTTGAGATTTCATTGGGACAGCTTAATTGTTTTTATGTTCAATTCACATAAATTTGTTAAAAGTGTTAATTTAATCGATTTGTGTTGGGACAACATGAAGGAATTGTGTGGAACCCTGCATTTTTTACAGTGTACGACATTTCAACATGATTTATGATAACACTGTATAATAATAAATATGATAAGAAAATATATTATAACACTGTCGCCACTGGCTTGCTTGGTTTGGGGCTTATGGAACTGTGCATCAATGGATTTGCTTTTCAGTGTATGGACAGTGTTTCAGCAGCAAAGTTAAACCACACTGAACTGAACTTAACTGATCTTCTACTCTAAAAACTGGACTGACACTCAATTTCAATTTACTACAACTATGTTAAGCTGCTTTGACACAATCTACATTGTAAAAGCGCTATAGAAATAAAGATGAGTTGAATGATATAAGGAGATTATTAGGCAATTATTAAGTGAGAGTAAGGTTTAGAAGAGAAATAATTGAGATACTAAAAAGTTACATTTATGTTATTTACTGACCCTTCCAAACTTCCCAATGCAAGTAACACAAAATAAGATATAATGTAGAATGTTTGAAGACTGTAACCATTGACTTGTATAGTAAGAAATACAAATACTATACAAATGAATGGTTAAAGGTTTCCAACATTCTTCAGAATATCTTATTTTGGGTTCAAAAAAAAAAAAAACTGGTAACTAAATAAGAGTAAGTAAATCATAAGAATTGTCATTTTTGGGTGATTCTCGTTGAAGAATAAAAAGCACTTTCAAAGTACAACATGATGCCACAAAATACTTTTTTTTAAACTACCATTTCATTTGTGCAAACAACTTCATTGTTCCATACAAAACCACTCTTATTTATTGCTCACACACATCCACCGTTTAGCTCGCTCTGCACTGCTTTCACTCCCAAACAAATACACTTCATTTTAGTCTACCAGATAAGCAATTCACATCTATGCTTTTACAAAAAAACTGGTCTGAAATTAAACCATGGAGAAAAATTATGCATTTCCACAGAGCTGTGTTTATTTAAATATTAGCAAAACATTACTTTTAAAATAATTTAAATAGTAATTATTAATCTAATTTAACATGTTTTAAACAATTGAATCTTGCTAAAATGCAACATGCGATGCATTTCCTGAGCATCAAGTGAATGAACAGCAATTCGAGAGCCACTTCACAAGACTAATGATGAGCATAAACAACTCAGAGAATAATGAAATCAAGTGCTTTTATTTTCAACACACGCTCACTCATGGCTGTATTATTTAATTCGCATTAAGTTACATCTTTATTGGGAGATTATATTTGAGGAATTTTTTTTTCATGACTCTGCAGGCTTATCTCTATTTCTTGAATCCATGCAGCATAAATGACAAATCAGGCATTTATGCAACATGTTTAATTTGTGCACTGATGGCTGTAATGTTACATAATATTAATTAAACTAATTGCAGCAAAATTAAGTATACTATGCATGTCTGTGCTGGATGTTGTTGTCTCTTCTCCCCCTAAAATTCTCAAAAAGCCCACAAGATAATGTGGATAATAATATCCTATTATAGTAAATCCTAAAAACAGTTTTGGTAAACCCTTATATTGGCTGATATCTTCATAAAATAACAAATCACCTTAATTGTTGTTAATCTTTCAGGTAAAGACGAGCACAGCCATTAGAACCTTATTGGCTCCAAACTTTCAGTCTCGTACACTTCCACAGCCATAAAGACATTTTGTTATACTGCTTGATGTTGCAAACTTTTATATTCTTATCATATTTATAATGAATAGTCATAAATGCAATTGTTGTAGCAAGGATCATTTCTGTCATTTATTGTTCATCAAAGTCATTTCATCAAAGTCAAAAGAATAGGAAATTCTAAAACAAATCGCAGAGAAGAGTGCACTTCCATGTTGCAGAATAAGGGCAATAATGAGCATTTCAGTCTAAACTTGATGCAGGGCAAGCAACAAACCTCTAAGACTAAACTGATCTTGTTCTATTTATGACATACTGACACAGATTATAATGTATGACAATTTGCAGTGCAGCTTCTAGATCAAAAATAACTGCATCCAGTGTCTTTCATAAATTGAAAAAAAAAGAAAAAACAATCAGGGAGTAAATTCCCATCTTAGTCTCCATAAAAAATATTTCTAAAACAGATTTTTATGATCGGAGTAGACATTTCTATATACCTACTAGCATTCCAAGTCCCATACGAGAACCTTTTTACAATGGAGTATATGCACACAGACTTTTAATTTCAGTCAGCCAGCCCCAGGGTTTCTGGTTAATTGTCATTCCGTACAAAACTGCAGTGATCTTATTTCCAAAAAAAAAAAAAAAACAAAAAAAAAAACAGCAATCTTCACTGCCTGGCTGAAATTCATTATAAAGTGGGTATCAGACCAAACAAGAAGCACTGTATTAAATTATATTTTTCTACACCATGTCTTAAAAATATGGAAATTAATTTTACCCCAGTTTTTTCAATGGAATTTCTGCACTAGCATACGGCTAATCATGGCGCCTGCATTTAATAATTGCACCTTACATCACTTTTTACTCTTTAACAAACAAATGGATGCATAAGTCTATTTAACTGATTACATTTTAATTATATCACAACATCGATGCTGCAAAACGATGCTCATGAAATTGAAAATGGTCACATTAAAGCCTGGTTTGCATGAATGATGCCATAATGTTACAGTAATGCTTGTAATACAGTAATATATGACTAGGGCAAGACGGAATCTGTGGATGTTTTTTGCTATTTCTGCGGAGAATTTTGGTAAAGATCTGAAGATTTCTATGGAATTATTGTGGGAGTATCATAACTAAAACCTTAATATGTAAAATAATATAAAATAATATAAAATAATATATTTTAACTTTTATGTAATGTTTAAAATGTAAATCCAATTAGATTCACTTTATATGGTAAACAATCAACAAACAAAAGTCAGAAAATATTTCTGTACAAACGGCATTGTACTTAAATCAGATGAACATTCCCATATTAGTCAGTAATATTACTGAAATTAATTTACAAACTGAATAAATATAGATTTACACACATTTACTCAAGTAAATAAACAGAATTATGATGGGCTAAAAATCTGCAGAAAATCTGCAAAAAATCTGCAGAATTCTGCACACGCAGAATCTGTGTGGAGCTATGTATGACTTATGAACCTAGTTAAAGTATAGCAAACAAAATATCAAGATTAATTTTCAATTTGATCTACTGTACATATAGAATCATGTAAAACTCACCGGCTTCTTATTTGACTTCAGCAAAATGTCTCGAGCAAGAGAAGTAAAAGACTACAGAGAGAAAGAGAAGTCTTGTCAAACTGTTGACCAAACTTAAAATGTAACATTAAAATGCACAAAACTCTTGATGTAAAACTCTCAATTTAAAATATCTCAATTTAAAAAATGCCTATGAATACTGTAAAAACATGCAATAGAATTCACAAACTACAGTGGTCAACATTAGAAATGGAACAAAACCTTTCATCCAATTTGTCCTAAACCTGTTAAACAACACCCATTCTTGTCTTAGGACAATTTTGAAAAATGTTTTTGATCCGTTTCAAATGTCAACTACTGTATACTGAAACTAGAAAACTGAAACTAGAAAAGGCCATTACTTTGTGAATATATCTGATGTCCATACCTCCTCAACGTTGATGCTCGATTTGGCACTAGTCTCAAAGAATCGAATACCATGTTCCTTTGCGAGCTACAATGAATGAAAAGATAACGATAACTTTTCATAAAAATAGAAATTGTGTTTGCTTTAAACTTGTTGTATGAAAAAAATGTTGTATGATATTTAACCCATTTCACATGTCAAATGTCCACATAGCGAAATTAGAGAGGAAGGCATGTGCTGTGAACCTTCATATACTCACCTTCTCACCAGTCTCTTTTGAGACTTTCCTCTTGGCCTCAATGTCACACTTGTTACCCAGTAACATTCGACTTACACCCGCTGATGCATTCTGGAAACAGAAGACAAAAATGCACTCACTTCCTTATTTTCCTCATAACTGAGACTTGTTTTTTTTTTAAAAAAGGCCCCATTTGTATTTACAATGCACCTCTGTTGTGCTTTCTATGGCATCGTATATAAAGAACTGAAACTCGCTTTATTAAACCCGTTTCGTTTTAAATATCTTTTTGGTGGTGGAACCTGGTAGTATTTGCTTTTAGTTGTGTTGCAGATAATAAATAAATAAATGTGCAAGAAAGCAAAAGTTAAATCCATCGTAAATGTATGTTATTATCAAGCTTTACTTGCGAGGAAGAAAATGTATTCAATCATAAAAAACTAGACATCACTTTTTTTACTCTTACTTCTTTGATGCTCTTCATCCAGTTCTGAATATTCTCATAGGATTTTTCATCAGTTATGTCATACACGAGAATGATGCCCTGAAAGAGATTGTTAAAATAAAACCCCATTGCTAGCATGTGCATGCATGCCATACTAATGCCATATTAATACTGCTTTCACAGTAATCACATATTATGTAGGTTTAGATTATAAAGTATTATATCTGCTTGTTGTCTCACCATGGCCCCTCTGTAGTATGCAGTGGTGATGGTCTTAAACCTCTCCTGTCCTGCTGTGTCCCTAATAAATATAAGCAGTTGCAAACATAAGACATTTTCAGCACAATGGAGGACTGTTTGGAGAGAAAGGTATGATAGATGACTTATTTAACAACGTTCAGTCGATTATGTGTAATTTGCATGTTTTATATCAGATGGACTTTGCACTTCCGGCTCTCGGCGCTGTTGGACTCCACCTTTGGCATATTAACACTGGGCTTACAGATTTCACAGAAGCAGAAGCTGAAGACATGTCTTGTTTCTTTGTGTACACAGCATATTTACACAGACATTGTGTACACTTGTAAAGAGTTTTCCCTGAATGGATTTAATAAAGGACAATTTCATTGCTCTGATTTATCAAATAAGCAGGGTTTCAGCCAAAAAATAAATTAATTATAAAAATATAAAACACACAATAAAAAAATGTAAAAAATATATATAATAATGCCTATATAATAATACTGTTAAATATTATTTTTAAACAACTTTTTTCTAATCAAATATATTTTTAAATGCAATTAATTCCGGTGATTCAAATCTAATATTTCAGCATCATTACTACAGGTGTCACAATTCCAGTGTCACAATTCCAAAGAAATGTGATGTGCTTTGTTGCACAGTAAACATTTCTGATTATTATCAACTTCGAAAACAGTTGTGCTGCTTCATATCTTTGAGGAAACTGACAGCAATAATTATGAAATGAAAGTAAAGAAAGTGAAGAAATTTATAATTTCACAAAAGACGTGTTTTACGTACATGCTGGTACTCTAAACATCTAAACAACTATTCTGTTCAATAAATGATGCTGACATAAGTCACAGGTCTCATGGTTTTTACAAAAAAAAAAAAAAAAAAAATGTGGCAGATTACTATATTTTAACTAGCTTACATCAGAATCAGGGGGAGGCCAAGCCAGTCTCTTTCCACTCCCCAGGGCTCTGTGATGGTTGTGGAAATTCAAATTGAACCAAAACAATAACAATTACAATTCCAATTGGTTTAAGAAAGGCAATGGAAATTCAAAAATGTGCTCCAACCGGCAGAGCCACGGAAATAAAAACAATAATGAAATTAATTATTTTACTTTAAAAATTAAATAACAATTTAGAAAAATATAATTTACAATTAAACAATTTTCATTTTTAATCTTTTTAAAACCAGGTTTTCTTTTGTAAGCAAGTATTTTACAGTACTTTAAAAATTCTCAAAAATGTCTGTCAATGTTTTTAAACTATTGTATTTGATTTACCAATTTCACATCTGTCACATCCATTGCTTTTTCCTCATAAATGCAAAAATCATAAATAAAATAAAGCTAATTTTGTTCAATAGAGAGCCAACTATCCTTTTGATTATGATTGTTTCTTTTGGGTTGTGCAGTTCAATTCAGAGAATTTTTTCAGAGCTTGTTATATATTGTAAACTCGCAGACTTTTTTTGGCCACATCCATAACGCATGTTTATTTTCCTCATTTAAAGTACAAAACATGTTTACAGACTGATATTTTTCTAATCACAAAACTCTGTGGTTAATTGTGTAAACATATGTTTCAATATAATGTTAACATACTTACTCTGTGAATTTATGTGAGCAATTCCAGCCTTATGGATGTGACATTTGCAGTAAAAACTCAAAACATAAATTCACAGAGAAAGTATATGTTAACATTATATTGAAACATCTGTTTATATTTTCCAGAACAACTAACCACAGAGTTAAGGGACCAGAAAAATATCAGTCTGTAAAGATGCTTTGTACTTTAAATGAGGAAAATAAACATGTGTTATGGATGTGAGCAAAAATGGATAAAATATGTCTGTCTATAAAAAAAAAATGATGGATTTTATTTTATTTGACATTTTTGCACTTATGAGGAAAAAGTGCCGTTATGGATGTGACGTCTCTTCGTTATGAATGTGACCGATGAGTAATTGGCACTTGTATGACTTTGGTAAATCAAATATAATAGTTTGAAAACATTTTTGAGTATTTTTAAAGTGCTGTAAAATACTTGCTTACACACAAAAAATGTAGAAACGGTTTCCATATTTTGGTGGAAACTTCAAGGTTGACATTTGCATGGAACTGCTCATGTGTTCAGTTTTTAATGCAAATGTCAATTCCATAATGCTGGAATTGCTCATATTTCATACTGTCATATACATTATAGAATCTTTGTTTACCAGACTTGCAGCTTCACTTTCTTTCCTTCCACCTCAATAGTCTTCACTTTGAAGTCAATACCTAGAAAAAAAAAGACAAAAAGGAAAGCGAGAGATAAAGCAGGAGGGGCAGGAAGGAAAGGGTGATCATGTTTTAACCCCAAGAGAGACAATAAAGGAACATTTATTGAATTTGTCTACTACATTCAGAAACACAGTGGCGGCCATACTGAGATACAATCACTGCACTAAAGATTTAATAAACACCCTGGCATGTTTTTCCAGGGGAAAGGGGAGGAGGAGGTCATTTTGGGATCTGGTTGAATAACTAAATTCATTTTAGGGGGGTGGGATAGACTGCAAAAATGAGAGAGGAGTGGGGTGGGGGGGATAGCAGGCTGTGGCTGGCAGGAGTAAAGGCCCGGAAATGCAGTCAGGAGGAGGAGGAGGAAAACACGGGACGATCCGCAGGACTGATTGAGCTCGACTGGGGAAGGTTGGAATGAGATGACGTTAAGACTAGTACTGACATGAACAAACACTTGGGGTAGCACTTGTTTTACAAGCTAGAAACTTGGCAGCACAGAGAAACGCCGCTCTGTTACGTTATCAGACACCAACAGAAAACTCATTCTGCACACTTACCGATGGTTGAGATGTACGTTGAATTAAAATTGTCCTCTGCGAAACGGATGATCAAACATGTCTTGCCAACACCGCTATCGCCGATAAGCAATAATTTAAAGAGGAAGTCGTACTTCTTTGCCATTGTTCGTTTCGACTGGGTGTTTAAGCGAGTTTTAAAATACTTCTCCGCTGTTTTGTTCTTTCACAGATACGAGCGGCGTTTTAAAATCCTTCCGTGTGGTAAATGTCCTTCATGAGTTTCTTTCCTCTGGAAAACTTTCGCCGGTGAACTTAGTTTCTGCTTAGCGGTCTCTGTCCGAAAGGATGAGAGTTTTTTAAAAATCCAAGAAACCAAAAGTGGAACGGTTTGCCCAGAACGCTTTAAAACGCGTCTGCAGTTTGTTTCATTGCGGATGCCACGCATTTGCCATTTCGGGCTCCTCTGCGCTAGTTTTCGCTCCTGTATGAGAGGCTTTCAGTATTCATCCATACATAGACAACAGCAGAGTTTTTTTTTCTCCCTAAACTTTCCCTTGTCCGAGTTCCCAAAAGCTGACGTCGATGGAGGGAGAGGTTTAATAAAGCAGTGCTGAGGAAAACCGCTATCAGCGGTGGTCAACAGGGGGCGACGTTGGCACACGATATGCTGAAAAGAAGCACTCATTGAACCCAACTGAAAAAACACATCAATTTTGTTTTTAGGTCATTTTTGGTTTGTTTTTGAAATTGGAAGCTGGCTTTGTGACGTCAGCTGGCTTTGTCTTCCGAATGTCTGAACACACAGATAAATCATTATTGCTATTTTTACTATTTTAAATATAGCTTATTTTTAGATAAGAGATTCTAAATATCATAGATGTTATATTCTTTTTGAGGCCTTCTCAAAAAACAAATAATAATGTTAAAATACTCATTTTTAAATAGCACATTTAAAGCAGGGGTGCCCAAAATGATTAATATGAAAGGCAAAAAAAAAATAATAATAATAATAAAAAAATATATATATATATATATATTATAATATTATATTTTTATTATATTATTATTAATATTATAAAAGCTGTGGGCCGAAGGTATAGGTAATTTCTTAATTTATTTACTAATAAAATAAATTAAAAACATTACTTTAAATTGTATTAATTAACGCAGTATAACTTTTTAAATGACAAATTATTGCAATAAAAAAACACATTTATAAGTGGAGTTCAGTGCTGAATACAATAGGCAGGCAAAATCTGTCCTTGACTTGATTTACTTACCAATTTAAACAAAATCGGATTAATTTACACCATTAATTGAAACATTTCATTTTAGTTAGCTTTAAAAAATAAAACAAACAAAGGTTTACATTACTTTTGAATTGACAAACTCTAAACCCTCCACATCATTCTGTCTCTCTCTTCACAGATGGGATGGAGGGCCAAATTAAAGGTTACCATGGGCCATGAAAAAAAAATCTGAGTTCAAACCGGACCCTTTTTGATTGTTTCCTATTAATAGCCTTAACACATTAATGTATGCTTTATATCCTTATTTTACTAGTGAGCAGACCATCAAAGAAATTGATAGCAATGCAATGTTGTTTTTTGTGTTTATCATAGTTTTTGCTATTTTTATTTGGCAATTTAGTTTACATTTTTCAGTTTAGTAATTTAGTATTTTTTTAGCTTTTGTAGTTTTTATTTATGTATTTATGCTATTCGATTCTTTTTAAATAGGCTATTTGATATTTAACTTTTTTTTTTTTTGCATTTTAACACTTATTTTAAGTTAGTAAGGTTTTCCATCTAAAACTGCTGAAGTTTTAGCCAATAAGTAATTGAAATTGCTTGATGAAATGGAAAACATTTACATTGTATTTGAATTTTTTAGACTCATGTATCATTTTATTTTATTTCAATAATTTCATTTTATTTTTATTTCATTTTAGTTCAATACAGTTTTTTTATTTAATGCTTTATTCAATTATTTAAAAAAATAAAGTTTTAATAAGCAATGCAACATTAGTTATTGTTATACATTTGTGATGAAATGAAATGACCAATTTAATTAAATTTATTATCAAATTATCACAATAATATAGTATATTTTACATTATAATGTACAAATTATGAATACTGAATGTCGTTTTTATGTATGCTATTTGGCTTAGTTTATAAACCACTAATAGCCGTGTCTATGAAACACTTTCTAAACATTAATACCCACAGAAATGTCAGAAGAAATTATTTGTTTTGTTTAATTGATTAAAGAGGGAAGTACAGAATTATCCATAAAACAGTATACAAGGGAATTAACAACAAAAAATAATGATGTACATTAGGTATTTTTTCAGCAATTATGATATCTTAATACCTGTGGTTTTACTCTGTATGGAAGTCATGGAATCCTATATATATATATATATATATATATATATATATATATATATATATATATATATATATATATATATATATATATATATATATATATATATATATATAATTTTTTTTATATAATTTTTTATAAGATCACTGAAAAATAGTTAAGAATTTGGTACAGTAAGCATACATTTTGTTTTGTGGATGTGGTACTTTCCAAATAAAATAAGAAGTTTTGTTATTTTGTCCATTTCCAATAATCCAGAGTTAGTAGAAATGCTCTTATTATTATTAAACAGTATTTCCTGCCCCTGCTCTCGAGCCCCGTTCATATGCGCCATGCATTTCCGGTAGCCCCCCCTTTTCGGCTGCTGCTCCGCTGTCGCCAACATGCCTGTAAGTGCGTGCTAACACAACCGAGCCCATTTAAAACGTAATTACGCCGGCTTTGTGGATGAAATCGCATTGATCGTAAAGAGGTGGTTTTTGTTATTATAATCTGACGTCCACGATTCATTATTATCATCTATTTTGAGGGTTAAACTTTGTAGAAAGGAGCGAAGCGCGTGCTTTGTATATAGGAACGACAAGATGGCTGCGTACATTTGCGTTAAATCGCATGGCGAGTATCGTGGTTTTCGTACAAATAAAACGCAAAGTGATGACATAGGGTTGAGATTTAAAGGTTAAATGTCAGGTAAACTGAAGAACTATGTTGAAGATAGAATATTAGTCGTTTTCACACTCAGATGTGCTCAGGGGCACATCTGTATGTCACGAATAGGCAGTGCCTTTTGTTGTCTGTTCTTGACAGTCAGCTGATCAGGAATAACTTACCATGGTGCATACGAAGCGCTTACAAAAATATAAAAAATATTATAGTAAATAAAATATACAACAAGTGTTTGTGTTGTTAAATGCTTAATTTGTATTGGCTAACTTTATATAACCACTTTTACAATAGAATATCATGGTTGACCTATGGTTATTGAATATTAAAATCATGGTTAATTAATTAGATGCTACCACGGTTTAAAAATAAACGCAAAATAAAACTGGTTATTTTTTTTAAGCAAGGGTCATTTTTCTAAAGAACACTCCCTTGTGAGCTTATATGGGTGCTTGTTCTGTTAACATATTTTAGTTGTGTAATAACATGCCAAGAAAAATAGGACACAAACTCGTAACTTAAGCTGATGAACTGACATTCATCTTACCTTCTCATCATTTTCAGCTCGCGAAGGATTTGTTGCACCCGACGCCAGAGGAGGAGAAGAGAAGACACAAGAAGAAGCGTCTCGTACAGAGTCCCAACTCTTATTTTATGGATGTCAAATGCCCAGGTAACATCTGCTAATGAACACGACCACTATGAGAAAATAGTTCTCCATAGAGCCATACTTATTTAAATTCATGAGGCACAGAACAAAACGTTCCACTGCCTTTGTTTTTTCTGTATGTTTTTTAAGAACATAAGTTACCAACCTTGAAACTAACCAACTATGGTCAAAATGACCATGGTACAAGAATCCTTAAACAGATAGTTTACCCAAAAATAAAAATTCCATCATTTACTCACTCTATACTTGCTTGAGACCTGTTTTAATTTCTTTCTACTGTTGAACACACAGGATTTTTCAAGTATACTGGAACCCTCTAACCATTGACTTGCATACCATTTGTTTTTCCTATCATGAAATAAATGGTTATAGGTTTTCAACTTCCTTCAAAATAAACTGTTTTGCTTTCAACCGAAGAAAGAAACATTTTGAGCTTGAGAAAAGCACATTACAAATAAAATATTATTATTATTATTATTATTAATGAAATTTTAACCACTTGAGGGTGAGAAAGTGTAAGCAAATTAAATGTTTTGGTTAACTAACCCTTTAAAGAGATACTTTTTCTTAAAAAATAAAATGGAAGTTTCACATGTATAATCTTTTATATTCTTAAATATTTTATACAAAAGCAACATTTTTAATAGTTTGGATTTAGTTCTGATTATCAATTGCAGTGCTTCATGGGATTGAAGTTATTTGCTTGAAAGCAGAGCATTTTGTCTTTTTTCTCGTTGTTGTTGTATAAAGTACATTTTAATGGTGTGATTCAGTTAATTGATTTTGTTTTTGGCTTGAGAATAATGAAATGTAAGGCATTAGAACAACACCAGGATAATTAATTATTGAAAGTGTGTTTATGCCACTGAAAATAGAAAACATTTTATGTGTTGTCCTTCATTTACACAAAGATAGCATTTCAGGGTCCAGAAAGTTCAAAGAAAAATGTATGTAAAATAATTCAAAGAACAGGTTTTTAAAAATATAACTGTTATTATACCCATGAATTAGAGCTGCACAATTAATTGAATAAAGATCTTAGTTCGACCCTACACACAATCTTAATTCTGCTTTTTTATGATTCAAACTCAGGAGAAAAGCTTAAATGCAGCCTCTCAAGTCTTTACATTTTATATCCATTGCTCAGTAAAATTGATACCTCCAAATGGTGTTACAAGAGTCACATACTGTATTTATAAGATATAATTGGTCCCAAATTGTGATTTCTGTCTTAATGTTATGATGTATTCACGGCAGTGAAATCACAAGTGAGCTGATGCACTGTTTGTTTACTATGCTTTTCTGCCAATGATGTCTTCTTAAGTGAACAGAACTTGCATAGGCTGTGAACAACAGGTAATGAAGTTACAAATAACGCTTAGATTGTTGCACAGATTGATTGTTTGAGAGCTGCACAGGGAGTATAATTTGGTTGTGTTTTTTTCTCAAAGCGACTGCAGCCATCAGCCGCACTCTGCAGTGAAAGCGAAACCACAGTGCGCACCTCATTTAAATGATCATAGCACATTTTAAAGTTATGATTACGGCAAGCATTTGATGTTTTTTTTTTTTTTCGTAGAGAACACCATGTTGTGCATGAAAATAAATGTTAAAAATTAGGTCTGTATAACTAGCCTATAAAATGTTACTATTTATATACAGGGGTTTACGTTATCACCCGCATCATGTATTTTATATACATGACAATAGATCTTTTTAAATGTCAATCAAATAAAAAAGAAAAGTTTTGTTGAATAAAAAGTGCATGTATACAGCTATATATTTGCTTGTTTTGACACATTTAAAATGTATGGCTAAGAAATAATTATTTCTTTTTGGTGTGGTCAGATAAATTTGGTAAATCCTTAATTTTGAGCCCTAAAAAAGTCATGTGAAATAAAAACCAATAGCAATGCGACTCAACTAGGGCAGTGCAATTAGTCGAAAATCCGATTTCAATTTCGATTTTGGCTTTTAACGATTATGAAAAACCATTAATCGAGATAAACGATTATTCCATCACGTACCGCCCCCTTTCCAGTTGTACACGTGTGAAAACTCTTTGCCTCTGCAAAGCTCAGTTCCACGTGATAATGACTAAAAGCATGTGCTGTAATGTAACTTTTGCAGCACGGGATGCGCATCATTCATAATTTTAAAAGCGTAAAAAAGCACGTGCTGTTGTGTGTGTGCGCGCGCCGTGTCTGGCCTCGGACAGGTAGCGTGTGTTTGTGCGCGTGCCACGCTTAGCCTCGGACAGCAGAGCACACACACACATCTAACGCGATCTTATAGTAAGCGTTTTAATGGTCAAATACATGCACACTTGTGTCAGATCGCGGTGTTTAGTGATTATTCATATTAACCCCCATTTGTGTAATAAACTAACAAGTTGAAAATCAAAAGACATGTAAAAGAGAAACCATATCAGAGCCGCACTATTCACTATTCTACGATAGCATGCGATATTCCTGCTGCTGCCGACTGTTTTTATTATTACTCAATAATAAAATCTAAAATACAGTGAAGATGCTTAAAGCACAGTTTAAACAACAGATTTAATAACTCAATTCTAAAAACTGATTACTTTTATCTTTGCTATGATGACAGCACATTATATTTTACACATTATATTTGAAGATATTCTTCAAGATACTAGTATTCAGTGACATTCAAAGGCTTAATTTGGGTAAATAGATAAGTCATTGTATAATAGTAGTTTCTTCTGCACACAATCAAACATATATATTGCTCAAAGGGGCTAATAATATTGAGCTATTATAGGTTTCAAAATATTCAAACCTGCTTTTATTTTAGCTAAAATAAAACAAATATGCCTTTCTCCAGAAGAAGAAAAATTTATAGGAAATACTGTAAAAAACCCTCTGTTAAACATCATTTGGGAAATATTTATACATAAAATAAAATTCACAGGAGGATGAATAATTTTGACTTCAACTGATAATCGTTTTGAATAATCGTGATTACAATTATGACCAAAATAATTGTGATTATGATTTTTCCCATAATCAAGCAGCCCTAGACTCAACCCATTTGCTCATGCACATTGAGCAAGCGCATACACAACACACAAAAACGGTGAAATAAATGAGGCATGTGGACAACACAACATCTAAATCAAGTCATTTTAGCATGTCAGTCACATTTATTAATAAAAAATATACTTTCCAAGCAAAAAAATTGTGGCTAGTGAAAATAGCAACTGGCTAGTAATGTTGGAAATCTACTAGCCACAGTGGCTGGTGATCAAAAAAGTTATTGTCAAGCCCTGTACTTTTAATTTATTTATATATAATGGAAGTCAATGGAGGAATATGACTAGTCATAATATATTTGCAGATATCTCCAATCTGATTTCGTACTAGTACAATTGTAATTGCAGATATCTCTAATTGTCATTCTGAATAGTCGAATTATAATTATGACTAGTCAAAATATAATTAGAGATATCTCTAAATATATTTATGGATAGTCAGAACAAAGGTTTAAATGCTAAAACGGCTTGCCATACGCGCGCGTCTATCATAGTCCGCCCTCTGTAGTAACAGCTCTCGGTCAGCTCACGTCATGTGTGATTTTGCGGCGGGAACATTATATGAAGACAGAATGATATTTTAGGGTGAATTGTACCTTATAAATACAGTATGTGACTCTTTCAACACCATTAGGAGGTATCCCTGTCGCTGTGCAAAGTATGTAAATCACTGTGAAGACTTTAAAACTTAGGATGTTTGACCCAGTATGCGTGTCAAAAAGCGGACGAGTCTAAAGCAATGACTGTACAACCGAAATGTTGCCAGATGTCTGATTTTGAGAGGATGGGCCATCCTCTATTTCAGCTCCACTCATCTTGGTCTGCTAACATTACTGCTGCTGCAATCTGAACTCGTGTGCGACAGCAGGTGGAACGTAGCTCACGTGCAAACAGCTCAACTAATAAGAGAAAACGGACGTCATATCGTAATCAAATCGTCATGACGCCACAATGCATATTGTGACATTCTTGTATCGCAATAAATCGTACAACGATAAATCGTTACACCCCTAGTGTTTACACTCAAAATGGACTTTGATTGAAAGCTGCTTAGTATTTGTGCACTATTACATTTGCTAGTCTTGCATATGAATTATAAGCCTTTATGTTTGAGACTTTGGGCCATTCTCTCTTTGCAGGCTGTTATAAGATCACTACCGTGTTCAGTCACGCACAGACGGTGGTCTTGTGTGTAGGATGCTCCACTGTTCTCTGCCAGCCCACTGGAGGAAAGGCTCGCCTCACAGAAGGTATCACTTCATCATTTACCCAATTTGAGTTGACCAAAGCCTGAAAGAACCTAACTTGTCAATCTAGCGGTGTGCGCTGTTCTTCGAAACATGTGATTCCACAAGCAGAATCCTACAGTGGGCTTTCCCTCCTTCAAGCAGCAGTCAGAACATGTCACTCTAGCACCTTAAAATGCGACCTTCAGAAGATGAGTAATAAATTCATGGTTCTGTGTGGGAGAAATATGGCTGGAAGTGCACTCATAGATTAGAGATACACATACATGCGCTTGTAAATGTACCGGCGCCATGGCAACATGCCCACGCAGGCCACCCTAGTGTTTCCCACTCGATCATTGTGCTCTTCTTGAGCTAAAGCTTGATGATTGGTTGAAGCTCTGAAACCCAGTGTCCTGCTGGCACAAAGTTCAGCAGAGGTGCAAGCAGACTGTTTCTGTCTCACTCAGCAACATCTAATTATTTAGCTCTCTGCCCACAAATTGAAACTCGTGTATATGTATGTGCGTATATATACAGATGGGGACTAAATCATTGGTGCCCTTCCATTGAAGAAATAAAATTCACAATGGTAACTAAAATAACTGATAGTTAATAAAGAAATTACTAAAATAAATTAATTAAATTCATATATTGAATTATGAGTCAACAAAAGCATTAAACTAATTAAATTGCCTGCACAAACTGAAGGGAAACAATACATTTGTTTTTGCACTTATTACTCTAATGAATAATTTCCCTGAGGTCTTTTTTATTTTGTGATTGTGTTTTTTATGTCTTTTATACTACAGAAACACTGAGGCTTAAGACGTTGACTTGATTGTTTAAAAACTAGAAGCTAATGTTTTCTCGTGCTCTGCTGCTGCTTGAATTAAGATGCCTGTACGGTTATGTGTCACGCTATGTTTATTGTTTGAATAAACAATAGTGATTTAAATACAAATCTTAAGGTTTTAAAGATTGATATTAATTTGTTAATTAAGGTACATGCATTGAAACAAATGTAAACTGCTGTTAAAACGTATAGTTTTTCATCACAGTGCCAATGTTTAACTTTAGAAGAGATCAGATATCAAAATTTTATTTTCACCAGTTGTTTCTTTCTGGTCTAAATGACTATTTTTGTTATGTGAAATTAGGAATAAATGTTAGCAGAACTTAAATAAATAAATAAATCAATATTATTATTTTATATGCATAACAAGTCCAAAGAAACTAGGACTAGAACTAAGAGTCATCCTTGCAATAGTCCAGAAAATATAGGATTTGTTACGTACACATGAATCATCTCTAAAATGTTAAGTCTACCATTACTTCCCATATTTACACACACACACACCATAACATTGTTTTGTGGAAAACCGGTCACTGTCAAAATTGCATCGTTAGGGGCTTTAGAAATAAACAAAATGATGTGCATGTGAATTGCATTTTCTAATTCCATTAATTAATAATAAATATGCTTTAAAATGTCCTCAACAAAACATTTACAAAAGTTTTAGTGTGCTTTCACACCTGTAGATTGATTGTTTTGTTCCAAAACAGGGATTAAATCGTTACAATGTTGCTTTTTGTTCGTGGTGTGGTTTGCGTTTACACGGCTATGTTTGTAAATGGACCAAAATAGTTAAAACAAGTCAGTTTCAGTAAACTCTCCTCACATTGGTCAGAGTCCCGCTCACCTGTCATGCGTCCTTATTTTAATATCACGTTGAGCAAAAAGACAATATAAGCGAAAAAACTGTGCTTTCATTTTGAATGGTGACACCTATAGACATAGGCCCAATCCCAATTCTTCCCCTTAGCCCTTCCCCTACCCCACATTTTGCATGTTGCCGTGAAGGGGTAGGGGTGTCCTAATTCTCGTAGGGCTAAGGGGTAGGGGTAAATGCCCCTTTGAATGAAGATTTTTCAGGACCACAGTTGAAATCAAGGGGTAAAAAAAAAAATTCCCAGAATACACCAGCTACAATGGCAGGATAGCTGCACCCGGAAGTATGGAGATCCATAAATGTAGTGTTTTTTTGTCATTATTACGAATCTTTACAACAAACAAATATATGTTTTAATATATTCATAACCCTGTTCATGTTTTACCATCATGCTTTTATAAAAAAGCGCTAAAATAATAAATGCTAAATTTTGTTATCTATAATCCATAATAAGTGCTGTCGCCTCACTGCAAGAAGGTCTCTGGGTCGCTGGTTGGATCCTCTGCTCAGTTGGCGTTTCTGTGTGGAGTTTGCATGTTCACCCTGCGTTCGCGTGGGTTTCCTTTGGGTGGTCCGGTTTCCCCCACAGTGCTGTCCGAATTCTTAGGGGTAAATTTTGAAGCCTATACCCTTTACACTCATTTATAAGTGGGTAGGGGTACAAAAATAGAATTGGGATTGGGTCAAAGTCACCAATTATAAATCAGAGGTAAAACTTTCTCATACCGAGCCGTTGCATTATAGGTTTTACATTTTAACAAGAAAAACCGATAAACCAAGACTGCTGTTCAGTCAATTTATTCTAATGGATAAACAGCTCTCGTTAATAGTTTGGCATGCTTTAACTTTCATATTCGACATGAAACGCACTTTTAGCGATAGGAATGACATCCCGCCCTTCTCATCACTCTTTCTTCATATAGCTCTTTAAATGGCTATTACATATTCATAATACACTGTGATATAGCCTAATTTGTTTGTTTGTTGGATCGTATTGCTTTCTCACTACAATCAGTTGAGGGGTTCACATATGCCAAACAAATCACGCTAAAGAGGCAAATGAGCCAGGGTCTGAAACAAAATTCTAGGTGTGAAAGTACCCTTAATTTCCTTCACACCACAATAAATAAACATGTTTTGGAACAAATAAATAAATAAAAAATATAAATATTAAACAAAGAGAATTCAAGCTGGCTTTCTCGATTAACAGTTAATGTAAATGTCAAGAATAAACGTAATTGTCAGAGCGTGTGAACATTGTGTTTCTTGTAAAGTTTCATATAATCAAAATGACTTGTATAAAAAAAAAATTAGACTTATATGTATGGAGTTCTCGGTTCATCACTCTCTCTTTCCCTTTGAGGAATATGAATTTCAAGCTGTTTTATTAAATGAAACTAAACGCATGAATTTCTAGCATTTATAGATGAGAGAAAAACTGTACAGCGCAAATAATGTGCTGTTGAAAACGCCAAGCACATCAAATGAACACCTTACAGGAGAACCCACATAAAACGCAATGCCTCATAACCTTTTTTAAACGTTAAACAAAGGCTCCATTTTTCCTTGCTCTGCTTTTTACAACATTTTCCATTTACTATGAAGTGTGACGAAATCCATAATTAATTTCAGGGTGAATTCTAAAAGCTTTGTTCTTGTTCTCTTAAAACAGGATGCTCGTTCAGAAGAAAGCAGCACTAGTCTCTCATTAACCAATATGCAAGGATGAGGGAGATGACGGGAGGAGAGACAGGATTGGCCACTCCACGGGGATTTCAGGCCATGTTTCTGATCTATAACGGGGCAATGGAGATGAAAGCTAAACCGAGAAGAGTGCAGAAAACTTGAAATGTCGCAGTGCTGTCTGAACACAGAGCATGTGAGGTGTAGAATCACCAAACCTGTCTCTCTCTCCCTCTCTACTTTAAATAAAGGTTCCTTTTTCATTTACATGTCTGTGGTGGTACATCATTTGTCAGATATTCAGATCAAATACATAAATATATATTTTTAAATATTGTTTATTATTTAGATGGCCAATTAACAGAATTTTTAAAAAGGTTTTGGTCAATGCTGCATGAAAGCATATTATGAAATAATACAGTCTAAAATGTTTTCCGTTTTAATCATGCATTACAAATATGCTCATTCACTGTTTGGTCAATGTTTTAATAAAGTTATGAAAGTAGTACTTAAATTCCCCCCCAAAAAACTAAAAAATATATATTTTGCGAGAAGCCATTGTTAGCTTAAAGATGAATAATGAATTTGTGCAAGTGAATCCACAATATAAATAAGTAATAAACCATATGTCCGCTATGGAATGTCAGACCTTCTCTGATGACATCAGTTTGATAGCTTGGATGAAACATGGAAGAGGAGAGCAAAAATAAAACCCCACCCCTTAATATTCTACATTGAAAATATGATCAAGATGAAATAAAAATCCCATGTACACAGACATTTCTTAATCTTTGTGAAAAAAAAAAAAAATTCTGGATGCTTTGTAAAAGTTTTTAAAAAATGCAAATGGCTTTATTGTCATACTTGACTAATTAATTATTGCTGACACAAAAATCTTACTGGCCCCTAACTTGTGTAAAAGAAAGTCTGAAGTTGTCAAATGGTAGATTAATGTGCTTGAAAACACACACAAACTTGTCAAAAAAAAAAAAATATGGTGAAAAAAATTGTATACCACTACAATTTTATTGTTTTGACACTTTAAAGCAGGGGTCACCAATCTTAGTCCTGGAGGGCCGGTGTCCCTGCAGGGTTTAGCTCCAACTTGCTTCAATACACCTGCCTGGATGTTTCAAGTATACCTAGGAAGACCTTGATTAGCTTGTTCAGGTGTGTTTGATTTCGGTTGGAGCTAAAATCTGCACACCGGCCCTCCAGGAACAAGTTTGGTGACCACTGCATTAAAGCATGTCACTAATAAATAATTACATCTTTTTTGTGCCAAACCGGGCCATTAGAAATAATGATTAGTGTTTAGCCCTGTCTAAAGTCTAAAATTTCTTTCATAATGAACTTTAAAGAGTCTTAAATTTGACTTGAAACCTGCAGAAACCCTGTTATAGCCAGTGCTGCATGTCTTCATTTAACTTTGTGTGTTTGCTGCAGTGGTGTAAGCCCCGAAGAGAAAAGTTTTTTTTTTTTTTTTTTTATTTAATTGATAACTTTAAAAAACATGCTAATCATGTTAAATTACATGCACCCATTTGTTTTATCTCATTGAAAAGCTTTACATTTGTAAATAGAAATTAGATGGGAGATAACTTTAACAGAAATTTAAAGAAGCAGTTTAACATTACACTAAAAATATCTGTAAAGTTTTTTTTTAGTTCATGTTTTTATTATTTTTCCCGTTAATTTATGCTTTTAAATTTCATTATGGGACATTGATCCAACATCTTTTAACCTTATAAAAAGTTACTTCTATTAACATTTCTAATTGTTTAAAGTGTCTGGGATAGTGTTCTGTATTATGGTTCAAAATCCTTGTTAGAAACTGACAGTATATTTCCAGTCATTGTACAGACTTATTTCTCTCTACATTTTATAAATTATATTATTTTTAAACTACTAAAATGTCCATAACAGTCATTTTGTTGGAGTGTAGAGTTAAATTTTCAATATCAAAAAACGACAGAGCAGAGATCAAGATTCTATAATGCAGTTTGCAAATAAACAGAAAACGCATGTGAATCACAAAATACAAAAACTGTTAACACTTTTTTTTTTTTTGAGTGTCGTAGCAATAGATTTATTCTCAAGTACTGTGATGTACATCTAGGTTGATCTACAAAATGCCAACAAATCAGGCATACTCTTTGCGTTAAAGGCAAACGGGTCCAAAACTCTGTAAACTAATGCATTCAGTTTGATTGTAAATGCTATCAACAAGTACAACAGCTAATGAAATTACTATTTTGAGACCAAATTTTTCATGTTATTCAATGGCAAGTTGGCATATACATAAATGAACATCACGTCATGTATATTTGTCAAAATGTAAAAAAAAAAAAAAAAACATTAAAGACAATATGAGAAGATCTGTGGACCAAACATTCTAGGGACATGCTAATTCTGAACCACTGGATGGGTCTATATTGAATTAAAAAGTGACGCCACAGAAAACAAGGCAAATATCGAGATCAACAATTGGCCAGAATATCAACATGTTCTATAACGACCTGAATGTACAGATGAAGAACAATGCAGTTGTTACAGAAATAAAGACACCATTCAAAAGTCTGTGGTTACAAAAGTGGTTCCTAAAGCTATGTTTGGCTGTGTTGTTCATGAACACTTTTGCTATATTTGTTAAAGTCATTCAACAAAATCCAGTCACCATTACGTTGTACGCTTTTACACACATTTGCAAACCAGTAGTAAGAGATTGGAGTGTGTGTGCTGTGCCAAGCTGAGCTCAAGGATGTTTAGTCAATATAGAAAAGGAAATTTACATTTCATTGCAGAATTGTGAGCTACAACTCAAACACATGCCAAAACACAATGAGGTAAAAAGATCAACCATAGCAATTTTTTTCTTTTCAAGATGGTCTAATCTGAAAGAATGTTTGGATTTCAATCTGTGACCAACTTGAGTTTCATATTGATAGGAAAACAAAACTGGCCTATTTTAACATGTTTATTCATGCCTTTATTTCTATATGCTGTACTCTGTGTTTGGGGGAAATTGGTTTAGTAAAAACAGCTTTCCCACTGTTACGAGTTTGTCCGGTAGCTCGACACGTACTTCAGTGGACTTGAGTTGCTGAGCGTTATTAACTGCGACAACAGGGTCCAAGTCTGGTGAAGAACGGTTCCAGAAAGCGGGTAAGACAAAAACAGAAGCCAAAAAATAAAATAAACAAGTAAATAACAGGGTGAGAATGTTGTGAAATCTAAAAACATGGTAAAAATCGGGGCATTTGTTTTCTGGATTGCTTTTCAAAACACCGGTTGGGTTTAGGGAAGGGGTGGGTGCATCAATAGGTGCTTTTCAAAATACTATTGGTTGGGTTTAGGGAAGGGGGAGGGTGGGGGATTGGTCGGTTGGTCAGTTAGTCAGTCAGTAAGTTAGTCAACAGCGCCCTCTGGTGGATTTACATGAGAAAAGCAGTTGCGAATGACACCAGTAAGAGAAATTTGAGATCTCAAAAAGCATAAACAGCAGCCTGTGGCAGATTCGCAAAAAACATAGCTAATGGCACGTATTTTGCTCTCTCCAGAAATGTATACAGGGGTACGTAATCAGATTGACCCTGGAATATATCATGCTGGAAATGCTCATAATTAAATGGAAAAGCAAAACACACACATGTATTTGTGTTTATTTAAATGCAAATGAGCTACCAATTCCTTTCCATTTGATTTCTCAGATACTTTCAAGACAAAACGGGTTTGGTTTTATGTGACATCATCGTAAAATTGTATTTATCTGCCAGCATTTCAAGGTCTTGTAGTTTTCTCAGAGAACACATCCACATTGCACACACAGAAACACAGATCAGTCGTTGCATGTCAGAGACATTAAATTAACTCTTTAATTTAATTTTTATTGTATACTGTCAGAGTTAATATGAATCAAAAATATTGTGCATTGACTGTACATTGACTTTTTATTATACAGGGTGAAAAAAGAATACCGCAACTTTGAAAATCTGTATTTATTAAAAAAAAAATAAAAAAATGATGGAACCTTGGGTAATACATCAATGTGAAGAGTACCTAAAATATTTTTTTCAGTGGAAAACAAGTTCATAGATGTTCAATATGACACCCTCCAGACACTCGAGTTGTGGTATTCTTTTTAAATCACCCTATATTTATCTTTTGAGCAGGCCTTAATTCTCACAAATGCTGCATTTATTCAATCAAAGAATACACTGACAAATGAACAAATGTTGATCAATAAAATAGAATAATTAAAATGAATTGTTTCATCAGAAAAACATTTTTGATTATCATATTGAAAAAAGTAGCACACATTTGTTTTGTTTTTTGTTTTGTTTGTTTGTTTTGTTTCTCGCAGAAATGGAAGTGTTGTTTTGAGGATTCTTTTCAGGGATATTATGAATGTCTTTACTGTTACTTTTAATGAAATCAAGACATGCTTGCTGAATAAAAGTGTACATTTCTTATTTTAAGCATCTTTCCAAATTGTTGTATTTATGTCAGATATATAGAATAGATTTATTTCTCTCTAACCCAGAGGTGCCCAGACTTTTTTCTTATGAAAGGCTTGTTTGAGGCTAGTGATACAAGTGCAAATATAGGTGGAGTAATATATCATGGGTAAATTGCTAATTTATTTAATAATGTTTAAAATTGACTAAAAAACATTGCTTTAGATTTGTTTTACATTTTATAATAAATGTATTACAGTAACAAAACAAATTAATTTATAACAAATTTACATTCATTTTTGCCTTTATTTACTTGCCGATGTCTTCTGCATAGTCCTCTATCCATCGAGTGACAGTATTTACATTTAAACAAAAAACAGATTTGTTTACAACATTTAATTGGCACATTTTATTTCAGTTTGCTGTTTGTAGCTCAGTAATAAAACTAACAAAAAATGTTACGTCAAATTAAAAATGACAATCTATGTGTTAAGGGCATCCGCCCCAGCCCTCTCCATCATACTCTCCTCTCAGAGGATAGTGGGCCAAATCAAAGTGTTCCATAAGCCAACTTTGTCCCGTGGGCCCTACTTTGGGCATCTCTGCTCTAACCTGACTGACACCTGTTTGTCCATCTCTGCAGTCACTATTACAGTGACTGTGACTGTTATGTGCATCTGTGTGAAGAGAGCTCTGTAATGTGTGCAGTGGACAGTACATCTGATCCAGGAAACGTGAGGACGGACAGACTGAAATGAGGAGCAGGGTTGAGTCTTCATCTGACCGCACCAGATCAGATAACACAAGGTC